TATATATATGTATACTATAAAGATATTATATAAAAAAAAAAAATAGTTGAAATATTATTTTATTAACTATATATTGAATCTATGTTTAATTTTTTATGTGGATCTCGAAAATCTGACTTTTTTTAAACTCTATGATATAAAAAATATTGTTTTTATTTAAAAAATAGAATAAAAAATAATAAAAAAATAGTTAAATAGATTAAAGGGTAAAAACAATATTAAAATTATAAAAATCAAATTATTTTATTGCTACATGTTATATTTTGATTTTTTTATATTTATTATTTATTAACAAAAATATTAAAGTGATATTACCATTTTTTTTAATTTTTTTTACATTACCAATTAATTACCTGCTGTTTATTAATTTATTATTGTTTTTATTAATGTATTATTATATTATTTATATTATTTGTTTTTAGTTAAGTTATATTTATAAAAAAAATGATTTAAAGAATAATTTTTAAATATTTTTTGTTGGAGTTATTAATATATATAAATATTATTATTTTAATTGTTTTTTTTTTTTATATGAATGAATAATCTTTCTTATCTTAAGTAACCTTTTTATTGGATGTTTGATCAAAGATTTATTTTAAAATATTAGAAGGGTACTATTGTTGTTATATCGCTGATATTTTGGTGTAAGGGGTAAATAATTATTACTTTTAATATTATTACTATTATTATTATGATTATTATTATTATTATTACTGGTATCTAAAAATTAAAAGGTTATTGTAAGAGTAAAAAGTAATACAAAAAAATAAAAGTATTTTAAAAATGATTTTTTTATAAAAAATTAAATTTTTTTTTAAAAATATTAAAAAATATTTAATTTTAAATTTAAGTAAATATTAAAAATGAAAAAAAAAAAAAAAAAAAAAAAGAAATATATTAAGTTATATATAATGATTAAATTTTTATAATGCGTTGTATAAAAAATCAGTGACCAATCTACATCATACTAGTATGAATAGACAAACAAACATATTAGGAAAAAAAAAAAAAAAGAATAAAAATAGAATTTTTATTTATATATATATATATATATATATATATATTAATGCTTTTGTGTGAAAGTAGATTATATGATAATTAAATATTATAATATGAAACACATTTAATAATTATTTAATTTTTAAATTACATAAATTAAAAAAACAAATAAAATAAAATTTTAAAAAAAAAAAAAATCATATTAGTGTTTGTGGGGGGGGGGTGTTGAAATTATTTCTCTTTTGAAATAAAAAGATATATATGTATACCAGTAAAATACCACTGTGTGTGGGGTTTAAAATACTAGTACGTGTGAAAGACAATTATTTTTTTTTTTTTTTTTCTTTTTTTTCCCTTTTTTTTTAAAAATTTGTAAAAAGAAAAGTTTTTCCCGCTATATCTCGCACCTAACCCCCACAAAACACAACATTATTAAAATAATACTTTAAATAGTATTCTTCAAAAAAAAAAAAAAGAAATGGTTGTTTTTATATTAAAGATACTTTTTATTTAATTTATAGTAATGTTTATGAAAAGAATTGAAAAATAGAATTGATTAATGAAGATCTTCAATAAGATTAGAATACCCATTGGTGTAAAAACATTTTCTAAATAAAAAAAGTTATAATTTTGATAAAATCCAGATAGAGAAAGAAAATATTCCGATTAAATGGATCAAAAAAGGAGAGGGTTTACTATAAATTTATTAATTTATTTTTTTGTTGGCATTAATATGTATTATTATTTTTGGTGTCTTTTAATTTCCAAAGTCGAACAAAATATTATACAATTTATAAATATTTTTACTTTTTAAGAAATAATTGTAATCTTGATAAAAATAATGTTAATATTAAATTTTATAATATAATTTAACTTTATTTTTATACAATGATTACCATTTTAATGTATATTATTATTAAATATAATATTTTATACCATAATATTAAATTAATATGTGTTTGATTATTGCGATCAATTCAACAAAAACATAATTTTCTTTAAAAGCAAAAAAAAAAAAAAATTAAAAAAATAAAAAAAAAAAAAAAAAATTTTTGTTTATTTGAAAATTATTTTTGTTTGGTTTGAAAATATCTTAAAATATTTTAAAATTATTTTTTTTTTTTTTTGATTTTAATTTTTTTATTTTTTTTATTTTTTTTTATGATTTATTTTTTCTTTTTTTCTTTTATTTCATTATAATTTTTTTAGAAAAAGAAAAAACAATGAAATTTATTTCAAGTTTATTTGTAGTTTTATTATTTGCTAGTGTTGCACTTTCAACAGACTATCAATTCGCTACTTGCGTTTTTGGTCCTTTTAACGAATTTCCAGGTAGTAAAGACCTCAATGGTGGTATTCAAATCTTTAAAAAGGTAAGTTGTTAGAGTTTAATAAATAATTATTTATTTTTGTTGGTTTATAACTTTTAGGATTAATAATAATAATAATATATTTTTTATTATTAAATAATTTTAGGGTGATGATGATATTCAATTCCTTTTTGAGTTTGATGGTGTTAATGGAGATGGTAATTATGCAGCTCAAATTTTAACATATGGTTTACATACATCAACAAGTCCAGATTTAGGCGAAGTTTACAATCCAGATAAGTCCGAAGCTGGTTGTCCAACAACTACTACCTATCGTCTTGGTGATCTTGGTGATATCGAATTTGTTAATGGAAAAATCTCTAACCCATTAGTTCAATACAAAAAACCATCAATTTCTGATGATATTAATTCAATTATTGGTAGATCTATTGCTATTTACTCTGGTTCATATGACTGTAATGATGCAGCTAAATCAGTTGGCCAAATCATTAACTATTGCACTGTTGGTGTTGGTAATCTTACTTTTGTTAGTGATGAGTTTAATACTGATGTTGATCCAAAAGTTGATACTAATTCTGCTAGATCATACAGCAAACTTGACGAATTAGAACCAAATGGTGTAGTCTATGGTCTTGCTAAAGTTTTCAATACTTCAATTATTCAAGATGAAGTCGAAGGTAAGGTTTTCTTCAAAACTCTTAACTCTAGTTTTATTCAAGTTTCATCCCAAATCGTTGGTTTATCTTATCAAGCTCATGGTAATTATTTTATAAACAATTAAGAAAAAAAAAAGAAAAAAAATATTAATTATTTTTATATTAAATAGGTTTCCACATTCATGAATTTGGTGAAAGATCAGATCTTACCGGTTATGCTGTTGGTGGTCATTGGAGATCAGAAGGACAAGTCCATGCTTTACCAGAAAACGAAACAAGACACAAGTAAGTAAATTTATTTTTAAAAAAAAACAAAATATAAAAAATTAATTGTTTTAATATTTTATAAATAGTGGTGATATGGGTAACTTCTGTGCTTTTAGTGATGATATGAACCTTGGTTATTATAAAATTGTCACCGATTATATCAGAGTTTCAGATTTAATTGGTAGAGGTATGGCTGTACACAATAGTACCGATATGGGTAACGCCAATGTTGGTGGTCCACGTTGTGCACAAGGTGTCATTGCCCTTATTAATCCAAAAGGTGGTGATGCTGTTCAACTTCCATCTGAAGATTGGGTCTATGACGTTATTTGTCCACATGGTGCCTACAAAGGTGGTGCTTCAAGCTATTCAGGTTCAGATGTTCCAACCGATAGTTCATCCAACGAACCATCATCTGCTTCAACCATTTCTTCAATCATTGGTTTAGTTATTGCTTCAATTATTTCAACTATCATTTTCTTTTAATTAATTAAAAATCAATCACAACAATTGAAATATTCGAAAAAATAACTATCAATATCGAATAGATCAACTCAATAAAAAACCTATTTATTTATTTATTTATTTATTTAAAAAAAACATTTTTTTTTTCTCACAAATTTGTAAATTGTATTTCTGTTAAAAAAATTGTAAATAATTCTCAACGAAAAACTATTTTATAATCGCATATTTTTCAAAAAAAAAAAAAAATTCAAACAATTCCCAAAATATCTATTTTTTTTTTTTTTTTTTTGATTGATATGACTGTTTTTTTTAAAATAATTTTTTTTTTTTTTTTTTCATATTTTTATTTCCATCCATAAAGAAAAAAAGAATGAGATTTATTTCATTATTAATTGTATTCTTTTTATTAAAATCAGCTATTGTTTTAGCTGATTATCAATATGCCATTTGCAATATTGTTCCAGTCGATAAAACAGCTAAAACAATCAGTGGTTCTATCCAAATTTATAAAGAATCTGAATCCGTTAGTAATCCACATATGCTTAATTTATTTATAAAATAGTACTAATATTTTTTTAATTTAGACTTCTTTGACTTTCGATTATGATATTAAAGCAGAAAATGGTCTCGAAGATGGTAATTATGGTAACAATATTCAATCCTATGGCTATCCATCAACAAACTTAGGTGGTGTATTTAACCCAGGAAATGCTGCAGGACCCTGTCCAGAATCTGAAGACCCAATTGTTGGTAGTTTGAATGATATTTCACTTAATAATGGTATTTATATTGCTTCAAAATATTATCAAACACCTCTTTTAAGTGGTGAAAATTCAATTATTGGTAGAGCTATTTCTTTCTATGACTCTTCAATCTGTAAAGAAGCACCACAACCAACCTTAGGTGCTTTAGCAACATCAAACCTAGGTGCTTTAGCAGAACCAACCCTTATCGCTACTTGTGTCATTGGTTTCGGAAATGATACCACAAAACCAGACGAATTAACCGGTTCAAATACTGCCTCTTCCCCAGAATTAAACTTAAATGCTATTTCTGTTTTAACAGCAGCTCCAAATACCGATGCCACTATTACTGGTCAAGTTACTTTTGTAAATGTAGAAGGTGGTGTTCAAATCTCTTCAAAACTTAATGGCTTAAGCAAAGAGGCCCATGGTTTCCATATTCATTCTTTTGGACAACTCTCAGATAATGGTTCTGCTCTTGGTGGTCATTGGGCAACTACTGGTCAAACCCATTCATTACCATCAACTCTTCAAAATAGTGCTACTCGTCATTATGGTGATTTAGGTAATATCTGTGCTTTTGATTCAGAATTCAAAAATGCATATTACAACTTTACCACCAACTATATTAGTATCAACGGTGTTTATGGTCGTGGTTTTGCTATTCACGCCACACGTGATTTAGGTGACTCTAATGTCGGTGGTGCTCGTGTTGCTCAAGGTGTTATTGCAATTGCTAACCCAGATGTCACTCTTAATCTCAATACCCCACCAACCACAGATTTTACATTTGATAATATTTGTGCTAATGGTGCCTTTGATGGTCAAACAAAGAACTCCACCTCAAGTGGCTCAGAAAGTGCCAGTGGTTCAGAAAGTGATAGCGAAAATGGCTCATCAAAAATAATTTCATCATTATTTGTTTTAGGTTTATTCTCATCATTATTTGTTTTATTATTATAAATAAATAAATCTTTTTTTTTTCGATTTTCTATTTCTCTTTAAAGAAACATTTATTTCTTTTAAAATTTATTCATTTATATTTGATTTATTTCCTATAAAAATTTTTATTTTTTTTTTTTATTTTTTAAATTTTAAAATTTTTTTTTTTTTAAATTTTATAAATATTTGGGTGTTCTCACAATTAAATATTTATTTTTATATTTACTTTTACAATGGATGGTTTAAATTTTAAAAATCAAACCAATTTCAAAAGTGGAACGGGTAGAAATATAGTGGTAGAGTCATCATCATTGGATAAAGCAAGGGTTATATTATCAAACAGTGAAACTAATCAAAAATCACCAAATAGTAAATCTAAAAGAACCAGAGACTTTGAAGAAGAAAGCGAAAATAATAATAATATAAATAATATTAATAATAATCATAATAATCATAATAATACGACTGAAGCACAAGAAAATAAATTAAATAAAATTAACAATAAAGAAAAAACAGGTTTTAAAACAGCATCAAATCACTCAATTATCATAAGTAAACATGCTTTAAATAAATACCACCAAGAAATAAATAATGATTTTGAAAAAGATATAGATTTATCACAATATCAAGCCGACATTCAACTTTTAGAACAACCTTTAAATGCTTCAGAAAAATTAAATAATAAATAAAATATAGTTTAAATAATCATTGGGTATATACTATAGTTTTTTCTATTTTTTTTTTTCACTAAAACATGTTCATGCAATATAGTAATTAATATTTAATTAAGAATTTTTTTAGGGTTAAAAAGACAAGCAACCAACAGATTAGTTGAAAGGTTTAAAATCTTCATGTGGGTATATTGCAGTAAAAATAATTTTTCTTGGTTAATATTAACAAAAATTATATTATTTTTAAACCTAGGTATATAGGCTTAGTCGGATACTTTAGCATTTATAAATAAAATAAAATAAAATAAAATATTTTTAAATTTCAAATAAAACGCAATAAATATGTAAATTATATAATAATAATTCAATTTCTATTTTTTATTTGATTTTCATAAAAAAAAAATTTTAGAAAAAAAAAATAAGGAAGAAAGATTTTATAATTAATTTAAATAAGAAAGAAAAAAATATTAGAAAAAAAAAAGATTTTATAATTTTTAAAGTTAATAAAATGGTATTAATACCATTATTTTATTTATTTATTTTTTTATTTTTTTTTTATTTTTTTTTTTATACTATTAGCCACTATTTGTAAAGAGTGTTTCCAGCTCTACCACGTGGAGGTTAGTATATTAGAGCCGAGAGGGCCTAATTATAGTACCACCACGCAGTACTATAATTTACCACTCCCCTAGTGATTAATTATTAGCACCACCACGCAGTACTAATAACCAACCACCACATTGAAAGTTTGGTAAATCTCAAAATACAGATACCAAGCGGGCCCTACCTGATACCTATACCATCAAAATACCAAACTATATTTGATACCTTGAATCTTCCATAAAACTTGAATCTTCTTGAATGTGTGATATTCTTGATGTATAATCATTATGATTATAAATTTTATTGAATTTTTTTTTCTTTAAATACCTTTTATTTTTTTTAATAATTAAAAAAAAAAATTAATTTAATTGTTTTTTATAATTTTTTATTTTTCAAATAAATTAAACACATCTCCTTTTAAATATATCATTTATATAATTTTATTATTTTATTATAATTCATTTTATAAAATATTTTTTAAAAGGATAAAAGTATGCATTTCGATGTTCATTATATAATAATGAATTGGTGTGTATCATGGCAGCCAAAATACGCATGAATTGTAAACATACATTAAAAAAAAATTAAAAATTAAAAAATAAAAAATTTTATTAAAAAAAAATAAACAAAAAATAAATAAAATAAATAAAAATTTATATAATAATAACATTGTAAAATATTACTATATTTTATTTTACTATGCTATAGTTTTATTGTTATATATCTTTTTTATTTATTCTATTTTATATACATGAATTAAACAGTCACTTGAACATGATATTAGAGTATTTGAAATTTTGTTCCAACGTAAACCTTCAATTGAACCTAGATGAGTACGTTTTGAATATATTTTTTTACCTAAAATTGAATCCCATACAAATATCCAGCCATTTTGTGTTGCACATACTACTAAAGGATTTCTATTTTCATTAATTACCAATGATAGATAAGTTACTGTATGCCACTCTCCGATATCATTTGTATTTAATATTAAAATTTCTTTCCAATCATCTGTATTCCAAATTCTAACAGTTTGATCATCTGCACAAGTTGCTAAAATATTAAAAGCATTGCCAACATCATTGTGTTTAACGATTGCTTGCCAATCTACACAAGTTACAGCTGTTGTATGACCTGTCAAGGTTTTTACCTTTTCACCTGTAACTCTATTCCAAATGATTGTAGTTTGATCTTCTGAACAGGTTGCAACTATATTATTGTTTGTTGGATGGAAAGTAAGTGACCAAATTTCTGCAAATTTATTAATTGAACCAAATCTTAAATCTTGAGGACCAGTTGAAGGTTGATGTGCTAGGCAACTCCATTCTAAAACAAACTCTTCTCTATTTGTATTTTTATTTATTATTCTTTTAAATATATTTAAATGACCACCTGTAGTACCTACTGCAACAATTGATTTATTTGACGAGGTTGAAGACTCTTTGATATTGTTATTGGTGTTTTCTTTTTCCCATTGGATACATGTAATACTATCTTGAAGAGATGATATTAGGCTTGGGTTTAAAGGTTCTCCTTCGCTATCATTTGTATTAATTGGTTTTAATAAGTTCCAATGCATTAGCGAGCCATCCATCAAGCCGATTAAAATTGATTCATCACCGCCACCCCATGATAACGATCTAATTGGTATACCAAAGCAATACTCTTTTAATGGCTTGTCTGGGTGTGATTCATTAGACTCCCATATCATAATGTTACCCAAGAAATCTCCACAAGCAACTAGACTACCATCCTCATTTGAATCGATACCGCAGCATGTGATTTGATGGTAAAGCAATGTATAGTTTTCGATATCATTTTCATTTACTTCTTCGATTAATTTAATATCTTCACCAGTACTTGATTGCTTTAAATAAATTGAATGAATACCAGATTCGTCAAATACCCATAGTCTTCTACCTGGAATGGACCATTTCAAGGAATAAACTACGCCATAATTATTCGATTTCCATTTTGATACTAATTTTTCGTTGGATGTTGAGTATAATAACAAATCACTATTACTACATGGTACTAATAACATATCTTGATAAAAGAGCAAATCTCTCATAAGGCCAGAGCCTTCACATTGAATTGATTTAACGTGTTTCATTTGTTTATCTTGAAAATCCAGTACTTCTATGGTTCTATTTCTTGACAGTGCTATGGTTTTATTTCCATCACCATTATAGTATTCTTGATTCTTAACTAAAAGTATACATTCTGAACCCCTAACTTCTTTTAATTCGTTAACAATTTCACCTGTTGTGCAATCGAATTTATAGATATTGATTATTTTATCCCCAATCTTTAAAGTTCTTGATTCTTGAAAGCCTTCTTTTCCTACATCTTGTTGAATTGCAATGAAATGATTTGAATCAACCATTTCACCAAAAAACAATAATTTATTTGAAAATTCATTTTCTAATTTAATTTTAATTGAACCTTTTTGTTGAATACTGCTATCGTTGTAGCTGTTTAAATATTCGCTAAAGTCTAATTGTAAGATACTAATATTACAGTTACCATGTTCATTTGAAACTGCTAATCTGACTATTGGGAATGATTCATAAGACTCATCAATTGAAATGTGCATAATTTTATTTGATGATGAAATTTCTTTTTCAAATGCTGGTATTTGGTACTTTAATACTTGATTCCATTCTGAATCCCAAATTCCAATTTCGCCACTATATGATGAACTAATATGAAAATAATTATTAAACCAATAAGTGATATTATCGCTATTATTAATATGGCTTGGTGGTATTGGCTTAACCCTTATTAAGCATGTTATTACATCTGAATGTAATTGCTTATAAATATTTGGTGATGGTAATCTCTTTTTTGACCTGATATCCCAATGAACTATTCCACCCCCGATTGGCACAGTTAATATATAGCTTTTATCTAATGGCTCTTTTTCAAGTATTGAATCATGTACTATATTTGCTCTTAAATCTTGACTTGTTTTAAAGCTAAATGGTAAGCATGATATATATCTTGATGACCCAACACCAAATGTTTTAGTAATTTCTAAACAGTTATCCATGATTATTTTATTATTTTATTGATATTTTATATAACTAGCTATATTTTGTAAATGAACTAAATTATTATTATTATTGTTATATTTATATATTTTATTTAAAAAGTTTAGACTATATAACCATGCTGAGTCAATTTTAAATATAATGATTCACTTGTGTCATTTTTTATTTTTATTTTTTATTTTTTTTTTTGAAAATTAAAAAAATAAAATTTTTTTTTTTTTTTAATATTTTTTATTTTAATTTTTTTTTTTTAAATTACAAAAATGAATAGTTTATTAAGATATAAATCAATAAAAAGACCCATAAGATTAATAATTTTCGATTTAGATGGTACATTAACTGTACCCGTTATGGATTTTAAAAAATTAAAACAGGATTTAGGATTCCCCACAGGACAAGATGTATTAGAAGTAATTAAAGGATTAAATGTCGAAGAAAAAACCAGAGCCAATAAAATTATACACGAATTCGAATTAGAAGCAAGAAACAATTTAATTATACAAGAGAATACTGAAAAATTATTATTGTTTTTAGAATCAAACAATATTCCAAAAGCAATTCATTCAAGAAATAGTTTAGAAAATATTAAATACTTTATTGATAAGGTTAATTTTAACTTTCATCATTTTGTTGGCAGAGAAATTGAGCCACCCAAACCAATGGCAAATGGATCATTAGAAATTTTAAGAGTTTTAAATCAATCATATCAAGATAATCCCATTACACCCAACCAAGTAATTTTCGTTGGTGATTCTGTGGATGACATTAAAACCTCAAAAAATTTAGGTGCCCTTGCATGTTTATTAAAAAATGAATATAACAAGCATCACTCCCATTTAGCTGATATAGAAATTGATAATTTAATTGAACTTCAAGATATTATTTCTCATTTTAACGATTTAAATTAAACTAAAATAAATAAAATAAATATCTATTTCTTTTCTTTTTAAACTATTAATAATTTAATTTTTAATATATTTATTTATATATTTTGTACATTCCTGTTTTTATTTTAGTAGTTATTCAAATATATATATATTCCCCCCAATTTATTAAAAAAAAATTTTAATTTTATTAATTTATTTTTGAATTTTTTTTTTTTTTAATTTTTATTAATATATTTTTTATTTTCAAATCATATCTTTTGCAAATTTAATACTAATTATAATAATAGAATTAAATAAATTTAGAAATGAAATCTATTAAATATCTCACACAGCATGAAGCAATTGTAATGGATCAATTATTAATGGGTGATAAATATAAATTTCCAACTGAATCACTCATGGAATTAGCAGGTCTTAGTGTTGCATCAATCATTCAAAAAGTATATCCAAATATTTCAAAAAAAGTATTAACTATTTGTGGTCCTGGTAATAATGGTGGTGATGGTTTGGTAGCAAGTAGACATTTAGTTCAATTTGGTTATGATGTAGAAATATTTTATCCAAAGAAAACCGACAAGAAATTATATCATGTAAATAATAAATAATATTAAATAATAATATTAATAAAAATAATAATAATATTAATAAAAATAATAATAATTTTTAAATTACATGTAGGATTTAGTTTGTCAATGTAAACATGAAGATATTAAATTTTTAGGAGAATTACCAGATAATTCATTATTATCAAAAGAATATGGATTAATAGTAGATTCAATTTTTGGTTATAGCTTCAAAGGTGATATTAGAGCTCCATTCGACAAAATTATTGAACAACTTTCTAAAACAGATGTCCCAATAGCAAGTGTAGATATGCCTAGTGGCTGGGATGTTGAAGCAGGTAATATTAAAAACCTCTTCACACCTGCTTTATTAATTTCTTTAGCCGCTCCAAAAAAAGGTGCTGAATCTTTCGAGGGTATCCATTATCTTGGTGGTCGTTTTCTTCCAAAAGAGTTTTTAAGAGAAACTAATCTAACAATACCAAAATACAATGGATGTGACCAATTTGTTAATATTTCAAAAAATAACAACAATAATAAAAACTGACTACCAAAACCAAAATTATAAATCTTTAATATGTAAGGGAAAATAAACTTTCTTGCCCAAAATCAAGGCATGAATTTCAGAAAAAAAAAAAAAAAAAAAAAAAAAAAGAGTTAAATTTCTTTTATTTTTAGTCCATCAAAATAATTTTTTTTTTTTTGTAAATTTAAAATAACATATCAAATATCACGGTCGTCGTTCTTCGTTCATGTTTTTAAAAAAAAAAATTTGTAAAAAATTATATATATCTAAATAACATGATATGTTGTATTTTATTATTTTCACATAATGGTTTTTTTCATTTTTAAAAAGATTTATATTTTATATCTGTTTTCTCATTGGCCAAACCAATATTTATATTCCTTAATCTAAGAACCTTTAATGACACGAACACAGAATTGATTTAAAATAAAATCTTTTTTGGATTGATAATTATTATTTGAGCAGTTTGAGAGAGCATTTAAAACAAAACCTATAGAAATAAAGAACGAATAAAGCGTTGAAAAAAAAAAAATGGCTTTGATTGATCAAAATAATTAATAAATTTAAAAAAAAAAAAAATAACGTATATCTAAAATAAAAAAAATTTCTAATTAATTAGTTTGGTTCGTACGAACGAAAAGGGGTTTTTCTTCATTTTGAAGGATAAAAAATTAAATAAAAAAAATAAAATTTAAAAAAAAAAATAATTAAAGATATTTTTTCTTTTTTGGATCATGAATATGAGAAATTAATATCTCAAAGATTGAGAACACCAATAGAAAAAAGTATAGGGTTTATTTCCAAAATTTTTTTATATTGGAAATATTGGACAAAGCTATAGTAAAAATCAATCAAAAAAAAAAAAATTAAAAAAAAAATTAAAAAAAAATTTTAAAAAAAAAAAAAAAAAAAAAAATTAAAAAATATTTTTGATTGGTTAAAATCCAGACAATAGGTTATTTTATAGATATTTTTTTAAGGTAAAAAAAAAAAATGGTTTCTTTGAAAGAAAACAGTTCGAACGAGCAGAGGTCTTTAAAAACACAAATTCTTTATCATAAAAAAAAATTTAACAACAGTTTGTGAAATTTTTCATAAATCAAGAAAAAAAAAAAAAAAAAAAAAAAACCCCCATGCACCCTTTTTTTGATTTTATTTTACATTATAAAAAAAAAAAAACAACTATACTCGTACTACTCGCACTCTCATAGTTGAACCGTAGTTACATAGGTGTACAAAATCATATGATTTATTTTTAATTTTTTTTTATATTTTTTTTTTATTTATTGTTTTTTTTTTATTTTTTAATTTTTAATTTTTAATTTTTAATTTTTTTTTTTTTTTTTTAGTATAAATAGAAATAATTTTTTTTTTTTTATTTATAATTTTTTTTTTGTAAAATAGTAATATTATAATAATAATTATATCTTTTATAATTATTTTGTAAAATACCTCATTAAAAATGAGATTATTAATTTTTGTAGTTGTACTTTTAAATATCATAAACTATGTTTATGGTTTAACTTTAGCCCAACTCACCACCCAAATCAATGCTAGAGGTGGTAAAGTCATCCCACAAGCTGATGGTCCAAACTTTAACAATGCCCGTTTCGGTTATAACTATCGTTATAACAGAATCCCAACTGTTATTATCCAACCATCTGACACTGCATCAGTTCAATTAGTTTTAGAATATGCCCAAACCAATAACCTCAAAGTTTCAATCAAATCTGGTGGTCACTCAAGTATTTCTGAAGGTGTTATGGACAATCGTGTCACCATCGATCTTTCACAAATGAAACAAATTTCATACGATAATGTCACTAGAATTATTACCACCCAATCAGGTAACAAATGGGTCGAATTTTATGACTACACCATCAATCAACATGGTGTTGCTACTCCAGGTGGTTCATGTCCATCAGTTTCAATTGGTGGTTTAACTTTAGGTGGTGGTGCCAATGATCTTTCAACTCTTTATGGTCTTGCTACCGATAATGTCGTTGAAATGGAAGTCGTCCTTGCTAATCGTACCATTGTTACTGCATCTGAAACTGAAAACTCTGATCTCTTTTGGGCTCTTAGAGGTGGTGGTCATGGTGGTTTTGGTGTTGTTACCCAATTCAAATTCAAAGCTTATCAAGTTCAACCAGTTTACTACTCTGCTTGGATCACATGGGCCTGGAGCGATTTCGAAGCTGTCTTAACCTATGTTAACCAATTCTCACAATTCATGCCAAATAGTGTTAATCTTTACTTTACTGCTTGGAGATCAAAGGATGCTGCTACTCCATCAGTTGCTTTATCATGTTTCTACAATGGTAACAAAGATGATGCTGAACAATTCTGTGGTAGATTCCGTTCAATCCCAAATGTTGTTACCCCACCTGAATTCCAAGTCACCAACACTTCATACTATAACACCGTTAAAGGTGGTACTGATCCAAAAGCCCGTCAATCATACACCAAAGGTGGTTTCTTAACTGATATTACCAAACAAACTGTTCGTCGTATTAAAACCGCTATGGAATCTTCACCATTAACTCCATATTCATACAACACTGCCAGACTTAACTTATACTGGCAAGGTGGTGCTATGTTAGAAAAATCAAGAGGTTATAACGCTTATCCACACAGATCATACCCATGGTAAGTTTTTATTTAATTTTTTTTATTATAAATAACAAATATTAATTAATAATTATTATTATTTTATTATTTTAGGAATGCTGTTTGGTTAACATCATTCGTTGGTTCTGAATTTGATGAAATGTACAACAAATGGATCACTAAAACTTACCGTCAAATGAACACTTTCTCACAAGGTGTTTACCAAAATTACCCAGATGATACTCTTGAAAACTGGGCTGATGAATACTACATGGAAAATTACCCATTACTCAAAGTTATTAAAAGCCCGTTTCGAGCCCACACAACTTTTTTTTCCCCCCCCCCAATCCCTCCCCGGTTCCTTCGACGGTTTTTTTAAAAAGGTAATAAAAAAATAAAAATATCAATTTTAAATAAAAAATTTTGGGGGATATAAAATTTTAATAATAAAATTTTTTTTATTATAAACCGGAATCCAAAAAATAAAATTTTACCCTTTAAAAAAAAAAAAAAAAATTTTAAATATTTCCAACTTTTTTCCAACTAATTTTAATCTCGTTTTTTTTTTTTTTAACTTTTTTTATTAATTATAAATAATATAAATGTTCAATTTTCAAAAGATTTAAATTTTGGCAGATTTTTTTTTTTTTTTTTCCCCAAAAAAGAAAAAAAAATTTTTGCAAGCCCCTAACCCCTTAACCCATTAACTTTTTTTTTTTATTTTTTTTTTTTTTTTAAAATAAAAGGGGGGATAAACCGTTTTTTTTTTTTTTTTTTTTTTTTTTTTTTTTTAATTTCAATTTAATTTATAAATTTTTTTTTTTTTTAATAAACATATAATAATAAATAGAAACACAAAGAGATACAAATAAAATGTTAGGCTTAGGAAAATTAAATTTAATTCCAGGAGAAAGAAAAAAGGAGGAATTTAATGAAGAAACAAGAGTAGAGTTACAAAAAAAACTTGATGAGGTGGTTGCAATTTTAAAAAGTGAAATTTCTTCATATTATTTATATAAAGATATTTCAGCAAGAGTTAAAACTGTAGAGTCTGCAAATAGAAAATTAATTACAAGAAAAATAGACAGTTGGAGAGAATTATCCGATTATTGTGGTGCTGGTATGTATAAAATATATTATTAAAAAGTTCTTTTAAAATTATTAGTTTTTTTATTTTGATAAATTAATTATAATTTTTTTTTTTTTTTTTTTTTTAGCAATCATCATACACCCACTTAAAACTACAGAAGAGGTAATGGAGATTTTAAGAAATCTACATAAAACAAATGAGAAATGCAAAAACTTTAAAATGTAATAATAATAAAATCTATTCTTATCTTTGTAGATAATACTAATTATTTTTATTTTAAAAAAAAACCAATAGTGTTCAAGAGGAAATCAAAGGTCCAAAAGATTCATCACAGTTTGCATATAGGGCAATACATTGCGATGCTCTATATGGTGATTGCAAAATTGAAATCCAAGTTAGAACCTGTTACCAAGACATATGGAACTGTATCAGCCATCAAGCTTATGAATTACAACGTCTAAAAGGTTATGATCAAGCTCACAGTTTACCAAGAGAGTTACACCAAATATCATCACTCTTGGAAATATCAGAAGAAATCTGTTCATCTACCATTAGACAACACGGAAAAGAAGTACCAGATGTAGGCGACACCATTGATGATACTGATGAACTTAAATTACTTATTGCAAAAAAACTAAAATACAATGGACCAATAAACGATTGGGAATTTAATGTAGCATATGAGGCTTTAAAATCAAAAAACAAAATCAAAACTGAAGAAGTAGAAAGAGAATGGAAAGAATTTGCCTCAAAATTAAAAGGAAATGATCACAATAACCTCATTTTTAAATTTTCAGAATATATTATTTTGGGTCAAAGCTTTGATCCAAACTCCCCATCAAACACCAAGTTGATTGTTGATGTCTTAAATAGATTTGAAAAAGTCTTAAACATCAGATCATTATTGGGATAAAACAAATAACTATAAAGTTAAATCAATGCAATAAATAAATTAAAAAAAAAAATTTTATAATTTGGGATATTTCTATTTTTATTTTATTAATTATTTTTATTTTATTCTATACTCTAAAAAAGTGATTTGTTTTAAATTTTAAAACGCTTTCAAACTTGTTTAGCACATCATTTATTATTTTTGGATTTGATATTGTGTTAGGGTCATAGGTTTCGCCAATCATAATAAACTGAGAAAATTTGAAAATTAAATTATTATTATTAGTTTCGTGTAGTTTATTGGTAAATTCTTTCCACAATCTTTCGACTTCTTCTGTTTTGATTTCATTTTTTGCTTTTAAAGCTTCGTAAGCTACATTAAATTCCCAATCGTTTATTGGTCCGTTGTATTTTAGTTTTTTTGCAATAAGTAATTTAAGTTCATCAGTATCATCAATGGTGTCGCCTACATCTGGTACTTCTTTTCCGTGTTGTCTAATGGTAGATGAACAGATTTCTTCTGATATTTCCAGAGTGATGATATTTGGTGTAACTCTCTTGGTATACATGGGCTTGGTCATAACCTTTTAGACGTTGTAATTCATATGCTTGGTGACTGATACAGTTCCATATGTCTTGATAACAGGTTCTAACTTGGATTTCAATTTTGCAATCACCATATAAAGCATCGCAATGTAATGCTCTATAGGCAAATTGTGATGAATCTTTTGGACCTTTGATCTCTTCCTTAACTCTTTTGTTATAAAAATAAACAGGTTAAATATTTAAAAAAAATTATATAAACCAATAATACTTACATTTTAAAGTTTTTGCATTTATTATTTGTTTTATGTAGATTTCTTAAAATCTCCATTACCTCTTCTGTAGTTTTAAGTGGGTGTATGATGATTGCTAGAAAAAAAATAAAATAAAGAAATATTAAAAATTAAAATTAATAAAATAAAATTAACTTTATATATTTTTATACCTACCCGCTCCACAATAATCTGACAATTCTCTCCAGTTATCTATTTTTCTTGAAATTAATTTTCTGTTTAAAGACTCTACAGTTTTAACTCTTGCTGAAATATCTTTATATAAATAATATGAAGAAATTTCACTTTTTAAAATTGCAACCACCTCATCAAGTTTTTTTTGTAACTCTACTCTTGTTTCTTCATTAAATTCATCTTTGTGATTGTTGGATAAATGCAGTGAGTTTTTAATATCTAAACCATCTATTGATTTTTTAATTGATTTACCAATATTTTCTAGCATGTTTAAAAAACTAAACTATTTTGAAAATAAACCCTTTTTTAAATTATAATGACACAATAAAATAAAATGATAAAAAAAAATAATGATAAATAAAAATGAAATAAATTTAAATACAAATTTTATCAAACCTTTTTTCTTTTGCTTTTTTTACAATATTTAAAAATAATAGTAGTTTGAATTAGTATACAATAGTATATATACTTTTATGAATTGATTTATAGATTTTTTTATTAAAATAAAAAAAAAATTAAAAAAATGGTAGGGTGTGGCATTTGTGGGTGTATTTTAAATATAAAAAACAAATAAAATTATTATAATTTAGTAGCATAGTTTTATGACAAATATATGATTTAATAAATAAAACAAATTTTTATTTTAGTGGTGTTATGAAAATTTTAAATCAAACTTTTAATTGATTGGATATTTATAAATATGATTGTTTTTGATTATATCATATTAATAATTATTATTTTTATTTTTATTTTTATTTTATTTTTATTTTTATTTTTATTAATAGTTTTTATATGATCAAAACTATTATCACTCAATTGAATTATGAAATTTTCACATATATTTTCAAAATAATAGCCCAATGTATGAGTTTTGATTTAATTAACAAAACTTTTATTTTTATTTATTACAAAAATATTCTTTTTTAGATTATAAATAATTTTTTATCATTTTTTAAAAAAATTAAATTCTCATATAAAGAAATAATAAATTATCTTTTTTTTTAAAAAAAATATTTTTTCTTTAAAATGTGGGTTAAAAACAAAAATAAACTAAATTAATAAATTAAAATTAATATATTTTAAAAGGAAGTAAAAAAAAGGATTATAACCCATATTTAACCTTTTTACCCACACCATAAAAATGTTTTTAAATTTTGTATTTTTATTTTTTTTAATTTTTAAACATTATAAATAAAATGAAAATGTTTTACTATCCAGTTTTTTTAATATTTATGTTTATAAATATTATAAATAGTTATACTATTATAATAGATTTTTCATCTAATATAAACTATACCGGTTTTAATTGTGGTGATATCAAAGTACCATGCACATCTTTTTATGATGCAGGCAAAAAATCATTCGATTTAAATATTGAAAATGAAAAAATTTTAAATATTTTTATTTTAAATAAAAATAACCAAGATTGGATATTGACAAAAGGATCTTCAATAACTTTTGGAGAAATAAATAGTCATTTTACAAATATAACTTTTCAAATAGTTGATGAAAAGTTAAACTATAATAACAAATCAACATTAGTAGTAGATGGTTATGATACCCTGGGTAGTTTTTTAACCCATAATAGAAACGATTTTAATCCAGATTTTGGCAAATACATTATAATAAACAATTTTAAGTTCATAAACTGGTATTATGAAAATGGAATTATTTCAAATATTTACAACATTTCATCAAATAAATTTTCAAATAGAAGTTTTATCTTTAATAAATGTGTATTCGATAATATAAAAAAAATACTTTACATAGATGAAGAGTTCAATTTAAACATGTATATAAATTTGTATTATTTCAATAGTTGTATTATAAAAAATTATATTTTAAAAGATAAAAATCAAATTATGTATGTCTTTGAAAACCCAATTATAAACCTCTTCAATTCCAAATCTTTTTTTTTTAATACTATTTTTTCAGATATAACCCAATATAAAGGCTCAATTATACAAATGAAAGGTGATTCATTTTTATCAATGAAATCATGTGTTTTACATGACAATTATTTTAGAAATAGTTTTATAGAGTTTTATGGTGTCAGTGTCAATATAGAAATATTAAATACAACTTTATATTCAAATTTCAACTTTAATATTTTTATTTCTATAAAGAGAAGCGAAAGTTATTCAGTTAATATAAAAAATTTAAAATTTTTTAGAAATTTTTTTTATTATGAAGAGGATCTAACAATGAATATTGATTCATTTGAAACAGAAAAAGTTTTTTTTTTGGAGTTTTTCTCATCTGATCAAAAAAATAATACTCTTCAAATTAGTGACTGCTACTTGAATAATAATTTTTATGGTGATAAACAAGGCTTTTTATTAACGGACACTACAAATAGTGTTGTATTAAAAAATGTATATTTAGGAAAAGATTTTAGTACCGGGATTGAGGCATTAAATCCAAAAGAAATTATATTAGAAAATTGTAATATACAATCAAATATATCAATTGAATCAAAAAATACAAAATTAACTTTAATTGGGTCAAATTTATTTTCAAACATTCCTAAATTAATTAATAGTAGTGAAGTTGTAAAAGAAGGAGATAATGATAGGAATATAAAAATTCAAAAAGAAAAAAATAATATTAAAAAAAAAAATTTAAATATAATTTTAATATCTTGTTTATTACCGATTGGTGTTATCTTACTGGCCATTTCAATAATATTAAAACTAAAGTTGCATATTTCTAAGGTAAATAGTAGTATAGAAGGAAACCGAGATGAAAAGGCACAACCTGAAAATGAAGGAAAAGAGTTAGAAAATTTCAATTATTATAATAATAATTAAATTAAAATTAATAAAAAAACAAAAAATATATTTTTAATATATTTATAAACTTTTTAGATTAAAATTAATACTTTTAAAAGTAGTGGTTATATGGGGGTAAATTAAAAACATTTAAGAAAATTTTATAAACTGTTTTAAAAAAATTAATATATTTAAAAAAAATATCATTAGACATTTAATATTCATTTTAAAAAATGAAAATTTTGGATGTAATAGTTTTTTTAAATATTTTCTTTATTTATTTTTCAAATAGTTATCATTTAGTTATTGATTTAAATTTAAAAAAAAACTCAAATAATTCGTTATGTGGTGATTTTGATTTTTTATTAAAAAAAGAAATAAACCCTCCATGTAATAGTTTTTATGATATTGGGGAAAGAGCAAGAAACCTTGAAATATCATATGAAAAAGAGTATACATCAACTTTATTTATATGGATTATAAATAGATATAATTTATCGGAAATAGTGGTTGAAAATAATGATGAAAGTAAAATAGGTATTATAAATAACTATTGTAAAGTTTATTTTCAAGTAATAGATACAGAATACACTGTAATGGAAAATACTAAAGTAGTATTTAAACCAGCTGTTGATAATATTAATTTCATGGTAACAAATGAAACCATAGGTTATTATAAATGTAATGAAATATTCATAAAAATGGACAACTTTGTGTTAGAAAATTGGCATTCAAGTTTTATTAATACAGTTTACCAAGAGTTTAATAGTGGATTTATAAGAAACTTAATATTTGAAAAAGGTTTCTTTTTAAATTCAGTATTATACAGCAACTCATGGCTGAAGGACATTCCATTAGCAAGAAAATTTATTGAATTTGATGAATGTATCTTTACTGGCTACACTGATACGATATTATTTGTTTATATTATAAATATAAAAATAAACAATTGTTTATTTTTAAATTCAAACACACAAAATTTTTTTATAATTTATGACAACTCAAAACTTATTCTTAATAATAGTACTTTCAATAATAACACATTTATTCAAATTGCAGAGTTTAGAAATAACAATGCCGAGGTAATATTTAACAACACTATAATTAGTAATAATAGCTTTCAATTTATCATAGATATTTTTTTAAGTAATATGTTTTCAACATTTAACAACTTACATGTAAAAATTTTAAATACAAGAGTATCAAATAATATTATAAATGATAAATTTCATCCATTGGGACCAGTTAATTTTAAAGAAAACAATGCAATTATATATTTAAACTGCTATCGATTAGGTGATGATTTGAAATACATTAATTTTGAAGACGACAATACAAGTATTGTAATTTCAAATTCTATTTTTTCATATAATTTTCCAGAAAAAAATCATATCACAGGTTTATTATACACAGACTCCAAAATGGAAATTAAGATAGATAATTCATATATTGGAAGTGAATTTTCAAATGGTCTAATATCTCCTAATGCAAAAAAAGTTATAATTAAAAACTCTCAAATATATTCAAAAAACCCTATTATAGGTTCCAATATTAATGTTTATTTAAAGAATAGCTCAATTGAAAATTTAAAGGGTAATGGGGATTTTATATTTAATAAAACAAAACCTGTTTCTAGTATAGTCGAAGAGGATGACGGTATAAAAAGCTTTAGAAAAAATGAAGAAAGAAAAAAAATAATAATTATACCTTTGGTTTTGTTTTTTTCAATACTTTTAATATCCTTTATTACAGTTTATTTAATATATCGTAAAAAAGAGGCAGATAAAAGAAAAACTAAAAATGAAAATCGAACTCTATCACCTGATGATGAGGCAACTGGTGAAAGTTAAAATTTAATAAAGAATATAAAAAACTATAATCAACATTCATTCGTTTTATTTATTTTTATAAAATTATATGTACATGCAAAAAAAATAAAAAAATAGATTGTTATTATTATTATTGTTATTATTATTATTATTATTATTATTATTATTATTATTATTATTATTATTATTATTATTATTATTATTATTATTATTATTATTATTATTATTATTATTTATTATTTATTTATTATTATTACTTATTATTATTATTTAGGTTGTTGGGGAGGATGTTGTATCATTGGATTAGGTTTCATTGGATTGGATTTTATTTTTGGTGTTGCTACCATATTTTTAGGGTTGTTTGGATCTGGGTGCACATTCCAAAGTGTTGCACTTAAATTTGGAGCTTCTACAAACGGAAATGTAAATCTATATAAAACATAAAAATATTAATAACCTTTAAGTTTATTTGTATGCATGTGAAATAATATTACTCTCCAATTTTTTCGATTAAGCCAGTTTTACCAACATATAAATTTAATAAATCTATGTAAATATTTGAATATCCTCCTTTTAATCTTAAAATATCACCTGGTTGTACCTGTTCACCAATAACATCCCAAAGTGTCATATTTATAGCTGCTGATGAATCTGCTACCAATACTTGAAAAATTGTGCCTTCTTTTTTTTTTGTTGGTAATCCTTTGTCTAATACTATAAATACACAATTTATATTCTTTGTATAGGGTTTAATTTCGTTAACCTTTATAAATGTACTCATTCTTTTATTGATCTAAATTTATTATTTCTTCTAATCTTTTAATTGATTATTGATTATTGATTATTGATTATTGATTATTGATTATTGATTATTGGTTATTGACTATTGATTATTGATTATTATTGATTTTTGATTTTTGATTTTTGGTTTGGTTATTATTATTTATTAATTATTAATTATTAATTATTAATTATTAATTATTTTTACAAAATTTAAATTAAAAAAATGAAAAAAAATGAAAAAAAAAAAAATTAAAAATAAAAAAAAAATTAAAAAAAAAAATATAAAAAAAAAAAATTAATTAATGAATAAAAGGAAAAGGTTTATTTAAACTAAATGATTCTAATTATAAAATTTAATTTAATGATTCTTGATCCAATTTAATAAATCAGAGTTGAATGAATTAAACCAAATTGTATTGTTTTGAATTTTTTCTAAATCGTTTTTAATTGAACGATCGGCCATTGGTACTGGATGTTCTTTGAAAAAGTTTTCAACTTCTTTGTATTGTTCATCACTCATTTTTGATGTGAGTGAGAATGAAATCATATATGGGAATAAACCACTTTCACCAAAGATTTCATTGATTTTGGCAAAGTTTTCTGTTAAATATTTCCAAACGACTGGTTTATAAGTATTTGGTACTCTCCAAAGGGCATATGAATCTTGACTTCTGACATCTTTTGAAATTGAGAATTCAAGGGCTTTTCTAACTAAAGCTTCATTTGGTGAGAATGGAATAACGACGAGCAAAGCTAATTTTTCGGCGATATCAGTAGTTTTACGGTAGAGATCGATGATTTTTTGTTGTTCAGCTTCACCACCATTTTTGACATAGGTGAGTAAAACACAACTACGAATATTTGAATCTAAAGATGATTGATCTTTTTCATAGAGTTCAAATCTCTTTCTTGATTCTTCAACAATATCTTTATCACCCAAAGCACCTAACTTACCATTAATCTTGCCACGGAGTAAAGTGTCACTTGATGAATCGCTTGGTTTTGTATCAAAGCCAAGTTTTAATGAAGTTGGTTTTAAGAGGTCAATGAAAATCTTATTGAATTGAGTGTAGTAATCTTGATCAGAAATAAGGTCACTGATTTCGTTTAATGAAATCATAATGAAGTTCCAAACATCAGCTTCTTTTTCATTCTTGTAAGAGGTAACCAAATTCATAAAGACTGAAATTGGAGTGGCACCACTCTTGCAAAGGTTGTAGACATCAGATAAGAGACCCAAACGATCTGGAGCTGGTAATTGTAATGATAAAATTGTTGGTTCTAAACCTTTGATGATTTCTGGGGTATAAGCGATTCTAAAGTAACCAGTTTGACCATAGTTTGGTTTGATCCAACCATTTGGATTTGAATCTGGAATGGTAAAAGTATCTGATTTCTTAGTTAAAGTGAAATCGTATGATCCTTTGTCAGTTTGGAATTTAATGAAACAGTTCCAAATTGGGTCAGTTGGTTTTTCTTCACCTTGAACTCTGAATTTCTTTTGAGATAATTCATAGGTACCGTTTGATGTTTCTTTAATACTAACTACTGGATAACCTGGATATTTGGTGAAGTTATCAATAAAAGCTTTAACATCGACACCTGAAATTAAAGAGATTGATTCCCAAAGATCTTCTGTTTTGGTATTCATGTATGAATGCTTGTTTAAGTAATGAGTAAGACCTTTTCTGAATGAATCACCAAAACGTTTTTCTAACATTTGAATAACACATGAACCTTTGTTGTAACTAATAGTATCGAAAATTTCATTGATTTGTGATGATGAACGAACTGGTACCTCGATAGCATGGGAGCTTTCAAGGGCATCTAAATGAAGAGCTTCATTTCTATATGATTGTGAAAATTCTAACCAAACATTCCATTCTGGGAATAAATAATCTGTAACAAGGTAACCCATAAAAGTTGCAAAACCTAATGTAGGGATAATATAAAAAGAAAAACTAATTAATTAAAACTCATATTATTAATATTATTTAAATAATATTATAAACCCACCTTCATTTAACCATAATTGAGACCACCACTCCATTGTTACTAAATTACCAAACCACTATGATTAAAAAATAATATTAGTATTTGTAATGAATATGTGAAGAAAAAAAAAATAAAACGGATACCTACCTGATGAGCCAATTCATGGCCAATTACACCAACAATATCTTGCTTTGTAAGAAGAGTAGTCTTTTCAGAAGTTAATAAAATACTTTGACGATAAGTAATTAAACCCCAATCTATAAAAAATATAGATAAAAAAATTAATATATATATTTAAAAAAAATTTTAAAAAAAACATTAACTTACTTTCCATAGCACCTAAAAATTACAAGTAAATTTTAGAAATAAAAATTAAATATTATTAGTAATTTATTTATTTAAAAGTATCATAATAAAATATTTCTTACCCATTGCGAAATCTGGAATGGCAACATGATCACATTTTGATAATGGATATGGAATTTCAAAATAGTCAATAAAGAAATCCAAAGCTTTAACACCAACATCAAGAGCAAAATCAGCGGATTCTTTGATACCTTTAACTTTGTAGACACGTACTCTAATACCACCTTTAGTTTTGCCTTCGACATATTCCAAATCACCAATAATAAAAGCAACTAAATAGGTACTCATAATTGGTGTAGTATCGAAACTAAGATAAACAAAATCAATATTAATATTAATAAATAAAACCCTCATCAATTTTAAAGTTGATATTTACGTATAGGTTTTGGTGTTATCTCCATTTTCAACAATTGATGTCTCTGGCATATTTGAAATTGCAATATGTTCTTTTTGGCAGGTAATTTTAATGTTGAAAACAGCCTTAAGAGCTGGTTCATCAAAACATGGGACTAAGGTTTTATTTTAATTAATATTAGTTATTTGAATTATATATGCTGAAAAAAATAAATTATATTTACATGCACGTCTACAATCAGTAGCTTCGAATTGAGTGGTGGCGATATAACGTTCTTCACCATCGACAATATATTGTGAACGGTAGAAACCCTTTAATTTATCATTAAGAATACCAGTGAATTTAATTGAAAGTACAGCATTGGTAGTAACTGGTAATTCTTGATCAAAATTGAAAACAGCAACTTCCTCTTCTTTATTGAATTCGATTGATGATGGTTTTTGGCCAAGAATTTCAACGGATGCAATTTCGACTTCAATACTGTGAATTACAATGGACTTGGTTGGTTTGACAATGTTGAGGGTAATTTGCTCTTCACCACTAAAAACAAAATCTTTGAGATTTGGTTTTAAGTGAACATCATACTTGACTGGCTTTACATTATCTGGTAAAACCAATCTATCAGAGCTATCAACTAAATAACTTCTACACATTTTGTTGATTGTATAAATATATAAGATAAAATTTAAAAATAAAAAAAAATAACAAAAGCAATAAAAAAAAATTTTAATTTAAAAAAAAATTATTTTAAAAAAAAAAAAAATTTTAAAAAAAAAAAATATAATATAATTTAATTAAATTCACAATATTCGAAAGGGAAATGAATGATTTTTTTTTTATAAAAAAAGATAATGGGGATAAAGACTAAATTTATAAAAAAAATTAAAATGTGTGTGAAAAATGATAAATTTAGAGAAAAATAAGTTAAATAAATATTTATTTTGTAGTTTGGACTGTTTTTTTTAAAAATTGCGAAATAAAAATAATAAAATTATTATTATTTGAAAAATTTTGATTGCTAATTTGAAATATATACATAATTATATACAAAAAAAAAAAAAGTTTTTTTTTTTTAAATACTTTCTTTGACAGTTGTGGAAACCTTGGAAACCATGTCATAAATTGCTCCGCCAACCGAACCTGTGCCAATGGGTCTAAAGCCAACAGTTTTACTTTTTTTACCACTTGTAAGAGTTTCGTATAATTTATCACCATATTGATAAGTTAAGGAGTTAATTGGAAGGAAAACAATTGAATACTCTTCACTATCGATTAAAAGTTTATTAATTTGTAAATCTACATTTTTTACACCATTCTTTTCTTGAACCTCCTTTAAACATTTCTTTTTTTCTAATTTTTCGATGTATGGTTTTACAAACTAAAATAAATAAAAATTATTAATAAATATAACAACGAAAAAAAAAACATTAAAAATACCACTTACTTTTTCTGTTATCTCCTCTTTTGAAATATCAACAGATAAAACTTTTTCAGGCAATCTGGTTTGATTTGGTGAGTATTTTAATAACTCTTCAATTGGTGGTAATAAATGAGTAGATCTATTTGAATAACTGCCCTCTTTAACCAATTGGTCTACCAATGAAGAATCAAATGAAGTTGATGCACAAAATACTACCTCCTCGTGGCTACTCGTTAACTTTTGTTGCGGTGTTGTATTTGAGAAATCATTAACTGTAAATGTGGCTACATAAAATACTGTCGTAGTCATCGAAAAAACATATACTGGGAAATAAAATCTTGATGGTGAACTCCATTGAATATCTTTAAAATTTGCAGGTAAAAACCATCTTTCTTCTAACCATTTTCTTGCTTCATTGCTACACATTTCAGATGATTGATAAAATGGAATATAATATTGACCACAAATGGGTGAAACCTTTAAAAAAAAAAAGTAAAATATCGTCAATATAATTTTTAAAAATAAAATTTTAATTTAATAATTACATTTTTATCTTTGATTTCTACAAAATCTGAAAACTCTGAAAACAATTTTTCATCCAATAAAGAATCATTTGAATTATTTTTTTTATGGTCACCCTTTTTGCTTGATATATTACTTTTAACACTGCTATTACTATCACCAAGACTTAAATCATCAAACACATCACCATTATTTGCATAGTTGTCATCTGTGTCATTATAATTGTAATCGTTTAAAGTGACACTGTTGGAATAGCCAAGATTATTATTATAATAATTACTATTATGATTATTATTATTGTTATTAATACTGTTCATATCGTTATTTTTATTATTAAATGATGGTGTGGGTAATGGTTTATTTTTGTAATTACCATTACCATTGAAATGTGTTGTTGATGTTGAACTATTATTCTTGTTGCTGTTTGTATAAAAAGTTGATCCATTTTTATAACTATTATCATCATATGTATTATAATTTATTCCTTCCTCTTCAAATAAGTTTTTATTGATAAAATTTTGATTATTAAAATTATATGAGTTGCTATTATTACCATTGGTGTTACCACTATTATTTGTGTTTCTTGTTTTACTTTTGGTTTGTAATGGAACATAATCATTATTTGAATCATCTGTTATCTGTTTTTGGTTTTTATCATTTATATTATCCTGTTTATTTCTCATTGGTTTTAAACTATTTTGGTCATATTCATTATTGTGATTGCTTTTGGTTGATTTGGATTTATTTTTGTTTATTTGTTTATTTTCTTCATAATTATTTGTTTTGTGAATATTATCATATAAATCATCATCCACTGCATTATTTGTTTTTTTATTATTACTTGTTTTATTGTTGCTATTTGTTTGAGGGAAATTTATATTACCTTTCATTTGTGTGTACAGATTCTTTACAGGTGTAAAAAAGTTGTTTGAATCCATTTTTTTTTTTTTTTTTTTTTTTGCAAATTTTTTAATTTAAAAAAAAAAGTTAAAAATTTATTAAAAAATTTATTAAAAAATTGAGAAAAGGTTAAAACCTTATTAATAAAAAAAGTTTTTATGATACTATTATAAATTGATATAAAAATAGTTTTATTTCTTTTATGTGAATGTGAATATATAAGTGTAACTTTAATAATGTGTGAGAATTTTGAATAAATCGCTCAAACGAATAAACAATTTTAATTATTTATATCACATATAAGCTATATAATATATTAAAAAACAAAAATATTAAAAAATAAAAATAAAAATTTATAAAAAAAAATAAAAAAATAAAAATAGAAAATAAATAAATTTATAAAAAAAAAAATTTCTGTGTGTATGTGTGTATGTGTATGTGTGTTATTTTTTATTGAAAAATATTATATTAAGAAATAACTACAACAGTTGCTGTAACAAACAATAAAACAATATTTTATTTTATTTTTTTTTTTATTTTTTAAAATGTATGGATAGTTGATGTCGTTTAAATATAGATATATATGTAAATGGTATGTGAAAGTAAATAAAATAAATATATGTAAGCTTTTTTTTTATTATTATGATTTTTTATTTTATTTTTTTTATTTTTTTTTTTTTTATTTTTTTTTATTTTAATTTAAATTATTATAATAATTTTACATAAATCACCCAAAATATCTAGGTATTCATTTTTTCAAGAACATTCTTTAAAAAAATTTAATCGTTAATTCATTACCTATCTTAAAACATTAAAATGGCAGAAGTAGCTCCTATATATAATAACTTAAAAACCATCTTTTTTTTTTTTATAATAATGAATTAAAAAAAAATAAAAATAAAAATAAAAAAAAATAAAAATAAAAAATTGATGATTATTTTATTATAAAACAAAAAAAAGGAAGTTATATATTTATAGAAAATTGTTTATTTATTAATTAATAAAAATATGTGTGGATACTTTTATAATATTTAATTATCCCAATTTTCGTTTTCGCACAAAAAAAAAAAAATTTTAATTTTTTTTTTTTTTTCAATTTTTTATTTATTTTTATTTTTTATTTTTTTTTTTATAATTTATTTTTTTCGTATTATTGCATTATCATTTTAAATTATTTAATAAATAGTTTATTTTAATAAACAACAACACAGCAGCAGGATGAGTCAATTTTCAAAGAGTTTATTATCAATTTTCTCCTCAGTTAGAGGTAAATCAGATCCAATTGTTGTAAGTGATCATCAAAATATCAAATCAGAATTTTAATCAAATCAAGATAATACGATAATACGATAAATATAATAATACTAATAAAAAACATTAATATATATAGTTTTTTAGTGTTGGTAATTTTAATAGTATGTCAAGTCGTAGCAGTATCGCAATTAAAGCTATGAATCACTTTGCAGCAAATTTAGGTTTAAAATGGGTCGATTTCCCACAAAATTGTTCAAAAATTTCATATTCACCAGAAAATCATTTACTTTTAGTCAAATGCGATACTTATATAACTAAAGACAACTTTGAAGTTTTAAAGCGTTTAATAACATTAATGCCAAATATAAAAACAGATTCTTTTTGCGCAATTCATTATGAACATCTTTATAAATTAGGTATTGTTGAAAGTGTTTTTGGTGGTAGAACAAGACATAATGATGGTTTACTTGGTATTACATCAGTTTTTCAAACAGAGGTAATTATTAAACTTTCTATTTTTATTATAAATATAAATATAATACTCACTTTTTTTTTTATATCATATATCAACAAACATATTATTTTGGAATCAATCAAAAAAAAACTTTTTAAATATTAAATTATCAAATTATTCAAACAAAAAATACTCAAACAAAAAATTTCAAATTTCAATATTATTGTATTTTAGGATTATCATCGTGTACCAATTGGTATTGCAAATCCAATTGATGATATCTCATTTAAAATGACTCCATACTCAATAGATAATGTTTATCAAGATACAACCAAACCATTTGTCGTTAATAGATTCCCAGAAGTTCAATTAGAAATGGTTGATAAAGTTGTTGTTCCATATGCCAGTAAAGAAATGTTTAACACTATTTCAATGATCAAGAAACATCTTGCTCAAAAATCAGAATCTGGAGACGATTTATCAATGTTTAAAACACCTAGAATTGATTATAGCAATTTCGAATCTCATTATAATTTTTAAATAAAAACATATAAATAAATAATAAATAGTAATATAAAATAATAAATTCGAAAAAGTAAAAAAAAGAAAAAAAAGGTTTTTATTTATTATTTACAATATTTTATTAATTTTAATTTGTTTTGGTGGTTGTTATTATTACTACTACTACTTATTGGTATTGTTTTCTCTTTTTCTGTTTGTTTCATCATAGGGTTTATAAGAAGCTTCGCCTTCGTCTTGGGTAATATTATTTTGGTTACTGTATTTTTGTCTTGCAACAGCTACTTCTTCAATTTTCTTTTTCTTTTCTTCCATATATTTTGTACGTTCAATATACCATGCACCAAAGCCTGCAACACTTAATGAGATGAATCCCCAAAAAACACTTTTATTAGAGTTCATTTGATTTTGATTTGATTTTTATTTATTTTTAAAAATGCAACGAAAAAATAATAAAAAGAAGATGTAATATGAAAAAAATTTTAAAAAAAAAAAAATAAAAACTTTTTTTTTTAAAATTTTTTTTATTAAAACTTTTTTTTTTTTTTAGTTTTTTTTTTTTATTTATTTAAAACTAAATTTTTTATTTATTATTTGTTTGATTTTATCCTTGTTAAATTTTTATGATTATGATCTTTTGTTTATTTTTCTAATTTATTAAAATAAATATTGTTAATTTCTTCCAATTTTTAATGAAACCTATGCTATGGGTTGGTAAAGTCCATTATGCTGTTGTTTATTGTTGCTTTAATAGATGAATTAATATAAATTTCTTACCTATTCTATATTTTGTGTTGAGAATCTATACCAATTCGAATTTCGTGGTTGTATTGAAAAACTAATTTTAATTAAACCATTGCTTTTCCTATCTTTAATCTTATTAATAAATTCACTTACTATTAAAAAACAATTAGTATCTAAAGATATTTTAACTTTATTTAAATTATTATAAAATTTTTTATTTATTTGAATAATTTTTAAAATGATTTTCTTTTAAAAAAATATATATATATTTAAAAGTAAAAAAAACATTTTATTTTATTTTTTTTTACCATAATATAATATAGTGCCCATATTTAATATTTAGTGACTTATTTATGTATATCATTTTCGAAAATACACAAAAAATTGCGAATTCCCATAGAATAAATTGATCAGTTTAAAGTTAATTTAAAAAAATATATTAATATTTTTTTCAAAAAAAAAAAAAAAAAAAATTAATTTTTTTTTTTAATTTTTTATTTTTTTTTTTAAATTTTTTTAAAATTTTTTTTAAATTTTTTTTGTTTTCACGCATATAAAAATGAAAAAAAAAATTATTTTTCCATTTCTTTTATTTTTTAAATTGTGTGAAGAGGTAATATAATTAATATTAAATATAATTATATTGTTTTGACACATTATAGATCGATCGTTTTCTTTGTTTAATTAAACTAAAAATAAAATTACATTGCTGTTATTTATGAATAATATCAGTAGTTATAAATATAAAAAAAATATAAAAAAAATAAAAAAAAAAATAAATAAATAAAAGAAAAAAAAAAAAATTCATATAACTATATATTTTATAACTATAAAAAAAAAAAAATATTTCTTCTTCCTTTTTCTTCTTCTTCTCTATCCTTCTTTTATCTTAATTTTTGTTCTTTTGTATCAAATTGTTTTTTCTTTTTGCTTTTTATTTTAATTTTTTTTGGAGGAAAAAAGTTTATTGGATTTGTTTATTATTATATATACAATAATAATAATAATAATAATAGTAATAGTAATAATAGTATCACAATAGTTAAATCATTATAGTTTTGTTTGATAATAAAGATTTTGTTTTTTTTGAATCATATATAAATAAATAACTATTTACCACATAACTAAAATTATATATATTTATTTTTATATTTTTTTATATACAAAAAAAAAAAAAAAAAAAAACAAACCCCCCACACATACTCAAAAAACTAATAAAAAAATAAAATACCAAAATAAAATAATAAAAATAAAAAAGATAATTTTTGGGGTTGGGTTTTATATTTAATTTATTTTTTTCTAAAGCACAAATGTTTTTCTTTTATTTTGTTTGATCTATATTGTATTTTATTCAACAAAATTTGTATTAACAAATCTTTTCTTACTATTATTACAGGTTTATTGAAAAATTTTATATATTAATATTATCAGTAAATCAAATTAGCATAATCAAAATTTAAAGAATCACATAAAAATCAACGAACGAATAAAAAGTCGATAAAAAGAATTTATTATTATATAAATAATAATAAAAAGAATTTATTATTATATAAATAATTAATAGCCTATATTAATAATTCAATCGATTTAATAATAATTTTTATAATAATTTGTTTTTATTATATATAATTTATATTTATATTTATTTTTCATATTTTTATTTATCAAAAACCTTTTTTTTTTTTTTTTGTATTTTAATCATATATAAAAAACTTTAAAAAAAATTTAAAAAAAAAAAAAATTTCAAAAAAAAAAAAAAAACACCAAATTCAAATTTTTCAAAAAAAAAAAAAAAAAATCATATTTTTTTCACCCCACACCATAAATAGTTTTTTTTTCACATCCTAAATACATATACATATACATATAAAAATGGCTGCATTCTTTCCGCCATCATCAGCAGAACTTAGAAAAGTTAAAAAGGTTCAGTTTGGTATCCTCAGCCCAGATGAAATTAGAAATATGTCAGTTGCGCGTATTGAACATCCAGAAACATACGAAAATGGCAAACCAAAGATTGGTGGTTTATTAGACCCAGCTATGGGTACAATTGATAAAACTCAAAGATGTCAAACTTGTTCAGGTACAATGGCAGAGTGTCCCGGCCATTTTGGTCATATTGAATTGGCTAAACCTGTTTTTCATATTGGTTTTATAGATACAGTATTAAAAATTTTAAGATGTGTTTGTTTCCATTGTTCAAAATTATTAACTGATACAGTAAGTAATACATTGTTTTTATTTTCATTTTTAATAATACGGGTTTACTAATAAACGATTCTATAATTTTAATAACCATTTAGAGCGAATATTCATTTAGACAAGCTTTAAAAATTAAAAATCAAAAACATAGATTAAATGCAGTTGTAGAAATTTGTAAGAATAAAAAAGTGTGTGCAATTGGTGGTAATGAGGAAGAGGAAGAACACGATCTCAGTAAAACAGATGAAGAATTAGATAAAGCAGTTAAGCATGGTGGTTGTGGTAATGTATTACCAAAGATTACCAAAGAAGATTTAAAGATTATTGTAGAGTTCAAAGATGTTACAGATGAATCAATTGAAAAGAAATCAGTTTTATCAGCAGAACGTGTTTTAAATATTTTAAAGAGAATCAAAGATGAAGACTCAATTGCAATGGGTATCAATCCAGATTGGGCCAAGGCCGATTGGATGGTTGCTACAGTATTACCAGTACCACCACCACCAGTTAGACCATCAATTATGATGGATACTTCAACAAGAGGTGAAGATGATTTAACACATAAATTAGCAGATATCGTCAAAGCCAATAAAGAATTACAACGTCAAGAAAAGAATGGTGCTCCAGCACATATTATAACAGAAGCCACACAATTTTTACAATTTCACGTTGCTACATATGTTGATAACGAAATTCCAGGTCTCCCACAAGCTCAACAACGTTCTGGTAGACCATTAAAATCAATTCGTCAACGTTTAAAGGGTAAGGAAGGTAGAATTAGAGGTAATCTTATGGGTAAACGTGTTGATTTCTCTGCACGTACAGTAATTACTGCCGATCCAAATCTTTCAATTGATCAAGTAGGTGTTCCACGTTCAATTGCACTCAATCTTACTTATCCAGAAACTGTTACACCATTCAATATTGACAAGATGAGAGAGTTAATTCGTAATGGTCCAAATGAACATCCAGGTGCCAAATATATTATCCGTGAAGATGGAACTCGTTTCGATTTACGTTTTGTTAAAAAAGTTAGTGATACACATTTAGAGTGTGGTTATAAAGTCGAAAGACACATTAACGATGGTGATGTAGTTATTTTCAATCGTCAACCATCTCTTCATAAAATGTCTATGATGGGTCATCGTATCAAGGTTATGCCATATTCAACTTTTCGTTTAAATCTTTCTGTAACATCACCATATAATGCAGATTTTGATGGTGATGAAATGAATCTTCACGTTCCACAAACTTTAGAAACTCGTGCCGAAGTTATCGAAATTATGATGGTACCACGTCAAATTGTTTCTCCACAATCAAATCGTCCAGTTATGGGTATTGTACAAGATACACTTTTGGGCAGTCGTCTTTTCACAAAGAGAGATACTTTTATCGAAAGAGATTTAGTTATGAATATTTTAATGTGGTTACCATCATGGGATGGTAAAGTTCCACCACCAGCAATTTTAAAACCAAAACAATTATGGACCGGTAAACAACTTTTCTCACTCATCATTCCCGATATCAATTTAATTCGTTTCACAAGTACTCACAATGATAAAGAACCAAATGAATGTTCTGCTGGCGATACAAGAGTCATCATCGAAAGAGGTGAATTGTTGGCTGGTATTCTTTGTAAACGTTCTTTGGGTGCTGCTAATGGTTCAATTATTCACGTAGTAATGAACGAACATGGTCATGATACTTGTCGTCTCTTTATTGATCAAACTCAAACTGTAGTTAATCATTGGTTAATCAATCGTGGTTTCACAATGGGTATTGGTGATACTATTGCTGATGCTCAAACAATGGAAAAGGTTACTCTTACAATTTCATCTGCTAAAAATCAAGTAAAAGAATTAATTATCAAAGCTCAAAATAAACAATTCGAATGTCAACCAGGTAAATCTGTTATGGAAACTTTTGAACAAAAAGTAAATCAAGTATTAAATAAAGCTCGTGATACTGCTGGTAGTAGTGCTCAAAATTCACTTTCAGAAGCAAATAATTTAAAGGCAATGGTAACTGCTGGTTCAAAAGGTTCATTCATTAATATTTCACAGATGATGGCTTGTGTAGGTCAACAAAATGTCGAAGGTAAACGTGTACCATTTGGTTTCCAAAGTAGAACATTACCACATTTCACTAAAGATGATTATGGTCCAGAAAGTCGTGGTTTTGTAGAGAATAGTTATTTAAGAGGTCTCACACCACAAGAGTTTTTCTTCCATGCTATGGGTGGTAGAGAAGGTCTTATTGATACTGCTGTAAAAACATCAGAAACTGGTTATATTCAACGTCGTCTTGTAAAGGCTATGGAGGATGTATCAATCAAATATGATGCCACTGTTAGAAACTCATTGGGTGATGTTATTCAATTTGCTTATGGTGAAGATGGTATTGATGGTTGTTTTGTCGAAAGTCAAAGTATCGATTCATTAAGAAAAGACAATCACGATCTCGAAAGAATGTATAAACATATGGTTGAAAAACCAGACTATGGTGAGGGTTGGATGGATCCATTGGTTATCGAATTGGTTAGAGGTGATCCATTAATTCGTGATACATTAGAAAAGGAATTTGAACGTATTAAATCAGACCGTACTCTTATGAGAAACGAAATTATACCCACTGGCGAAAACAGTTGGCCATTACCAGTTAATCTTCGTCGTTTAATTACAAATGCCCAAAAACTTTTCAATATTGACATCAGAAGAGTCAGTGACTTAAATCCTGCTTTTGTTGTTTTAGAAATAGAAAAAGTAGTTTCCCGTTTAAAGATTATTGCCACCGCTGATACTACTGAAGATGATGAAAGCTTTAACCGTGCTTGGTCAGAAGTATATCACAATGCCACTTTATTATTCTCAATATTAGTACGTAGTACAATGGCTAGTAAACGTGTTTTAACCGAATTCCGTTTAACAGAAAAAGCTTTCCTCTGGGTTGTTGGTGAAATTGAAAGTAAATTCCTTCAAGCTCTTGCACACCCAGGTGAAATGGTAGGTGCTCTTGCAGCTCAATCTATTGGTGAACCAGCTACTCAAATGACTTTAAATACTTTCCATTATGCTGGTGTAAGTAGTAAGAATGTAACTCTTGGTGTACCACGTCTTAAAGAAATTATTAATATTGCCAAACAAGTTAAAACTCCATCACTTACAATTTATTTGAAGCCACATATCGCTCGTGATATGGATTGTGCTAAAACTGTAAAGTCACATCTCGAATACACCACATTGGCTAATGTTACCTCAGCTACCGAAATTTATTATGACCCAGATCCAGAAAATACCATTATCAGTGAAGATGCTGAGTTTGTAAATAGTTATTTTGAATTTGGTATGAATGAAGATGTTGGTGTCGAACGTATGTCTCCATGGCTCCTTCGTATAGAACTAGACAGAGGTATGGTAACTGCAAAGAAATTAACAATGGCCGAAATTACCCAATGTGTAGTCAGAGATTTTGGTCTCAATTTAAATTGTATTTTTAGTGATGATAATGCCGATAAACTTATTCTTCGTATTCGTATGGTCGAAAGTGAAGATATGAAAACAGAAAATGACGACGATGATCAATTCCTCCGTCGTATCGAATCAAATATGTTAAGTGGTATGGTTTTACGTGGTATCAAGGGTATCAAGAAGGTATTCATGCGTACTGATGACAAGATTCCAAAGATTTTAGATGATGGCAGTTATGGTAATCGTGAAGAATGGATTTTAGATACTGATGGTGTCTCATTACTTGAAGTAATGAGCCATCCAGATGTAGATCATTCAAGAACTACTTCGAATGATATCGTAGAAATTATTCAAGTACTTGGTATCGAAGCTGTTAGAAATGCACTCTTAAAAGAACTTAGAGCTGTTATTTCTTTCGATGGTTCCTATGTAAATTATCGTCATTTAGCAGTTTTAGCAGATGTTATGACATATAGAGGCCATCTTATGGCTATTACCCGTCATGGTATCAATAGAGTCGAAACTGGTCCATTGATGAGATGTTCCTTCGAAGAAACTGTAGAAATTCTTATGGATGCCGCCATGTTCTCCGAAACTGATGATGTTAAAGGTGTTACTGAAAATATTATTTTGGGTCAACTTCCACCATTAGGTACCGGTAGCTTTGAAGTTTATCTTAATCAAGATATGGTTAAAAATGCTCACTCTATCGCTTTACCAGAACCATCTGCCATCTCCTATCCAGATACACCAGGTAGCCAAACCCCATCATATTCATATGACGGTAGCTCAACTCCATTCCATAATCCATACGATGCTCCATTATCACCATTTAACGAAACCTATCGTGGTGATTTCTCACCATCTGCTATGAATTCACCAGCTTATAAAGGTGGCTATGGTAGTAGTTATTCATATTTCCCACAATCGCCAACTTATTCACCAACCTCACCAAGCTACTCACCAACTAGTCCAAGTTATTCACCAACCTCACCATCATACTCTCCAACTTCACCATCCTATTCACCAACCTCCCCAAGCTATTCACCAACTTCACCATCATACTCTCCAACTAGTCCAAGTTATTCACCAACCAGTCCAAGCTACTCCCCAACTTCACCATCATACTCACCAACTAGTCCAAGTTATTCACCAACTTCACCATTTTATTCACCAACTAGTCCAAGCTACTCACCAACTAGCCCAAGTTATTCACCAACTTCACCATCATATTCACCAACCTCACCATCATATTCACCAACCTCACCAAGTTATTCACCAACTAGTCCATCATATTCACCAACTAGTCCATCATACTCCCCAACTAGTCCATCATACTCCCCAACCTCCCCATCATATTCACCAACTTCCCCATCATACTCCCCAACTAGTCCATCATACTCTCCAACTTCGCCATCATACTCCCCAACTAGTCCATCATACTCTCCAACTTCGCCATCATACTCCCCAACTTCACCATCATACAACCCAACCTCACCATATTCATATTCTACTTATGGTAGCAAAGGTTCATCAAATAATAACAAAAAATAAAATTGTTCATCCTCCAAATAACCCATTAATTTAATGTTAAATATTGGAGATAAAAAAAACCATATTAAAATAAATAAATTATAAATTTTTTTTTTAATTTAAAAAAAAAATATAAAACTAAAACTATAAATTGATTAATTTTCTGAAAACTAAAAAATAAAATTTTATTTTTTAAATTTTTAAATTTTTTTATTTTATTTTTAATTTTTAATTTTAAATAATTTATTATTTAAAACAAAGGAAAATATAAATATATTATTTAGTAGAGATATTTTTTTTTTTTTTTTTAAAAGTGAAGATAATTAAAAGCAAATGCTTTAAATTAATCAGTAAAATTTTATTTAATGTTTTTTATAAAGTTTTTAAAGAAAATATTCTAAACTGTTGATATTTGGTAATGATTTGATGCTGATGAAGTATGCTCTTGCTATTCTTCTTTTGAATTTTCTATATTCTTCATTGATGTTGCTAATTGTTTGTGGTTGTTTAGCGTGTCTTTCTTTGATGTTTTTTAAACCTTTTATTTATTCTAAAGTAGCTAGCTTAGTCCATTTTGAGGCTAGATTCTTATAATCGAGTTCTTTTATTGTATTTTCTTGATCGTCGTATAATTCTTTACATAACCAAAACCAAGCTTGATGAAATACCAGGGTTATGGCATTTCTATAAGCGAAGCATCTAAAATGCATACATTACACTACTTGGAGCAAATTCATCGATGTCTTTGCTCACGGAATTTTTGAAAAATTCAATCACCGGGAAGATTAACTATTCTAAAAAGCTCCCCATTCGGGAATCGAACCCGAGGTACCAGTGTGAAAGACTAGAGTGTTACCGACTACACCAATGAGGATATTCTTTTAATTTAACTTTTTGTCTCGTCCTTTTTATCAAGGGAGAGATCTTCTCTGGAGATATTGCCAAAAATCTTTGAACCACAATTAAAAACCAGTTGGGTGACTGTAATGCTGGATTAGCTTTTATATAAATTGCTAACATGAATTTTTGACTATTTCCTTCAAATAGAATGGAGTAAAGGTTAATTTAATTTACTTAATTAGCAATTCAATTTTGATATTAAAAAGGACATTTGTATTAATTGCTAACCACAAATTTTTGACTTACCCATTCAATAATCGTTTATCACTAGTCATATCCTTAATTATGAAAGGAGAAAAAGTTAACACGACTATAATTTTTAGTTTATTCACATTTTAGTATTTTGAAGTTTAATTTTGTTTATTTAATTTTTATATTTTTTGTAGATAATTTTATAGAAAAAAATATTTCCACCAAAAATATTGAATAAAAACTATTAAATGAATTTCAATTTTTATTTTTAAAAATTTAATATATAAAAAAAAAATTTAAATTTTAATATTTTGAATTTTTTAAAAATTTTTATATTTAAAAAATTTTTTTATTTTTTTTTTTTATAAATTTTTTTATTTATTAATAATTTTTTAATAAACAAAGCTCAGTCATAAAAATATTATATATCATATTTTTTTCATTAATATATTTTATAAAAAATAATTCGTACACCATTTACAAAAAATCATTCTCAATTCAATCTATATACTTATTATTTTAAAATGAATAATTTTATAATTTTTTCCAGTTCCTCTTTAGTTTTTATTTTAATTAGTTTTTTTTTATCTTTAATAATAGCTTACTTTTCAATTAAAAATAGAATCAAGAACCAAAAACACCACAATAATAACATCAACCAAACTAAAAATAATTATAAAAATAAAAATAAAAATAATGCCCTTGATAATAATTATAGTAGCAATTTTTCCAATATCCGTACTATTGAAAATTTTATTTCAAGTCTCCAAAATGTCATTTCTGGTTTAGAAATCAACTTTATTCAAAAAGAAGAAATGATCTCAATTTTCAATAGATTTGAAAAAGAAATAAAATATAACATTTCAAATAGTAAAATTGATGGATTCCAAGATATTATTGACTGTATTTTTATTGACTCATTGGTACTTTTGGAAAAGCTTAGAGCTAAACAAAAGCTTAGACACAGTAAAATACAAAGTAATATCAGCTATATTATTGTATCTTTATTTTTTTTCATTAGTGGTACTTGCCGTTCAATTTACATAAGTAGATTTTTATGTATTTTGTTTAATGACAAATCAGAAAAGGCCAATCTCTGTAAGGAACATTTAATAGAAATTCTTCCTTCATTAAGAATTCATGAATTGGTCCCAACTTTAAAATTTTTCAATTTTTGCCACAGAGAAATAATTAGTAATGGGAATCCAGTCAATGTTAACCCCTCATCAGTTTCTTCTAACTTTAAAAGCTTAACTTCAGTTATGTATAATAATCACAGGGGTTTATACGGAAATGAAAATGTTGCCATTGTTGACTCGATAGTTTGCGAATCAATTGAACTTTCCAGTAGTATTTGTTTAGAAGGTGCATTCAAATTCTATTCAGACTTGTATCTCAGTCTCCCCCTATCCTATCAAGGTTGCCAATTAACATTCAATAATCAAATAGTTTTTAGATGTCTTATGATTATTGCAAAACATGAAAAATACATGGGTTCAATCAATTCTTTTATCAATCAATTTTGTAGAGGTCGTTAATCAATAAAAAATTATATCTTAGGAAAAAAAAATTTTAAAATAAAACTATTTATACAAAAAATATAAATTAGTAATTAAATTTAGTAATTTAAAAAATAAAATTATAAATAAAATTTAAATATTTTATTGTTATTTATATATATCTTAATTATATTAAAGTTTTTTTTACAAATTATATACCTTTTTCTTTTGGGTTTGTTGAAGTTATAACTTTTAAAAAATGAATATTATATTTTGTTTTATTACACAAAAGTATAATTGTTAACTTATAATATAAAAAACTCTAATTTTTATAAAGAAAAAATTAAATTTTAAAAAATTAAACAATTATTATAATAGAAATAAAAAAAAAGAATTGGTGCAGCATAGTCCAGAAACTAAGAGCATTATATTGTTTGAGTAATTCGGTAATTGCAATTGTATCTTATAAATTACCAGAAACATTTGAATATATACTATTATTTGGATCTCCAATCAATTGATCCAAAAAATCGAGATATAATTTAAAAGACATGTTTAAAGCAGCTAAAAAACCTAGGGATTCCTTCTTTAACCTAAAATCCTCCCAATATCTTCCGAATATATAAAGAATATTTAAATAAAGTGAATAAGTAATTGAAAATTCAATCATAATAATAATATTTTGGTTTCTTTCTTCTGAAATATGCTGTTGCTGTTGTTGAGTATTACTAGTATCTAAGGTTTCGAGATGAGTTGAAAGGGTATTTGATTAGAGTATTTCGATTGCATATTATAAGTGATGGATAATCGATTGCTCAATATTGCTGCAGAGTTTGGCGTATAGTATCGGATCGAGGTTTAAAACTATTATTTATTTTATTTTCATTTATTATTGCATACTTTAAAATCTTTATTCTTTCTTGAAGACTGTTCAATGAGTTTGATGGTGTCTTTGGTAATATTTGGGAATATATATGTACATTGAAAAGCTAAATATTTACCATCCTTTATTTTATCTTTTAAAATTGCATCACATTTGGTGTAGTTTTTTATAATAAGTGTTTTAAATAAAGATTCGTAACCGTATGCTTTATTTAATATTTGAAATTATTTTTTTGAATATTATTATATTCATCAGCTGATGGATTTATTGTTATGTTTCTTTCAGAAATATCAATTCTACTACGAACTAAAAAACATCATTGTTTAAAACCATTTGAACTTTCTGTAATTTCTAATGCATACAATATTTTATTTTCATTTAGTGATTTTAATATCTTTAAATCTGGAACTAATGGTCCAATAAAATAAATATCTAAAAATAAAATGAAAAATTAATTAATATATCTATTATTTTGTAAATAGGTATGGAATGATATAAATGTGTTTATAAACTTACCTTTAGATTCAGTAACTCTTATATGATATGAAGAAGGGAATGAAAAACTTTTGTAGTAACTATTACTTCCCAAAGAATCTAATGAAATTGTATTACAATTAACATTATCAGTTTTTTTTAAATTTATTTATTTTTAATTTTAAATATTATATATATTAAATATATAACTGCTTTATTGTAATAAAATATATTTAAAAATCCTCTTAACAATATTTATGTATATTAATATAAAAAAAAAAAAAAATTTAAAAAAAATTAAAAAAAAAAAAAAAAGGAAACACCACACATTACTATATATATTAATTGATGATGATTTAACTGTTTTTTTCTTGATTTTTAAAAACCTTTTAAATTAAAACCTTTTTTTTTTGTTTTTAAACTTAGAAAAATAAAAAAAAAACTAAAAATTAGAGATTGACTTTAAAAATGAAACAATTTGACCGAACTAAGAAACCCCTTTTTTTCAAAAAATAAACTAAATTTACCCTAAATTATTTTTAGTAAAAAAACTTGATTATTTAAAAATGTAATCTTTAATAATATAATTAATCTCTTGTTATAAAGAAAAAAAAAAAAAAAAACACATATTTTTAAAAAACCATGTTCAGAAAAATATAATTTTCACACACACTTAAACACACATATACATACACTCCACACAATGCTTTATCGTTTTTTTTGTTTTTTTATATATCCTATGTTATTAAATATGCTTAAATTGTTTTATTTTTTAAACACACACTAAAACCCACTCTCACACTAATCACAATAAAAATATTGATTAATAATAATTTTTAAACTAGTGATATAAAACTTCAATTTAACAAATATATATTATATACACAAAAAAGATGAAGAACCATAAATTTTTATTAATTATTTTTATTAAATAATTGATTAATTTAATTTTTTTTTTTTTTCTAAAATAATATAAATAAGAGTTTTAAAAAAATATATTATTTTCTATTAATTATTTGTATTAATAATTGTTATATTTAAAATATGTCATTTAAATATATATCATTTATTTTATTATTTATTATATTTACAAAATTTGTAAATTCCACAACTTGTCGTGGTAAAGTAGATTATTGTGGCGTAAATATCGATTTAAATTAATAAAAAATATTAATAATTTATATATATTTTAAATTATATATAAAATTTTAATAAATATTAATTATATTTTTATTTTTATTTTAGGTTTGTAATGGTGATGGTAGCACATGTTGCACTAAAAGTTTTTGTGATGATCACAATTTATGCACAGTTGATTCATGTCCACCACCAGACACCATAGTTGATCCAGAATTAACATTAGATCTTTATTGTGATCACGCACCCATTCCAGATCCATGGGAAGGTAATAAATGTATTAAAGGTGAATGTAATCCATTAGATGGAAAATTTACACCAAACTACACCAAATGCCCAGAAACGTATAATGGTGGGAGATTAGTTCGTTGTGATCCAGCAGCAGGATGTCTATATGAATTACCACAATGTGGTATTTGTGAATTCTTAGAAACAAGAAATAAGACTGCTTGTATCAAAAAGACCTCAAATGATTGTGCTAAAGAATTAAGTCTCACTAATTCAATCAATAAATGCAAGATTTACTCATGTGATCCAACTAAAGGCTGTGTTGAAGAGGATAAATGCAAACAAGGTCCAAACCCATGCCTAGCCCCAGTTTGTGATTCCTTTACTGGTATGTGTGGTGTTAAAAGAGTTAAAAATGATAAATGCAAATGATGACAAGCTTGTATCCAAATCTCATTAGGTTTAAAAGTTTAAACTAAAATTATATAAAAAAAAAACTAAAAAGAAAAAAAGGAAAGAAAAAATAAAAAAAAACAAAAAATAAAAAGAATTCTTTATTTTTAAAAAAATGATAAAACATTTAGGTTGATTATAAATAAAAATTGTATGTTGTTAGAAAAAAATTAATTGAAAAAGATGGAAGAAAAAAAAAAAAAAAAGATTAGATAATAGATTAATTTTCTAGATTTTAAGGAATAAATCAATTGGTTTCTTTTCTTTTAAAATAAAAAGAAAAAAAAAAGATTTAATCTAGATGGTGTGAATCTATTAGGTTTTTGGTTTTTTTGATTTGAATAATAAATTTTTTTTTATAAATTACACCTCGATATATAAATTTCAAGAAAATATGATAACATACAATGGGATGAACATTTTCTTGATAAATTTAAAAAGAACAATCAACTTCAGAGTGGTTGGAAGAAATGAGAAATAATCCAAATATTATTATTGAAGATACAACATATAAACTAGAGGTTGAAAATTATCTTTATCGTTATCCTTTTTTGTATCACATGGAAGATTTAAAAAAAAGGATAAAAAAAGGATAAAAGTGGATAAAAAAAAAAAAAAAAAGATAAAAGGATAATAATTAGGGAGAAAAATTAAGCTAAGTTTGACTAAAAAAAAAAAATTTCTGAGTTTCCCCCACTCCCACACCCACCCACTTGACTAATTTTTTCATTTTAAAAACTTAGAAACTTAGAAAAAAAAAAAAAAAACTTAGAATTACATTATTTTTTTGTATGAAAAAAATTTAAAATTCTTGTAAAATTTTATTTAATCATTCCATTTTTGAAATATTTGAATAATTATAAAAGATAGAGTTTTCGACAATATCTACTCTTGAAATGTTTGCCCATTCCCTTAATAACACACATTGTTCTATTCTTTCCCAACCCAAATTTGATCTGTTGTCTACATGTAACCAACAACTTAGCACCCGAAAATGTTCTTTCAATTTCAACGGACGAAGAAGCAACTGAAAGTAAATTTCTTATAATTGATTATAATGTTGGATATTGAATACTATTTTCTTTCCAATATTTTATTGTATCATTTCTATGATCTAAACTTTCTTCTAAGTATTTTTGGATTTCTTTATACTTTGAAATATGTATTTTTTTCTTTTTTTTCTTCAATAAGCATTTAAATTAAAGGTTCATCATAGTTGCTATATACCCTCTCTTTGGCAAAGTGATAATCTAGAGTATTTATTGTATCATTTGAAAGATTGTTTTTTTCTCTATATTTTTTTGCTGCTAAACATTTACCATCTATTAAAAATAAGATATTAGTATAATTTTTTAATCAATAAATTAAATAATAATATGTATACTTTACCATTTGTAAAATGATATCTAATGCTATGGATGTTGATAACTTTTTGTCTAGATCTTAAATTGAATTTCTTTTGGTAATAGGTCTTTTATTTGTTCCTTCCATTGATATTAAGTTATTAATATTAAAATATATTTATTTTTTATAATTTCATATTTATTAATGTTATTATTTATTAATTTATTTTTATTTTTTTAAAATATAATAATTTTTTATATTTTTATATATATTAATAAATTTTGATATTGATATATAAATAAAAATTTTGAAGTATTTATAGAAAAAAAATTATATTAAATTTATTTATTTTTAATTTTAAATATTGCGCTTAATTATATAACTGTTATATTGTAATAAAATATATTTAAAAATCCTCTTAACAATATTTATGTATATTAATATAAAAAAAAAAAAAAATTTAAAAAAAATTAAAAAAAAAAAAAAAAAAGGAAACAACCACACATTACTATATATATTAATTGATGATGATTTAACTGTTTTTTTCTTGATTTTTAAAAACCTTTTTAAATTAAAAACTTTTTTTTTTGTTTTTAAACTTAGAAAAATAAAAAAAACTAAAAATTAGAGATTGACTTTAAAAATGAAACAATTTGACCGAACTAAGAAACCCCTTTTTTTCAAAAAATAAACTAAATTTACCCTAAATTATTTTTAGTAAAAAAACTTGATTATTTAAAAATGTAATCTTTAATAATATAATTAATCTCTTGTTATAAAGAAAAAAAAAAAAAAAAAACCCATTTTTTTAAAAAACCATGTTCAGAAAAAATATAATTTTCCCCCACCCTTAAACACACATATACATACACTCCACACAATGCTTTATCGTTTTTTTTGTTTTTTTATATATCCAATGTTATTAAATTGTTTTTATTCTTTAAACACACACTAAAACCCACTCTCACTAATCACAATAAAAATATTGATTAATAATAATTTTTAAACTAGTGATATAAAACTTCAATTTAACACATATAAATTATATACACAAAAAAGATGAAGAACCATAGATTTTTATTAATTATTTTTATTAAATAATTGATTAATTTAATTTTTTTTTTTTTTCTAAAATAATATAAATAAGAGTTTTTTTTTTAAAAAAATATATTATTTTCTATTAATTATTTGTATTAATAATTGTTATATTTAAAACATGTTATTTAAATATATATCATTTATTTTATTATTTATTATATTTACAAAATTTGTAAATTCCACAACTTGTCGTGGTAAAGTAGATTATTGTGGCGTAAATATCGATTTAAATTAATAAAAAATATTAATAATTTATATATATTTTAAATTATATATAAAATTTTATAGTTTTAATATAATAAAACTATAAAATATTAATTATATTTTTATTTTAGGTTTGTAATGGCGATGGTAGCACATGTTGCACTAAAAGTACTTGTGATGATCACAATTTATGCACAGTTGATTCATGTCCACCACCAGACACCATAGTTGATCCAGAATTAACATTAGAATTTTATTGTGATCACGCACCCATTCCAGATCCATGGGAAGGTAATAAATGTATTAAAGGTGAATGTAATCCAATAGATGGAAAATTTACACCAAACTACACCATTTGCCCAGAAACGTATAATGGTTGGAAATTAGTTGGTTGTTATCCAGCAGCAGGATGTGGATATGTATTTCCACAATGTGGTATTTGTGAATTCTTAGAACCAAGAAATAAGACTGCTTGTATCAAAAAGACCTCAAATGATTGTGCTAAAGAATTAAGTCTCACTAATTCAATCAATAAATGCAAGATTTACTCATGTGATCCAACTAAAGGCTGTGTTGAAGAGGATAAATGCAAACAAGGTCCAAACCCATGCCTAGCCCCAGTTTGTGATTCCTTTACTGGTATGTGTAGTGTTAAAAGAGTTAAAAATGATAAATGCAAATGATGACAAGCTTGTATCCAAATCTCATTAGGTTTAAAAGTTTAAACTAAAATTATATAAAAAAAAACTAAAAAGAAAAAAAGGAAAGAAAAAATAAAAAAAAACAAAAAATAAAAAGAATTCTTTATTTTTAAAAAAATGATAAAACATTTAGGTTGATTATAAATAAAAATTGTATGTTGTTAGAAAAAAATTAATTGAAAAAGATGGAAGAAAAAAAAAAAAAAAAAGATTAGATAATAGATTAATTTTCTAGATTTAAAGGAATAAATCAATTGGTTTCTTTTCTTTTAAAATAAAAAGAAAAAAAAAAGATTTAATCTAGATGGTGTGAATCTATTAGGTTTTTGATTTTTTTGATTTGAATAATAAATTTTTTTTTTATAAATTACACCTCGATATATAAATTTCAAGAAAATATGACAACATACAATGGGATGAACCTTTTCTTGATAAATTTAAAAAGTACAATCAACTTCAGAGTGGTTGGAAGAAATGAGAAATAATTCAAATATTATTATTGAAGATACAACATATAAACTAACATATTTATACATTTAGTTAAATAGTTTCAAATTGATTTTTAAATATAGAGTGCCATCTTTGTAAAATTATCGAAGAATTGGATATTTATATCAAAACTAGTTCAAGATACCATCAAATTTTATTTATTAAATTATTTATTATATCTTTGTGTAGAGTTTCTTTTATGTTTTACACAGGATTTTACATGTTTACTTTGTTGAAAGCAAATTTCAAAAGAGGAGATTTAATTGCCTAAATTAATTTCCAATAAATTCTAAACTTAAATTTGTTCTAATTGAATTTCTTTTTTTAATTGATCTACTTTTAAATTGTTTTTTCTTTTACTCTTTCAAGTATTGTTTGTGTTTTTTAAAATAACACTATTTAAATGGTAAATGCCCAAATCATATTCAAAAATTTCCTTTTTTTGAAATTTTTTTATATATTCATCAGTATATTTACCCAACTGTTCAGATATCAAAAGGAGTTTTTTGAAAATAGTGGAAACTTAGTCGCATATTTTTCTCTTTTTATTCACAATTTTATATATAAAAGTGGACTTCTTTTTTATTTTCATTAAAAATATTTTCATTTTTTTGAATGATTCTATTATTTCTTGATAATCATTTTCCTTTTCCTTTATAAACAAATCAATCTCCCTGAAACCAGTGGGTATCTTACATTTTCTATATTTTCTGTAATTGTTAAAGATGGATCAGCTTGGCAACAACTTAAAAATGCCACTACTTAGTTTGAGTTTTTTTGCAGTAGTCATTGTCGTTGTTGGTGGTGGTATGGAATTTTTGAAGCGTCAGTGGTAGCTGGTGAAACAGGTGATTGTGTAGTGTTAGCAGTAGTGGTTGTTTATAACCCTTACTTGGCTCGATTTCATCTTCATTGTATTTTCTTTTATTAATTAATATTATAGAGAAGTTTCTTCTTCATTTTCTTTTTAATATTTTGAGACTGAAAAGAAAAAATTGAAATAATTCCAAAAAAGATTTAATATTAAATATTAGTTTCTTTAATATAATTATTAATAATTATATAATATTAATATTATAGTTACCTTAATAAACAAAAACCCCATGAAAATTTTAAAAGAACTTGTTTATTCTGAAAGAATTATAATAAATGAATCTATTTTCTATGTCTATCAAATCTTAATCTTTCTGCGCTATCTATATTTATATTTTACTTTGTATTATTATATAATTTATTTTTAATGTTTTTTATTTAAATAAAAAATTTATTTTTTTTAAAAAATAAATGGTTATAGGTATGTAATTCACTATTACATATATGAAAAAAGAGTGGTATGTATATATAAATAAAGTTATAGGTGTGTATAAATATATTTAGTTAAATGGGGTTGAAAGAATAAAAAAAGTTGTATAGGATGCAAAAGACTACAAGGTAAGCTTTAATTTTTGATTGAATAAGAAATATAAGTATAATAAATTAAATTTTAAAGTTGTACTGGATACAAAAGACTACTTCTAAAAGTAATATAATGAATAAAGTAATACAAATAATAAAAAATTTTATAAAAAAAATTTATTTAAAAACAAAAAAAAAACAATTATTAGAATAAATTTAAATTGATTGATGTTTATTATTAAATGGTGAAAAACGTGTCATTTATTATTGAAATATATAATAATATATAATGAGTGAAATACATTATTATATGCAGAAAAAAATGGGTGAAATTTTGATTTATTTTTAAATTTTATTATTAATTTAAAAAATAGCTATTTTTTAATATTTTAAAATTAATATTATAAAAAATAACTTACAAATGATTGTTATATCACTTTTATAATAATGGGTAAAATGAAAACTAATTATCTTATATTATTTTAATTAAAAAATTGTTAAATTATTTTAAATATTTTAATTATTTTTTTATAAAAATAGATATTTATTTTCTATATATATATATAAAAGCAATATAAAAAATGTAAGATATTATTATATAAATACATCATTTGTATAGACTATAGAACAAAATTTAAAAAACAAGTAGGATATTATATTCATAAAAAATACAAAGAAAAACTATTAAATAAAGGGAAAGTTGAATAATGGAGTAGCCTTAAAATAAATTTAACTAAATATAAAAAAATAAATAATAAATAATAAAATAAACAGAGAAAATAATTTTAATTATTAATAAACTTTATCTCTATAAATAATTTTATTTAAAATATATAACTAATTTAATTAATTAGAATTAAACTAAATAAATATTAAAACTTGTATTAAAATAATTAATTTATCTTTTTTTTCTCAAATCTTATTTTTACAATATAATAGCTTACTAGGTAATATGGATATCAATCGAGAGAGAATTTAATGAAATTTTTAAATCAAACAAATACATTTAATTAATATTTTAAATCTAAATTTTAAATAAAAAAATAAGGTTGAAACTATTTAATCAAATGAAATATATATTATTATAATAATTATTAAGAAAAATTGCCTTATATTTGACAATTGTTTTTTTGTTTTATTTAATTTATTTTTTTTTTTTAATTGTTTATAATTTTTTAATTTTTTGAAAAAAGAGTTTTTAAAAAAATTTTTTTTTTTATTAATTAAAAATTATAGCAATCACAACACACATATAAATTTTCATATCAGCTTTGTTTTTTATTAATAATTTCACTAAATAATATTCGTTTTTACACCCTTTTGCATATTTTTTATTTTGTAAATAATATATATCTTTTTTTTTTTTTGTAAATATTAAATATTTTTTGTTTGTATATATTTTCATTTTATTTTTGTAAATATATTTTTGTTTTTTATATTGTAAATAATAATATTAATTTTTTGTTTTTTTTATTTATAAATATTAAATATTTTTGTTTGTATATATTTTTTGTATATAATTTTATTTTATTTTATTTTATTTTTTTTGTAAATAATATATTTCTTTTGTTTTTTTATTTGTAAATAGTATATCTTTTTTGTATATATTTTCATTTCATCAGTTTATTGTTATATTTTTTTATATCTTTTATATTTTATTTTTTTTGTAAATAATAAATTATTTTTAAAAACAAAAATGTATGATCTTTTATACATGTGTGTATTTTTATTTTTTGTTGTTACCATCTGTTATAATTTATCATTTTATATTGGTACTTTAATATTCAAAAACACTGAAGACAGATGGGTAAATGCTGACGGCCAATGGATTAGTGAAGACAACTACTGGGCAAGTCAGGTACTCCAAAAAAAGGAGCAACTACAACAAATCCAACAACTCCAACAAATCCAACACCTCCAACAAGAAAAACAACAAGAACAAATCCAACACCTCCAACATCTCCAAAAACTCCAACAACTACATCTTAACCAACAACAAGAACAACTCCAACATCTCCAACAAAACCATCAGGACCAACTCCAAAAACTCCAACATTACCAACAATTCCAACAACAAAAACAACTCAACCAACTCCAACAACTCCAAAAAAAACTAAAACTTCAAAAACTCCAACAACTCCAACAAAAAGAACAACTCCAACAACTCCTATCACAACCAAAGCAACCAGAAACACCACAACAGACACAACAACAACAATCACAACAACTTCAACCAAAACAACAACCAAAACAACAACAACAATCCCAACAACAACAACAGGGACAAGAGATACAACAGGGACAACAACCACAAAACCAAAATGTTCCAGCTCCACAAATTAGCCAAGATCCAAAAAATCCAAATGACATTAATTTACCTTTGGTCAATTCAACTGGAAAACTAAATATTGAACCAACCCCATGGATTGAAATAGAAAGGCCTATTTACGTTTAAATGAACGTATAGAACTTTACCAATTGATGCCAAAAAATGAAATCCCAGGTGATGGTAATTGCCAAATGCATGCATTATCAGACCAGATCTATGGTGACTTACTCCATAGCAAATTAATAAGATTTAGAATTGTCAGTTGGCTTAGAAGAAATAAAGGCTATAAACTTCCAAATGGAGCCACTCTCTCTGACTTTATCACTGAAAACAGTTGGGAGGAATACTGTAATAACATGTCTAAAAATGGCACATGGGGCGACCATTTAACATTAGTCGCAGCAGCTGAACTTTTTAAAAAAAATATTTCTATAATATCATCAGTTGAATCCCAGGGTAGTTTTTTCATAGATATTACTCCAAAAAGCAAAGAATACGAAAATGGAATTTTATTATATCATTTTGCAGAATTCCATTACGGGTCTTTATGCCCATTGGTAGATTAAATTATTCTATTGGTAAAGTATTTTATTTTCCCACTATTTTTTTTTAAACTTTTTTATATTAATTTATTTAATTTAATACATTATATTTTAACCATTTTTTAAACAGTAATCAAGTAATATACATAGATTCTTTGCAATCTCTAGCCAAATTGTAGTATCATTTATAGTAAAATCTTATTTTTATAGAATATTAAATAAGGAAGTAAGTAAATAACGATATTTTACAAAAAAAAAAAATCTATTTAGATATGGGATTTGTTGAATAAATAAGGAAAATATATGAATTTCTAACACTATTAATTTTTTTAATATTTAGTGGTGTAAAATCTTAACAAAGCTTAGTGTCTTTAGTATTGGGTGTTTTTATCAACCTCTGTTTTTTTTCAAGTGGTATACACTGTAATAGGACTCATTAATGTAACAAGTAGTGGCTGTTCTATAACTTTTGTTTTCATTAGGTGCAATGCAAAACATGCTTCATCAAGTAGAAATATGGAATAATTTATATCAGGTATTGTCTCAAAATCATCTGGATCAGTAGTGCTATAGAAGCCTCAAGTAGTGTTTAATCTGGATTGAATAATGTAGAATCTAAAACATCAAATGAATAATTATTTCATCATATAATTCTGGTTAAAAATCTGACTCAAATAGTAATAGCTTTAAACCTGCACAAGTAGCCATCCATATCTTTTTGAAAGTGCTGAAGAGTCTAAGTATTGAAAATTAGATCCAACCAATCAAGTAAATATCGAAGCTCATCCTCTCAAATATCTTATGAATATCTTTAATTGCTCTGGCCAAGCAACTCTAAAAGAAGTCAAATAGATTTAGGGAAGAGAAACTGAAGCATCTGTAACCATTAATCAAATTAGGAAACAGTCACTATAGTTTTATTTAATCAAATATATTTAAAAAAAACTTAAATCCAATAATATTTTTATAATTAATAGCTAATACATATAAAAAAATATTTTTAATTAAAGCAAACAATAAATAAATTTATTAGTTAAAATACAAAATTAAACTGTATAAAAAATAATTTTAAATTTTGAATATTTTAATAACTTTTTATTTTTATTTAATTTTTTGAAAACTTTGTGTTATTTTAAAGACTATTAAATTAAATAGAAAACCTAATCTGTAAAATTATTGGTAAAGCTAGTGAATATAGTCCAAAAAAAACATTATGAAACCAAAGGAAATAAATTTAAAAAAGATATTAAACTGTTTATATTCAAAATTTTAGTCAGATTTAGTTATTGTGCACCTTTCAGAGAATGGTTCAGGGTAATAAAAATAATCTTCTATTACAAAATCCCGAGGTGAATATCCATGAGTGTGCATTTCTTACTCTGTACTGAAAATGAAAAAAATAAAATGATTATTTTTTTGTTTGAAAAATTTTAAAAACAAAAATTTAATTAAATTTTTATTAAATTATTATTTTACCCACCAAAATAAATTTGTAATAAAAATATAAAACCAAAAAACTATAATTGATTAATTTTCTTAAAAAATTTATTTAAATTTTTTAAAATATTATTACTTTATTGATTAATTTTTTTTTTTTTTTTTTTTTAAGATAAATTTTGAGCGGTCCCAAGTTCATAAGATATAAAAACATCATATGTCATTTGGCGATTGCAAACTGAAGCGATGTCGGTTATAAGCGATTTAAATCTGGTTTGATTTGTAATTAGCATTAACTTTGATAATCTTTCTCTTTCAAAATATGGTACATCGGCTGGTAACCAAGTTGATTGTACAAAGCAATCCAATAATACTCTTTGATGTTCACTAGTTGATGAATATTTAGAGACTAAAAAAAATTTAATGTTAATAAAAAATTTTATAATTTAAAATAAAATAATTTTTAATATTTACCCCAATTATATAAAAATAAAGAAATATAATTTGTTAAATCTCTACTTTGGTCATTAACTAAAGCTTTGAATGCATTTGTTAAAGTTTTTAAACTATAGTTCTTTAAGAATGATTCGTGTGGATTCATTTTAATAAATAGATGATTGAGGAAATCCAAAATGCTTTTAATTGATTCATTTTCACCGTTTAATAAAAATTCAATTGATAAATCAATTATTTGGACAATATTTGGTGAAGAGTTAAATGCTACAGGACATTGCTCTAGTACTTTTAATAATAATTTATAAACCCTTATAATTGTAGGTGTACTTTCACTGTTATCTAAATAAAAAAAAGAGAATTAGTTTTTTTTTTTTTTAAACTATCCGTAAATTAATTAATATTTACTTTCGACTAAAACTGGTAATGCCCTATTTAAAAGTGTTGAAATTAAATTTATAAAATGATTTTGGTAAGTTGGGTCCTTACCAAAAAAGTCTATTAAGAGACCCATAACCTCGTAAAGTTTTGAACCCAAAGTCTTGAATTGATTGATGGCTGATAATAACATTACAAATATTTTATCTAAAAATGGGAACTGTCTCTCTAAACCTACAATTATTTTCCAAAAAACACTCCATAATAACTCTAACAAATTTGAATCTAAATGTGATATAGCTAAATTATTGATCTCCTCTAATAAACCCCAAAATGAAGAAACAAATTCTTTTAATAATAAAATTGCATCATCTGGGAAACTAATGGATAAAAAAAAAAATTAATATATTATTATAATCATGAAATTTCTTTTTTGTCAATATTTACTTTAATGATGCGTCCAAGACTGCCAAAGAATTTCCAAGCAATAAACTCTTTTCTAGATAATTATCATTTGGCATTGATACAATTGATTTAAAAGATACAATAATTGGATTAAGGAGTCTATGTAAATATGGAGAAATCTAATAAAAAAAATATTAATATAAAATACTTTCTATTATTTTTTGTTAAAACGATAAATACCTTTTCTATCTTCATATGATCAAGCAATTTTAATATTATATCTACAAATGCCTTTTGTTCTTCGACTGACAAACTATTATACATTGGCTCGATTGTTTTGAAGAATTCATCAATTTTTTTATAATATCTATCACCAAACTTTGATGAAAATGATGATAGTACATTTACTGAAAAGTGAAAAAAAAAAGGTTAATAAAAGTTTTCTTTTGTTTTTATGAATATGTATAATATTATAATTACATGTTTATTAATCTAATTTCGGTATGTTGTAACAAATTTAATATATAGTTTAAAGTGGGTGTGAGTAATTCGGTGGCAGAAATAAAATCTCCATAATCCTCAAAAAGGTACAAAATTGTGGTCGAAAGAGTTGAATGGTATGGTAAAGTCAAAGAGAATGACAGTATATCCTTTCCTTTGAGTGGGTCATCATCCTCCATCATATTTGAACAAACGCATCTAAACACATAAAAAACAACTTCATATGATTGCCATGATTTACATTGATTCTTTAATAAATTTTGAATAAACTCGATAAATTGATCCCCTCTAATCATTTCAAAACAAGACACTATAATATCACATGCATTATTTCTATAGTTTGACATATCTTCTGCCAATTCACAATCTTTAAAAAAAAAAAAATTAGTACTTTTAATTATTTTTTATAGTAATAGGTGCAATATTACTTACCTGGCTTAACATTTTGAATATCTGGTGGAAAAGATGATCTCTCTAAAAGCAATTGAAGTAATTTAATATATAATTTTTGGAATGGCTCACCACCAGTTTCAAGTATTGAACCATGTTCGCTGTGAAGAGACCAAGCGTCAAATGTTATTTCTGAAATCTCTTTATTAGGATGTGAGCAAAGTTCTAAAAGGAATGTTAAGCATTGTTGTACTTCTAAAATATTTACATCTAACATTATTGGTGCATAACACTCTACAATTTGTGATACCAATTCTGCAAATGCTCTACAAATAAAAATATTATCTTCTATTTTTAAAAAAAAAAAAAAAAAATTAATAAAACTATAATTAATAAATTATTGAATATTTATAATAAATACTTTGAATTGATTCTTCATAAATTGGCTTTAACTCCATTAACTTTCTTATAGTTGGTACAATTAATAATTGAAAATTTGCTTGATCTGGATCTTGTGGTTGAGTTGGACGTTCATTGGTTGAAATCAACGATACATATGTATGGAAATTAATTAAATCACCTATTAAACTAAGACACTCTATTATTACCTCTTGATTATTTATAATATTAAATATATTTGCAAGTAATTGACTTTTTAATATAACTCTATAAAAATTTAAAAAAGAAAAAATTAACAAACCAAAAAATGGTATATTTTTAAAATTAAATATTAAAACTTACTTTGAATTTGAAAATCGTATCCAATTTCTTACAGATTTTAATAGTAATATATTAAATTGGCTTGAAATATTTAAAGTTAAAAATTTTGAAATTGACATTATAACACTTTCAGAGTTTTGATAAAAGTTATCTTTGATTGCTATTCTTCTACTATTTGATAAAATTACTGTTTCAAACTCTATTGGTAATAAATATAATATATCTAGTATACCCTTTTTAGTTGCTTCAGTAGATTGATCACTGTTTAAAATATTTAACAAATCTAAAATTGCATTATCCCACAATCTTGGTAAGCTGTGTATCACTAAAAATATCATTATAAATATATTAGTATTATAACCTAATAGAAATCAATATAATAATTTTTATAAACCAATACTTACTAACTGCAGATAAACATGATGAAACTTTTGAATTGAAAACTGGACTATTTGATTCCTTTTCATATAAGAATCTATTAAAAACTGTATTTTTTACATTATGTCTAAACTCATCTGACCATTTTGATTCCCAATCGCTGTGAATCTTTGTATATAAAGTTTGGATACCAAAAAATTGTGAAAAGAATGTTTGATTTACTTTAATTAACTCTAAACAAAGTGGTACAATATTTGGATGGTTTTGTAACTCTAACAACCATTTATTTGCTTCATTCTGTAAATTGCTATCATGATGTGTAAATAATGTTTGTAAAACCTTGTCAATTTGTTCGATTGACGGGACAGTTGTTTGCTGATGATGTTGTGGTGATGCTGGCGATGCTGAATTTGCTGTAGTTTCACCATCTGATGATAATTTATTATGTATATTATTCATTCTTTTCTTTTTTTTAAATAAATTTATGTATAAATATATATAATGATATTATTATGTGAATGAAGTTAAGAAAAATTTTTAAAAATAAATAAAATATTTAAAATAAAAAAATACTAAAATTTAAAAGAAAAAAAAAAAAAAAAAAAAGTATTATATTTATTAGATAACCATATATTGTGTGAAATTAAATTATCTCTACAGTGTTTTTGTCTTAAAAAATTTAAAAAAATTGAAAAATTTTTTTTTTAAAATATATTTTTTTTTTATATATTGATTTTTTTTTTTTTTTTTTTTTTTTTTAAAAATTTTATGGTATTATAATAAAAACCTTAAATATCAAAATACACTTTTGAAAAAAAAAAAAAAATAAAAAAAAATAAAAAAATAAAAAGGTTTCATATGATTCATTGATTAGAAAATGTTTGAATTATTTTATAAGCAATATTATCATTATAATAATTACGAAAATCATTGAAAATATTTATCTTTAAAAAAATTGTAACCCACTTTTTTACAAAAATAAAAAAAATCTGGATGTCTATTTTAAAAAAAAAAAAAAAAAAAAGAAGAAAAAAGAAAAAAAATTGATGTATAATATGTTTTTTATTTTTATTGCTAATATTAGCTATTGTTGTTGTTTTAGACTATTTAATTTTGGTTTGGTTAATAAATAATTTTACAAAGTAACGAAAACATGTTTCATGGTTTCATAATCTTTTTCGCCGAGTAATTGGAAGTTTTCAGCAAAATATTGAAGATGTTTGAGTGATGTGTTGGTATGTTGGTTAACTTCTAATTGTTTGATTTTATCCCAATGTCCGTGGTAAATATGAGCGTATACACTGTTATTAAAAAAAAAAAAATTATTATTAATATTGGTTGGTTTGTAATTTTTTTTTTTTATTCATAAAAATAATAATAATATTTACCGAAGAATTCTACTAATAATTTTAATAACAGATGCCTTATAATTTTTTGGGAATGGTGAATCGTCAACTGGGAAAATTTCAGGGTTATCAATTTGTTCACTGATCCAATTTACTACATTGTCGATATATTTTGGAGCGGATAATTCTTGTGGTTTACCTTTACCATCAGTCCATAAATAGGTGGCTTTTAAACTTGACATGGTTGGACATGAGTCATCTGTGCAAAATGATTGAATAAAAGAATAACACATATTCATTGTATTGAAACATTCGATTGTATTTACGGCAATCCATTCGTTTTCATCTTCGCCATCTGGACATTTAACACTATCTTTAAGTTTTGTACCACCTGCTAATGATGATTTTAATGATTTTCTTAATGTATAACGAGATGATCCGTGTGGGTGTTTCTTTGGTTTATAATTTCCTCTGATACTTTCTTTACCATCTTTACTGACTCTAGATAACAAATTTCCAAATAAAGGCATTTTTTATTTTTTTATTTAATTCTATATATATTTTTATTTTTTATTTTAAGATTATTTGTTTATTTTAATTTATTTATTTGAAAATATATTACTATATCTTTTTTTTTTTGTTGGGTGTTTTAAAAATACAAGATTATTTTATATGTACTAATATTACAAAGAGAAAAAATCAAATATATATAAAAAAAATGATTTTTATATGGTTGTGCAAGTGATTATAATGAAAAAAAAAAAAATAGAAAAAAATCAAAAAAAATGTTAAAAAAAAATTTAAAAAAAAATTAAAAAAAAAAAAAAAATAATTTAAAAATAAAAATAAAAATATAAAAAAAAAAATGGGTTTTAGTGTGATTTGATTTATTTGTATTTGATTTATATTTAAACTTTTCAAAAAAAATCAAGTTTGCAAAGTTGAATTATTTAATTTGATAAAATGAATTATACGTTTTTTTTTTTTTTTTTTTTTTCTTTATAATTATAAATAAAAAAAAATAAATAAAAATTTTTTTTTTTAAATTTGGTTTATTGTAATTTTTATATGATTATATATATATTTGCATAATAGCGATGGGGTGGGGGAGAAAAAACAAAATTGTATATAAATTTTTTATTGTTGTTGTTATTATTATTAATGTGATTATTATTTTTTTTATAAAATTACAAATTTTGATGAAGCGGCAGTGACAGATTCACCATGGATAATACGTCTAATGGCTTCGCTAAACATTGGGGCAACATTAATAACTTTTATTTTGGAGCATGCTTTACTCTTTTCACTGAGTGGAATGGAGTTTGTAATAACTAATTCCTCCAATTCTGAGTTGTTTAAAGTTTCAATAGCATTTCCACTTAATTCACCGTGTGATACCAAAGCATAGACTTTGGTTGCACCGCCTCTATTCTTTAAAACTGATGCTGCTAATGCAAGGGTTTCGCATGTATCTGCTGTTGATCCAATAATAAGGGCAGTTTTTCCTTTAACATCACCAACTAAAATCATGTCATCTGATTCGCTTTGTCTATCTAAAATTGCTAAATCACAGTTTAATTTATCTGATACTAATTTGGCTCTTTTTACGCCATCTACTGCTGGTGAAATTACAACCTAGAAATAAATGAAAAAATTGGTAAATATTATGAAATTCATCAAAAATTGAAAAATTAAAAAAAAAAATAAAAAATAAAAAATAAAAAATAAAAAAAATCAAATATCTCCTTTGGTCTAAAACTTTCGTTTTTTTTTTTTACCTACTTTTTCACCACCTTTATAATGCTTTTCAATATATTTAACAATTAATGGTTCTGCATATAAATTATCTACTGGAATATTAAAAAAACCTTGAATTTGACTTGCTCTATAATAATATTTTTATAAAAATTATTAATATATTATGATTTGATTTGACTTAATAGTTTACATACTCTAAATCCATTGAAATAACTCTATCGACACCAGCAGTTTCAATTAAATTTGCAATGAGTTTACCTGTAATTGGTTCTCTTGATTTTTCTTTTTTATTTTGTTTACCATATCCAAAAAATGGAATAACAGCTGTTTATATAAATATAGAATTTAAATGTTAATATAGATAAATTGGAATATACATATATATCCGATGATTCTATTATTGATTATTTACCAGTAACTGAACGTGAAGAAGCTCTTCTGACACAATCTGTAAGTACTAATAATTCCATTATGTTATCATTTACATTTGGTGTACAAGTTGGTTGGATAATATAGACATCTTTAGATCTTACGGATTCACCGACTGTAACTGATGTTTCGCCATTTGAAAATTTATTGCATGTGGTTTTGGTTAAATCTATATTTATAGCTTTTGATATAAGGTCTGCAAATTGAGGATGTGCAGATCCTGAAATAATTCTAACTGATTCCATTTTCATTTATTTAATTATATAAATTAATATAAAATTAAATATTATGTGTGTGTATATATAAAATGATGGGTATGTAATATTATTTATAAATTGTTTATTATTATTAAATAAAAAAAAAATAAAATAAAAGTTTTATTCTATTTTCTTGTTTATTAGATGTTTTAAATTATGGATATATATAGATATAAATAATTTTAATTTAAATTATTAAAAAATAAAAATAATTAAAATTTAAAATTTAAATTTGTTTATTTATTAATTATAAAAAAAAAAAAAAAAAAAAAAAATGAAAATGAATTTGAAAAAAAAATTAAAAAAAATTAAAAAAAAATAAATTTATTTATTTTTTTATTTTTTTTTTTTTTGTAGAATGCAAAGGATAATTTATTTTGTATTTATTTGTATTTATTTGAATTTATTTGTTATTTATGTGATTGATAATTTAAAAGTAATGAAAATTTTATTTCCAACAACAATAAGATTTAGTTTCTAATAATAAAATAAAAATAAAATTGATATACCCTACCATTATTTTTTGTTTTCATAGTTTTACATCGAGTTGTTGTTTAAATATTTAAGAATGATTATACATATATATATATTTAGCTTTGTCGTTTTAAACAAAATTAATTTTTTTTATTTTAAAAAACAAAAAAAATAAAAAACAAAAAAATAAAAAAATAAAAAAATAAAAAAAAAAAAGAAAAAAAAACAAAAACAAAAAATGAAAAAAAAAATCAATTTTCTGAATACGGAGTTCTCCTGGGGAATATAATTTTTTAAAGTGTTGTTGGGTTTGTTGTATTAATTAATTTATATTAATTAATAACTATAAATATACTTTTTATTTTAAATGATTTTTTAAATTTTATATATAAATAATTAAATGAATAAATAAATGTTAAAATTTTTATTATCTCTTTATATCGAATGGTGGGCAAGAATGATCTACGCACTTTGATTTTTCAGCAGATTTTTCTATTTGAATTGTGGTATGGTCAATTTCATATTGGTCTAATAAAAGTTTATTGGCTATTGCTAAAACTTGATCGGAATCTATTCCTGGTGAGATGGTTAAATGTACAGATAAGGCGGGTCTACCGACAGTAATGGACCAAATATGTAAATCGTGTACCTCTGTAACGCCTGCAATGTCGGCGAGATCACCTTTGACCTCTGATACGTCAATTTCTGGTGGTACACCTTCCATTAAAACACTGACACTATCACGAAGTAATCTAACAGTGGTAACCAAAACAATGACTGAAAAGATTAGAGTGGTAATTGGATCGGCTATTTTCCAAGTTGGTTTAATCCAAATAATAACAGAGGCAATCATAACACCGATACTTTGGAAACAGTCACCTAAAACATGAATATATGCAGAGTGGACATTGATGTTTGTAATACTTTTACCTAATGAATAACAAATTATTTTAAAAGTTAGTTGACCAATAAATGAATACAATTACTTAAAAATAAGAAATTACCTTTTTTTTGAATATTTTCAATTTCGGTTTCATCGTTGAGTTTTTCTTTTTTCTTTTTTTGAGCGTGACCGTGACCACCACCGCCGTGAGAATGACCGTGACCACCGCCGTGAGAGTGACCGTGACCACCTGAGCCCCAATGTAAAATTATGGCATCGATAATATTGATTAATAACCCACAGCAAGCAAGGATAAACATAATTTTTCCGTCAATAACTTCGGGTGGATTGATAATTCTTTGAATAGCTTCGTAAACTAATACACCAGTTAATGCCCAAATTGATAAAACACTAATTACAGCGCCAATAATTTCAGCTCTATGGAAACCAAAGCTCATGGAACTTGTTGGTAGACGTTGGCTAAACCACATTGCAAATAAACTAAGAAGCATAGCACCTATATCGGTAAGCAAATGAGCCGCATCACTCATAATGGCTAAAGAGTTTGCAATATAACCACCCACAATTTCACCCACCATAAAAACTGTGGTTAAAACTAGAGCTACAATTAATGAAAGTCTTGCTTTCTTTCTATCTCTTAACTGTTTTTGTTTATGTTCTAAAAGGGCTTCCTCATCATCGCTATGACTATCGCTATTATGGTCGCTGTGGGTTTCACCAAGAGTATGACTTTCGCTGTGACCATGACTGTGACCGTGTCCATGCCCATCTCCATGGCTGTGACCATGCCCTTTATTTTTCTTTTTTTTCTTTTCGTGGTGATGGTTCTCTTCGCTGTGACTGTGGTTATGGTTATTAGTATCACCAATAACTATATCCTCTAATTCTAAATCTTTATTTTCAGTACCATCTAATTTTATATACATATTACTATCTTCATTTTTATTTAATATTACATCCATATTTTATTTTCTATCTAATGTGTCATAATATATTTACACACAAAAATTAAATTAATATTTTTTAAAAAAATTATTTAATCAATGTTTTTATTTAACTTACCTATAAATTTATTATCTATATATTACACATATAGAATTTCTAAAAAGCTTTAAAAGAAAAAAAAAAAAAAAAAAAAAAAAAAAAGAATTTTTTATTTATATAAATTTTATAAAAATAAAAAATAAAAAATAAAAAAAAAAAGAAATTAAATATAATTAAATAAAATATTATAGTATGTAAAAAAAAAAAAATAATTCCCACCAGGATTTATGGGGGCGTTTTTTTTTTATTTTTTATTATATATATGTGTAAATAATAAATAAAATAAAAGAAACAAATAAAAGAATAAAGAAAATAAAGATTATTTATTTTATAATCTTTTTTTTATGAAAAATAAAAATATTATTAAAAAAAGTTGTAGGAATAGTGTAATTTAATATAAATTGAAGAATATGATTTTTCATTGTTTATTTTTAGTTTAATTGATAGATTTTTTAATTGTTTTTGAATTTGGGATAATATCTAAAAAAAATTGTAAAATATCAACATAATATTATATAGAAACCATTTACTTAAATTGAAAGAAATAAATAAAATAAAAAAAAATTATTTTTATGGTCACGCCGCAACACGCCGTTAATACACATTGGCACAACACTCCGTAAAAAATTTTTTTAAAATTTTTTTTTTTTCCATCATCAAAATTAATATTAACAAACATACAAAAATTATTTGTTTTAATATTTTAATCTAATTTATTTATATATATTAACACTTTACATAATTTATTTTGGTTCAAAATATTCAATTTTTCAAAATATTCAATTTTTCAAAATATTCAATTTTTCAAAATATTCAATTTTTCAAAATTTTTTTTTTCTTTTATTTATATTTATGGTTATAAATATTTTTTTATTTAAATATGATTAGTTTATTGGAATGGAAATCCCAATTATTTTAAATAATTAAACCTTATTAAATTTTTTTTATTGTTCACTCCACAAATTATAAATTTTTTATTTTTTTTTTTGAATTTTTTTTTTTTGAAATTAATTTTACAAAAAATAAAAACAAAAAGTAATAAAAAATGAATAAATTTTCAGGATCAGTAAAATGCAGATGGGCAGGTACATTTTTAAAAGGTGAGGGTACAATCTCATCAACTTCATCAAAATCACTTCAAAATATAAAATTTGAAGTACCAGCAACTGCTAAAAACATTGAAACTAAAACCAAAGACTACAATGACAGAGAAGAATATTCAAACCCAGAAGGTAAAGTATTATTGGGCAAGGCATAGGTTGTTCCTGAAAAGTATTATATTAACAAAGCACCTCAAACAATACAGAATTTATTTCAGCAGCATTGGCTTCATGTTTCAATATTACATTATCAGTAGCACTTGGAAAAATGAATTATCAAATTAAATCCATTGAAACTGATACAAGAGCAGAAATGACAAGAAAAGAGAACGGTTATTTTATTGATGATATATATTTAAATGTCAATGCGGTTGTAGTTCCAGATATTGAGGAGTCAAAATTTAAAAATGCCATCAAAATTGCAAAAGAACGTTGCTCCATCTCCAGTTTAATTAATGGTAAATGCAATCTTCACATTGAATCAAAAGTTAATAAAAAATAAAATAAAATCAAACATTAAATTATTTAATGATATAAATTAATAATAATTGTATGTTTGTTTTTTAAATATAGTCTACGTTTATGGATGTATAAATTATTTACATTTTATTGTTGTCTAATATATTATAATTTATTAGCTATTTAGAATAGCCTGGTTTTTAATAATTTTCTTTTTTTCCTTTATATCAAATGGTGGGCAGGAGTGATCTACACATTTTGATTTTTCAACTGGTTTTTCTATTTGAATGGTGGTGTGTGCTATATCATAGTCATCTAATAAAATTTTATTTGCGGTTGCCAAAACTTCTTCTGGATCTATTTCTGACGAGATGGTTAAATGTACAGATAGGGCGGGTCTACCTAATGTAATGGACCAAATATGTAAATCGTGAACTTCGGTAACACCTACAATATCTGCAAGATCTCCTTTGACCTCTGATACGTCAATTTCTGGTGGTACACCTTCCATTAAAACACCTAAGCTTTCACGAAGTAGTCTGATGGTGGTTCCTAAAACGATTACTGAAAAGATTAGAGTGGTAATTGGATCGGCTATTTTCCAAGTTGGCTTAATCCAAATAATAACAGAGGCAACCATAACACCGATACTTTGGAAACAGTCACCCAAAACATGAATATAGGCAGAGTGGACATTGATGTTTTTAACTTTTTTATCTTTTTTTTGAATACTTTCAATTTCGAGATCATCATTGAGTTTTTCTTTTTTCTTTTTTTTAGCATGGCTGTGACCACCACCTCCGTGAGAATGGCCGTGACCACCACCATGAGAGTGACCGTGACCACCTGAACCCCAATGTAAAATTATGGCATCGATAATGTTGATTAATAAGCCGCAACTTGCAATAATAAACATAATTTTTCCGTCAATAACTTCGGGTGGATTGATAATTCTTAGAATGGCTTCGTAAACTAATACACCAGTTAATGCCCAAATCATTAAGACACTTATAACAGCACCCAAAATTTCAGCTCTATGGAAACCAAAGCTCATGGAGCTTGTTGGAGGATGTTGGCTGATCCACATCGCAAATAAACTAAGAAACATTGCCCCGATATCGGTAAGCAAATGGGCTGCATCCGTCATAATGGCTAAAGAGTTTGCTAACCAACCACCTACAATTTCACCAACCATAAAAACAGTTGTAAGAGACAATGCTAAAACCAGTGAGTATCTTGCTTTTTTTTTGCTTTCCATATTTTTTAATTTGTTTTTTAATGGGGATTCTTCGTCAGACTCATCATTATGACTACCATCACTACTGTTGTCACCACCATGACTGTGTCCATGTCCATGTCCATGCCCATGCTTTTTCTTTTTCTTTTTTCCATGATTGTGACTTTGATTATCATCACCATCTATTTTATTCTGTTGTATATGATGATCATTGTTATTGTTATGATGATCATTATGATTATCATTATGATTATCATTATGATTATCATTATGATTATCAATATGATTATTATTTAATATTTCCATATCATCTTCTATTATTAGTTTTTCTAATTCTACATCAGGTATTTCGATAAAATCATTATTTATAATAATATTGTTATTACTATTATGGTGCTGATTATCATTATTTACATTTCCATCTAAATATATATTTTTAATATTATCTGTATTATTATTATTTTTCTTTTTTAGAATTGCTTCTTCATCCATATTATAATTACTCCCTATATTAATATTTTTGATATTTCTAAAAAAATTAAAATTAATATTAAATAGATAATATAAAATTAATATTTAAATTTTAAAAGTATTTAAATTTTTTAAAAAAAATAAAATAAATAAATATAAAAATTATACTAATTATACTAATTATTATTACTTACAGGTTACTAATTCTTTTTTTTTTATCTTTTATTTCTATGTATGAATTTTATGAGTAACCCACTTCTTACAGAAATAATTTTAAAATTTTTATTTATTAAAATATAAAAATTAATTTATTAAATAAAAAAATTAAAAATAATTTATTTTAATTTATAAAAATATATAAAAAAATAACTGGAATATGTGGGGTGTGTGGGTTTTTTATTTTTTAAAAGAGAAAGGAAATAATAAAAACCTTACAAATACATAATAAACATTATTTAAATTTATACATTTTCCATTGTTATTAGACTAAATTAAACACACATATACAAAAATAACAATCCTTTTTTAAAATAAAAAAAAAAATAAAAAAAAATAAAACAAAAAAAAAAATAAAAAAATAATATTTTTGATATTAGTTTCAAGATCAACCAAAAAATAAAAAATATAAAATAAAAAAAATAATATATTTATTACGCATATGTATATTATTTATATAAAAAAAAATTTTATTTAAAAAAATTATTAATTATTTTTTTAAATTTTTTTTTTTAAATTTTAAAAAAAACTGTTGTTCTTTTTTTTTTTTTTTTTTTTTCTTAATACAAACTTTAAAATATAAATAAATATCTTCTTTCTTTTTTTTTTTTTAAGTATAAATAAAGAAAGGCCGATAGTAATCGATTAACAGTCGAGTTTCTTATCAAACAATAATATAAACAATTATAATAATAATATAAATATTTTTTTATATATAGAAAAATAATAGTAGTAATTGATATTATGTATTATAGTGTATAGATTAAAAAACTAGAGCACTGTATACATAGTAGAAATTAATTAAAAATCATATATGTATTCGTTGTTGTCAGGTTTATGGAAATACCTTTTTAGTAAGAATGAATACTTTATTTTAATTTTAGGTTTAGATGGTGCTGGTAAAACTGTTGGTATAAATATAAAAAATACATATATAATTATACCAATACTAATGATTTTTTATTTTATAGACGCTATTAGAACAAATTAAAACTAAATATACTAAGGTACCAGGGTTACCACCCCATAAAATAATACCGACAGTTGGTTTAAATAGTAAATATTTTATTACCCCTTTCGAAAAATAATAAATAATAAAAAAAGAAATCTAATATTTTATTTTAAAAAATAGTTGCAAAAACACAATATGAAGAAATCAAATTAACCTATTGGGATTTAGGAGGTCAATCACAATTAAGAAGTATTTGGAATAAATATTTTACAGATGTTCATGCAGTTATATATGTTGTAGATTCAAATGACAAAGAAAGATTTACAGAATCAAAAGATGAATTGGAGTCTATAGTTTGCGATCCAAAATTAAAAGGTGTTCCATTATTATTATTTTTCAATAAGCAAGACTTACCAGATTCAGAGTCTATAGAATTTTTAACATCAGTATTTAAAAGTGTAATAAATAACCAATCTTTGTCATCTTCAGAGGATGGCACTACAATTTCAAGAAATGTACAATTACAATCATTAATAGCTAGTAAAGGGTATTTATCGTTTAATTTTACAGAAATAGATCTATCCCCTTTTATTTCAATTTATATTAATGTTTTTTTTTATTAAACTAAATAGCGAGGGTATCAGCGAAGGTATTAAATGGTTAGCAGATAATTTAAGAAAGAATGCCAGAACAATAGAAAAGACAGATTATTAAGAAAGCAGCATTTAATATATTTTAATTCTAAAAAGTTATTTTAGCCATAAAGTAAATGAACAAATAAACAAGACAAACCAAAAGTAAAAAGAATAGTAGAAATGAAAAGCAACAAACTAAAAAATAAATATTTAAATTTTTTTTTTAAAACTAAAGTTTTATAAAAACTAAACAACAAATAATAATTCTTATTATTTTTTTAATTTTATTTATTGTTACTACTTGTTTTAATAAGATGGTTTGAGCCAATAAAATATACTCTATAGTGGACCAATGCAATAATTAACCAAATGGATAAAACTAAGAAATGGCCTGCTGTTGAAATTTTTTCGGTGTTTGTAAGTGAAACTACAACAAGTAAATTTAAAGGAACTCTAAATAAATTCATTGTAGTTGCTCTAATAGTTTCAGGAATATATTTACTTCTTAATGTACCTAAACAAGGGAAATATAAACCACAACAAATTTCAAATACTAAAAATGATAAATAAACTAAAATTGAATTCTAAATAAAATAAAATAATAAGATTAGCAAATTATAATAAAAATATTAAATAAAAGAGATGACAGCTTACTTTAAATAAACATGGAATTATAAAACATGTTGATGATATTATTAAAATATATTGAATTAATGTTTCTGGACTTGTTTTTGATAGCAATGTAAAGAATGATGAACCAATCATTACACATACCATAAATGTTGCAAAAATTAAGCCAAATGGAAGTTTAAAATCTTTGAGTTGAGGTGATTCAGTTAAGGTTGGGGTCCATAAAAATACAAATGAATACATTGAAGCTTCAAATAATGATTGAGTTAAACCTAATGAACAAATTACTGGATCGTTTGTAATTGAATGAAAAGCGGTTTTAAATGTTGCTACTAATGAAGATTTTGAATCACCATAATTTTCATTCCATTGAGTTGCGATTAAAATTGAACATATAATTAATAAACCTAAAGCAAATAGGAATGGTGATACATATCCCCATCTTGAAGCGCATTCAGATGCCCATAAACCACTTAAAATTGCAATAACACCATTCATCAATGTGCTTTTATAAAATGTTGAAGATAATAATTCCTCAGAGAATCCATTGGCATTGTGTTCTGCAATCATCCAACTTTCAAATACTGAAAATAATAATGATGTTGAAATACCACCTAATAATCTACCAAATAAAAGAATTTCGAAATTATTATAAATTTTAGTTAAACAACTAAGACTGTATAAAATACCAAAAATGATACCCATAAATCTTCTACCACTAAATAATATTATAGTTAGTTTCTATTTATAAATATATTTCATATGAATAATGAATAGTTTTACTTACTATTTATCAATTACTGGACCTACAAACATTCCAAATACTAAACTTGATAAAAATCCAAATATAAATAATATTGCAATATCACTTTTTCCAAAACCATAAGACTCATAAAGAGCATAAACATATGGACCCTGTAGCCAATCTGAAGCCATGGCTAATAAATAAATTACCAAATATTTATTTTGAAATTTTTTAAATGCTGGATTGTTTTTATCTGTAATTAATTGTAATCTTTTATTTGTGCCACCATTGTCACTATTATGTGAAATTTCAATTACACTATCTCCTTGGGTATTGTCTTCATTGCTGCTATTATTACTATTATTTAAAACTTCTGATGTTTTTTCTGGGGTCTCAATTGAACTTGTTTTTTCTTTTTTATTCTTTAAATAAATATTAAATTGTAAAATTGAACAAATTAATAAAAAAAAACAAAATATTAAAAAAAAATCCATTTTTTTTTTTTAAAAAAAACTTTATTTTTTTGTGTTGAAATTATAATAATAAAATAAAAATAATTATTAATACATAATAATAATAATAATTTGATATTTTACTATATTGGTTTCATTAACTTTTGGAAAAAATGAATATTTTATTATAATTTTTTGAAATCTAAAAAAAATTTTAAAAAAAAAAAATTAAAAAAAAAATTAAAAATAATTTATTTATTTTTTTTTTATTTTTTTATTTAAAAAACGAAAAAAAAATAAATTATAATTGTTTTTTATTAACACTGATCCAAATTATATAAATAAAAAAAAAGAAAGAAAGAAATGGAAGATTTAAAAAGACAATTATGTTTTAATATTAAAAACTCAATTATTCATACAGTTGATACAGAGGATCAATGTTATGTTATGGATATATCAGTTACACCAAGTTTATTAGCTGCAGCAGGTTCAAATTTCCTTATTAAAGTCTATGATAGATCAAATAACTCAATTGTAAATATTTTAAATGGTCATAAAGATAGAATTAACGAGATTAGATTTATCGAAAATACAAATACATTATTATCATGTTCAGAAGATAAAACTGTTAGAATTTGGGATTGCAAAACTGGTCAATCAACCTCTATTAATCGTATGTTATTCATTTTTAATAAAAAATACATATATTATAAAAGTATTAACAAATTATTATTTTGGTTATTTTAGAACAAGATGAAATTTATAGTTTTGATTTAAATGGTGAGATTTTAGCAATGGGTGTTGGATCAACTGTAGTTTTATATAATATTTCAACCAAAAAATTAATTAGAAAGTTTGAAGAGTCACATACACAAGATGTTACAAGAGTTAGATTTCATCCAGTTGATAAAAATAAATTAATCTCATGTAGTGTAGATGGGTTAATTTGCATGTACGATTTAGAGCAACAAGATGACGACGATGCAATTATACAGGTTATCAATGCTGAGGATTCTATTGGAGAAATTGGATTCTTTGGTGACCAATACCAATATCTTTATTCATTATCACACACCGAAAAATTAACCCTCTGGGATTTAGTCAGTGGTAACAAAATTAAACATTTTAACGAAATTAGAACTGTTCTTTCAGAAAGATATGGCTATCAAATCAACTATTTGGTAACTTGTCTCTATGATAAATCATCCAATCAATTAATTTTATTTGCTGGTGACTTTGAAGGCACCGGTTACGTATTTTTAGTAACTAACGACGATGTTATCGAAATTTCAAAACTACCATCAGTCCACACTGATGTTTTAAGAAATGTTTATTGGGATAAATTTGTAACGTATAAAATTTATTTTGTTTTTATTTATTTAAATTTCATACTAATTTTTTTTTAATCTTAATTTAGAAATCTGAATTAATTACTTCAGCAGAAGACAGCAAAATTGCATTTTGGGTTTCATCAAATAATAATAATTTAACAAATAGTAATAGTAATAAAATGGTATAGTATCATTATTGTAAAAATAGTCATCTCAATCTTTAATCCATCAAATAAAATAATTTTCTTCTCTATTTCCATTTATGTAAAAATCTATTTATTATTTTTTTTTTATCTCAAAATCTAAAAAACAAATTATTAATTAATTCTTTTTCTATTTATAATCACAAAAGAAGGTAGAAGAAAAACCTCGTAAAAAATCCAGTCCATATTAAAAAAAAATAAAAAATTTAATTTAATCAATTTTTTTTTCTAATTAAAGTGTTATTTCCATAAAAAAATCTTTTTATTTTTTAATTTTTTTTTAATTTTTTTTAATTTTCAAAAAAATTTAATTTTTTTTTTTTAATTTTTTTTAGTTATATTTATATTATATTTCAATTAATTTAATATTTATCTTTTAAATTCTATATTTCAGTTTTAATATTTTTTATGTAAATAAAAAAATAAAAATGATGGATAAAGATGAAGATGCATATTACACAAATATGATAAATGATAATAATATAGATAATAATAATAATATTAATAAAGATGCATTATTTATAGAAAATAATAATATATTAAATGAACCAACATTCAATATCAAATACTATATAAATAACCGTTATGATTATCCAAGTTATATAATAGGTGCATTACAAGAGATTCAAAAGTCAAAAAAAATTGAAAAGACTGAAGAAATTTTATTAATGAGCAAAATGGAATTACAAAGAATAACAAATTTAGATCAAATCCTATTGGACGAGTTATTATTTATATTATCTCAAAATTTAATGTATCATACACACAAACCAAATCATTTTTTTAATAATAATAGTCAGCAATCAGAAAAAAATCAAGACTTGTTAAATAATAATATTTATAATAATAATAGTTATATGGAGGAAGAAAATGAAGATAATAGTGATTCTGATAGTGACGAAGATTACAATTTCAAAGATATAAATAGCAATAATAAAAATAATAACTACAGCGAATATAATAGTAATATATTTAAACCAATTAGTTTTATAACTTCGTTAGAGTTAGAGAAATTACCAGTATCATCGATAAAGTTATCAACAGGTTGTCCATTGTTGGATGAACATTTAGGTGGTGGTATTTCACCAATCGGTATAACAGAGATCGCTGGAGAATCTGGTAGTGGAAAGTCTCAGCTTTGTATTCAATTGGCTCTTCAAGTGCAGCTTCCTTTCGAAAATGGTGGTCTTGGCGGTGGTTGCTTGTATGTAAACACTGAATCACCATTTCCCTCAAAGAGATTAACTCAAATGTTTAATATTAAAAAACAACAAATACTACAGCAACAACAAGATAATTTTAGTTATAATATCGACAATATTTTCATAGAAGCCACTCCAAATATAGATTCATTAATGGATTTGTTAAATAATAGAATATCTGGTTATTTAGAAAAGAAAATCATTAGATTGCTCATTGTAGATTCTGTAGCTGCTTTGCTTAGACACGAGTTTGGTAATGAAAAGGCTGAAATTATGGAAAGAACCAAACTATTATGGAGCTTATCAAACCGATTAAAGTTAATCAATGAACAGTTTGGTATAACTATAGTGGTAGTAAATCAAGTAACAGATTTTTTTATTGATAATAATATAAATAATACTTTTGTAAATAATAATGTAAATAATAATAATTGTAATACTAGTGATAATAACAACGATAATAATAATAATAATGGCATCAATAATAATGGGGAAATTTCTAAAAGTTTGGTTGTATCAAACAGACCTTTTAAAAGAAGAAAAGAAGATTCAAAGGTTCCTTCATTTCAAAGTTCAAAACAACAGCATGTTCCTTTTTTACAAAGTCAGCAACCATTATTAGCATTGGAAAATACATCGAGCAATCATCAACAAGTTGGAATAGGCAGTACCACAACAATACCGGCACTGGGTTTATCTTGGTCTAATTTTATAAATACTAGGTTTTTACTCCAAAGATCAAAATCAACGGTTCCAGATCCCTTTAATAATAATCAACCTACAATCTTAAGAAAATTAAAAGTTATTTTATCATCCTCTTTAAAAAATCAAACTATTCCTTTTATTGTTGATGCTTCAGGTGTAAAATGTTATAAACAAAACTAATTTAAAATAAATGATTAACAAATAAACAACAACAATAAATAACAAAAAAAAAAAAAGATAAATGTTTTAAATATCTTATTTTTTATCTTGTATAGTTTATTAAAATGTTTCTTTTTTATTTATTTCTTTTTTTTTTTTCTTTATTTTTTCTTTATTTTTTTTTTGATTAATTTATTTTTTTTAATTTTTTTTTATTTTTTTTTATTTTTTAGAATGCTTTAAGAGTTAACAATAAATAATGGAATATCATGAATTATTGTTTTGGAAAGTTTTTAAAAATAAATATTTGTTTTTTTATATTTTAGAATCAATCAATAATTTAATAATAGATTTTAGTAATTTAGAAAATATTAAGTTAGGAAATAGAATAAAATTCAAAAATATAAAAAATGTTTCATGGTTTTTAGAAAAGGGCGAAATTAATTTATTGAAAGATAAGTTAAAGAGAAATCAGTATTTGCATAACACTTATGGATCTACTGTACAGTTTATTCAAAGATTTACTGATGACCTAGACGTAATCAAATTATTTTATGAAACACAAAAACAATTTCTAATTCAACATGATTTGGTATTTTTATCAATAATGAAAAACAATTTTTTAGCAGTCAAGTATTTTATTGAGGAATGCAAAATGAAAGTAACACCAGAATTATTTATAAATGCTTTGGAATATTCAAGTAAGGAAATCGTTGAATATTTAATCAGAGTTTGTGGTCAATATATAAATAACCCGACCAAGGCTAATAACGTATTGGATGCATCATTATATAGGGCATCGATTAATAGAAACGGTGACTTGCTTTCATATATTATTGCAAATCATCCATCAATATATCCATCAAGTCCAAGATTTATCAATCAAAATATAGAGTTTACTTCTCAAGTTCCTGGTCCCCAGTATTCAAAGTTATCATTATCCGAAAAAAAGATATTGGTGGGGTTAAAGAGAGTTATGCCAATAACCCTTTCAAGTAAAATTAAAACATTAAAGAACCTATCATACGACGAACTTTTATTTTTTATTACCCAAGAGTACCACACAGTATATCAAAACACACAGGATAATCAACTTACCCAAAAAATAATGAACATTGTTGACCGAATGGAGAATGAACAAGAAAAAATTAAAGAAATTAGAAAAATCATCGCTTTCAAACTAAAAAATCACAATCTTTTTTATGAATACTTTATCCAATATAATGACATATCAGAACTTAATAATGACCCAGGATATCCCTATTTAAGTGCATATGCACTTTATACAAAGAATACATTCAACTTGAAAGGTTTAGAGTTCTTTATTTTTAATCGTTCATTGGTATTCCGATCATATGATATAACAGAAGATACTGTATCTCAAGAGACTCAAGATTTTATGATAAACCCTCAAAATAAAAAGATAATAATTGACTTTTTCAAGCTATATTTCTCTCAAGATTTTTTTAAGGCTTTTAGTTTTTTCCAAGAATGTCAATTTCTAATTCACTCTCCACTCATTTCAATAGATTTGCTAGAATCCTGTAAAAACATTCAAGGGTTCCCAGTAAATTTTTTAATAACACCAGATCCCAAAGAAATTAAACCATTAGAGAAGCAAGTTTGGTATATAGATTTTTGCACTGAATTCGCACTAAGAAAAGTTGGCTTTAATGACTTGATTCAAGATTTAATTTGCACAAATGAATATATTGACTTTCTATATCAAAATAAAAATAGAATTAAAGGTGTTCCCACATTTAATCTAGATTCAGGAGAGCTATTGCTTTATTTTGTCTCAAAATTTGAATCCCAATTTCCAGCATCCAGCTATATAACTATCAAACTGTATCAAAAAGTAATAGCCAACGCAGATTTAAAAACATTAAAATATATAGATAGATTCTCAATTAATTTTCAAAATAGTATAATTTTTTTACAAAAGGTTACATGGGAACCAATCAAGATATCATCATCAAAAGAATCGGCAATTGAAATGTTTAATTATCTTTTAGATTCAAAGTGTATGGGTATAAATGACAAAAATCTATTTTTTTCAGTAATCAATTCGCTTTTAATTAAAATATTTAATGATGAAGATACCGAAAAAGAAGTTTGCAATGAAGTCTCAAGTGTACAGATTAAAGAATATGACTATAGTATTTTTGAAAAAGAATCGTTTGATAGCTTACTTCACTGTATATTAAAACTACATGTTGGTGCTGTTAAATATTTATTAGATAGTCTTGTAAAATCAAATAAGGTCGATGATTTTATCCAAGAAAACTCCTCAGAGCTTATCGATTTAAAAATTAAAAAAAACTATATGAACCTCAATTCTATGGAATCATCATTTTACGATTTTAAAAAAATAGTTACAATTATTTTTTTACTTTTAGATAACCTTGATAAAAAATACCACAACGATTTTAATCCAGTCTTCAATATATTATACAAATACCTTTTATTTTCAAATTGCTCAATCGAAGAGGTTAAATATATCAAAGATGTATTGTGTCAATCCTCAATTGTTTTATCAATTACATCATTTCATATTTTTCATTATTTTAATATAAAATCACCAAAGCTTTTATTATATTTTACCAAAAGATTTATATCTAGTTTTCAAATTTATCCTCAAATGAAAAGGAAGTTCAAGGATGATCTGGAAACAGTTGTAGACTCTACTTTTGCTGAAGAAAATTTCAATTTAGAGTTCATTGCCAATAATACTTTTAAAACCCTTTATCTAATGCTATCGTCAGAATTTACCTTTCAATCAAGATACTCTTCAATTCTCGATCCTCAATTTAATGAAATGAATTATTTGGTTAGTATTGGAGCCTATGATGTTATTTCAACTTTACTCTATGGATGCAAAGATGTAACATTATTATGCACTGATAAAAATGGGTTTGAAACATACGACACCATTACATCTATTTCAAACCATCACTTATTAAAATCATTCATAGAATTCCCAGATCTTTCAAGTGGTATATTTAAAAGTGCTCTTGCAAAATCAAATCTAGAAATTATTCAATACGTCCTACAAAAATATCCTCATATCAAAATCGATATATTAATTCTAGAAAGAATTGACTATCAAGTTTTAGAATTCATTTTATCGAAAAATCTCCTAACTCAAGAGACTGCTCACAAAGTATTCATTATTCATTTTGAAAAAGGTAATTTAGAAGAATCCAAATTGTTATTTAGCTACCTTAATAATGTAGTGATAAGTCAAAAATCCATAGACAAGGTGATGCACAATAAATATTTTTTTATTGTCAAACATTATTATAATATCAAAAAAATTAGTAAAGAATTTTTATTAAAATATAAAAATTTAAATTGGTTAAATTAAATAAAAGATTCAATTATCTATTTTATTATTTTTTTCTTTTTTGTGTTATGGAAACAAGTGGTGAAAAACAATATCAAAAATTTATTTACCATTATTAAAAGAAGCAATACTCAAAGATATAAATTTATACCAGGAACTTTTCATATTTTAAAAAAATATAATTAGTGTAAAAAAACTATAAATTAGGCTTTTGGTTTTCAAAAAAAAATTTTCATTTTTTTCTCAAATATTTTTTTTTTCATTTTTTTTAAGTGGCTTGGTGCCTTTATGTTTTGGCGCAACTAAGCAATAATTTTTTGATAATGTTAAATTTAACATATTTCATTTTGCAAAAAAAAATTTGCAGAGTAGGGAAAGTTGAAATTCCAACATCAGACGAAAAAGTATTAATTAAAGATCTTAATAAATTCAAAAATCAATTGGATGGTTATCAAAAATGAATTTAAATATACTATAAATAAAAGATTTTCAATCACAAGCAAATATAAATTTTAACCAGCTTTTCAAATAATAAATAAAAAAAATAAAGTTGGTAAAAAATTTCCGAGCTTCCCAAAAAAACGAAAAAATTTAAATTTTTTTTGGAAATATATTTTTTTTTATTTTTAAAAATTTCCCATATTTCCAAAAAAAAAATTTCATTTTTTTATTTTGCCCCAACACCAAAATGATTTATTATTTTATTTTTTTATTTTATTTTTTTAATTTTTCATTATCAGCAATACCCCAAGCTGAATATGATTGTTATAAGAACTTTGTCGAAAAGTTTGGTTTAAAACAATTTTATCCAAGTAACTATTATTATTAGAAATATATTATTTTAAAGTTTATTAATTATTTTTTTTATTTTATTTTAGTAGATACAAATGGTGTTTACCCAGAAAGCTCATTTTGTACATATCCTAACAGTTGCCACAATAATGGATCAATTAATTTATTTTTAGGTAGGGCAGGTAATGATGATACTCCAAAAACAGGAGAAAAAGTATTAATTAATGATCTTGAATGTTTTCCATATTTATCAGAAATTTTTGTAAATGGAATTGAGCCATCTGAGGAGTTTATTTACTATAAATACCCAACAGTTTCAAGAATGACCATTTCTTATAAGAATATTAATCAATTTACACAAAAATTACCAGACTATGATTATATGTTAGTATTTTTTATTTTTTTAAATAATAAAAAACAAAAATACTAATATTTTTTTTAAAATATAATAGCTATATTGACACTAATGGACCCATAACCTATATAAAGATGTCTTATTTAAATGGTATAAAAAACTTTTTTTTTATGAGTAGTTTGGCATTTCCAACTATTGAAGTTGATAGCGGAGCTTTTAAAACAAATTTAAAGTATTTTACAATAAGTGCGAGTAATTTACCAGACTTTTCCGGTTATCAATTCGATAGAGCCGAAATAAATTTTGGTAATGCTCTCAATCCAACAGATATACTTACAAATTTCCAATACTTAAATGCTACAAATGTTCAATTTTCATTTAAATCAACAGTTCCTTTTTATCTTCATTTAAACTCTTATATTAAAGCCATGCGTCACTCTATGGGTATACTTCAAACACCAACTCAATTCTACGATATGTCAAATATTGTCAATTATCAATCTATCGAAATGGAAAATGTTGGTGAAAATTTCCTTTATCAAAATAAAATTCCATTTAAAGTTAGCCCAACAACAAATCTTGCAATTTCATTTACCGAAGCTAATACATTACAAATTTCCGTCGAATTGCCCCCAGTTACTGATGTTGGTTATTTAAAAACTGCAAGATATACAAATGGCTACTTATCGGGAAATTTACCAGAATATAATGGTCAAGGTTCAGCATTTATTTATGACAATAACAAATTAACAGGTACTATACCTGAGTCATGGTGCGGCACTATTTTATCTGTTGCGAATAATCAATTAACAGGGTTTGTATTTAATATATTTTTTATTGTATAAATTAAATTAATAATATTAATGTTTTTAAAATAATCATATAGTTCTATTCCATCATGCTTTTCTTGTTATTTAGGTTCTACAGCTTATTATACTAGTGGAATTTCGGGTCCAAACGGTATTGCATTTCAATCTCAAATGTATGATAGATTTGCAGGGAGCTCTAATACATTTACAAATTATGATAAAACTATTCCATGCACCACTTATAAACCACAGGTTAAGTATCATAATCAAACAACTTTTATAATTAGTGGTATTGATATTGGTCTAATTGAATATTATTATATTGGTTCAGTTTCACCCGGCAACCAGTGTAGATTTGTTCCAGATGCAGTTATTAGATTTGGTTATGAATATTATTGTAATCAATTTTTAAATCTTCAGAGAGGAAATTATTTCACACTATTCAATATAGGAAATAATTTAAATTATAATTTTGCTTTAGTCAGTAAACCACCAACTTTTACATCAATTATAACAACTGAAAATAATAAAGTCTCTGCAGTTGGCACATTCTTCTCAAGTTATATAGGTCAATCAGTACAAACTATAACTATAGGAGGTACAGATTGTCAAGTTACTAACACTGGGTTCACTAACTTTACTTGCATCACATCAGTTACATTATCATCAGAAAAACAACTAGTTGTAATAAAAAATGATAATCAAACTAAAAAAGTATTTGCAGTTTTCGAAAACAATAGACTCAATAATAAACAATGTCCAAATGATTGTGTAGGCTCACTGTCAGGAGATGTTTGCGATTTAAGCACTGGTCATTGTGAGTGTGACATTGGACTTGGTGGTGAGAAATGCGAATTCAGTCAACACTATATTACATCGGTTAATCCATCGAATGAAAATGGTGGTGAAGCAAGCTTCTATGGTAGCTTTGGTGAACAACACAACCAATTATCAGTTACAATCGGATCAAAAACATGTCCAGTTACACACTCTTCAAATAATTTAATTAGTTGCACTGCACCACCAGGTAAAGGTATTCACAGTGTCAATATCACTCAAAACAATATTGTTTATATTGGTAAAGATATATACATTTATTCAAAAGTACCACAAAACATATTCGAATGTCCAAAGAACTGTTCATCACATGGTAAATGTAATACATCAAATGGTAAGTAAATAATGATAATAACAATAACAGTAATATTTATAGTTGTAATTTATATGTTTGTAAATAATAATATTAATATTTTTATCATTTTTTTAGGTAACTGTGAATGTTATTTAGGATATACATCATTTGATTGTGGATCAATAATCGAAAGTGGAAATAAAGATAATACAACATCAAATGTTGATAACAGCACAGGTATTGTAGATATTCAAAATGAGAAAATCAACTTTAAAATCTACCTCAAATCATTAAATGAGATAGATATTAATAATAATATTGTCAAGAGTTACCCATTGGTATCAGATTGGACTGTAAACAAAACACAATCAAACATCTATACATTCAAACAATCACCAAACCAAGACGAATTCAATGTTATATCAACTATCGAACAAATTGAAAACGACAAAACAGTTTCATTTGCAGGAATCGACTTTTTACTCACCAACAACTCAATTAAATTCACAGTTTCAATTAAAAACTATAAATATTTATCATTCTTAAACACACTTCAACTCGAAATGGAATCAAACACAACCGAATTAACCAATGACCGTTGCAACAACAAAGAAACTCAATTAGACACCGAAAGCCTCAATAGTCAATATGATCTCAGTTATATTAAACTTTCAAAGAATAATATCGACTTTGTAGGTAGATTCGTCAATAAAGTAGTATCAGACTCAAAACCAACATTTTTTACTACTTCATACACCAAGCTCGACGATTCAGTAACCATCACATTACACTTACCACATTGTGTCAATGAATGTTTAATCGATCCAGGTATATATTAAATTAATGAAATAATATTTATTATTACTATTATTTAATATTAACGGTTTTAATTTTTTATGCAGATTTCTCAGTGTTATTATCATCAAAATTTTCAGAGTGCAAACCACAAACTATCAAATGGAAGATAGTGGTTGGTGTTGTTGTGGGTGTTGTTGGTGTGGGCCTTATTTGTGCTTTTTTATATAGAAAACATTTTTTTACGTTAAAAATCAGACAAGCAAAAGATATTGTAATGGAAAAATTTACAAAAAATATTTAAAATATTTAAATCAATAAAATGATTTGAAAGAAAATGGTTTAAAAATAAACTTTAGTATTATTTATTTATTTATATATTTGTTATATTATACTTTATAATAGATTAAATGTTAATTTAGTAAGTTGTTAGTATTTGTAATATCATTATTACCAATTTTTTCTATTTTTTTTTTATAGTTTTTATTCATTTTTTTAATTCATTTTAAACTTTTAAAAAATACATTATTACATTGTAGACCTACTAATCGAAAAATTTTTTTGGAGTCTTTTTATTTGACCCATATTAATTCTCCACAATGGGTTTGTTTTTTTTTTTTTATATTTTTAAATATAAAAAAATAAAAAGAAATGGATAAAAAATTATGAAAGCAGCAGTTTTTAAACATAAAGGACCTGAAATTGGTATTTATACCAATTTGAATTCTTTTTTTGTAAATTATTTAAATTTCTTTTGCAATTTTCACAAAAAAAAAAATTTTATTATTATTTTTTTATTTTTTTTTTTTATAATTTTTATTATTTTTTTTATTATTTTCATAATTTTTTTTTAAATTAAATTTTTTTTATAATTTTTTATTTTTTAGAAATAAATTTAATAATGAGTGATTCTTCAACTCCGATAGTTAAAAAAGAAAAAAAGAGTAGCAAATCCTCATCTCTATCAGATAAAAAAAAAGATCCAACTGTTCAAATAACTAAAGTTTTATCTAAAACTTCAATTCAAGAGCAACAACCAACATCCTCACCACAAAAAAGTGAAAAAAAAGAATCATCTAAATCCAAACCATCCTCCTCTTCCTCATTATATACTTCACCAATATTACCCAAAGACCCAATTAAAATTTTATCCAAGAATTTAAAGTTTCAAAACTATGAATCTATTTTAAAAATTTTAAGTAAAAACAATACAAATTTTACGGTGGTTAGTATTATTGGTGGGCAATCCGCAGGCAAATCAACAATTTTATCATCCTTAATTAAGAGGTCATTAAATAATCAGTTTCAAACACAACAATTACAGCAACTACAACAGCAACAATTACAACAAACACAACAGCAACCACAAACCATCCCCACATCAACCAATTTAAATACCTCTTCAAACCAAAATACACCCCCACAACAACAAATAAATAAAAATTCAGATTTTATAAACAACCTTACACTATTTGAAAGTTTAACAGATAGCAATTTCGGATTAGGTAAACATCAAACTGTTGGTATTGATTTATTTATATCGGAGGAAGAAAGAATTATTTATTTAGATACACAACCATTGCAAAGCTTATCAATTATGTGTGAAATGATTGAAGAGAATCTCCAAATACCAAACCAATATAGCTCTTATGAACACTTTCATCACATGGAATGCTTGAAATTAGTGGTGTTCCTTTTATCTGTTTGTAATATAGTTTTAGTTGTCCAAGAAAACAAAGAATTAGATATACCGCTATGTAAATTAATTAGAACTGCATCATTACTATTGAAAAATAAAACCCCTGATGTTTCAAACCCTACACCAAATGGCACCTTGCATAATTTTGAAAATGATATTTTAGAATCAACTGCAAGACAAAGTAAATATTATTTTTTTTAAAAACTATTAAAAAACACATTTTAAATAATAATATTAATATTTTATTATTTAGTTTTTATATTTAATAAACTAACAGATTTCGATATGAATGATACATCATTCGATAAAACATTATCAGTCCTATTTTCAAATCCCAAAAATCTATATCAGTCATTTATATCAAACCTATCCTCCTTTAACAATAGCAATCCAAATAACACAAATAAAAGCGCCACATTGGGAAATGAACAAACTAATAAAATATTATTGGAGAGCAAGTGCCAATCAATGACACATTTTGATAGCTTTTTCATACCTGACAAATATATGCAAGAAATTTTACATAATGCAACTACAGAAATTTTGGGTGTAAATAGTTCAGAAATGATGACTCCAACCAACCCATCAAAAAAAAGACCCCAACAAACAAATACAAAACTTCAACCTACATTTAATGAATCAATTGAATTTTTACATAAACATTTACTATTACTCCGTTCAGATTCAAAGTTTACACACGATATTACAGAGAGACAATGGTTTGAAAACTCAAGTAATCTTTGGAACTATATCCAAGAGTGTGATTTAATGGGTGAATATAATAGCCAGCTTTTAAAATCAAAATACTATCCATTAAATCAACAACAAAACCAACAAAACCAACAAAACCAACACCATCACCATAATCATCATCAAAACCAGCGTGATTACTCACAACAATCGAAAAAACAACCATATTAAAACCAATAAATAAATAATAAAAAGATAAATAAAAAAATAAATATATAAAATCTTTTTTTAAAAATATTTTGTATTATATAATTAATAATATATGATATTAACTATAAATATATTAAATAAATATAAGTGATTTAATACCAATCAAATATATTATTATTTATTCAAAAGATATTTCTCTATAACAACCACCAATAACAACTTTTTTACTATTATTATTATTATTATTATTATTATTATTATTATTATTATTATTATTATTATTATTATTATTATTATTATTATTATTATTATTATTATTACTATTCACATTATTATTCACATTATTATTATTATTATTTGTTGGCAAGTTTGTATTATCATTACTATTACTGCTATTATATATATTATTGTTATTCATATTATTAAAATGTTGCTGTATGTGTTGTTGCTGTAAGTGTTGTTGTTGTTGTATATATTGATATTTATATTCTTCTGGTACCTCTGAATTGGATCTTAAACCATTCATAGGTGGTGATATTAAAGGATTGCTAGTTCGGAATTGGTGTTGTTGATAACCTCCACTGGTTCCCAAGAGATTATTTGTACTATTAAATCTTTGTTGTTTAAGTGAATCTGCTCTGCCCCTATTATTATTATTATTATTATTATTTTTTGGAATACCGCCAGATTTACTTAATGGTGTGGATGAGGAAGGTGGAGAATTTTGTATATAAGATGAAGAAGAGGAACTAGATGATTGTGGTGGTGGAATAAGAGTACTGGTAAATGATTGATTAGGTCTTCCACCACTATTACTACTGCTTCCATAAAACGATTTATTTGGTGGTGATTGAAATGAATGAGTATAAGGACTAAACCCCATGATATCCTCACTATAATCACCATTATTAAAATATGAATTTGTTGGCCATTGATTGATTTTGTTATTGGAACTATATTGTTGAGGTGGTAGTGGCTGTGATGGCTGTTGCTGATCATTAAAATGAAGACTTGACATTTCTTGGGATATCTCATCCATAAAAGCGGGAATTGTGGGTATAGGAACTAAACCTGTAGAACCTTTAATTGGGCTTGATGCAGATTTACCTAAAATATTTGCTGATGAATTTGATGGAGTGCCTATTAAATCCATGGGGAAAATAAAATCTTCGTTTGGTGAGGGATTATTCCAAGCAAATGAATCACCCATCAATGTTGGGCTAATTGGTTCGATTTGGGAGGAAGAGGATGAAACCATTTGTGGGGTGAATGGGGATTGTCGTGGTTGTGAATATTGTTGTGGATAAGATGACATTAATTGAGGAGATTGTGGTATTGGGGGAGATAAATGCGATGGTGGTGAGCCCATTTGAATAAATCTTTGTTGTTGTTGCTGTTGTTGTTGTTGTTGTTGTTGAAGATGTAAATTTTTTTGTTTATATGCATTATGGTCACCATGACTCAATGATCTATATCTATTATAGCTTTCCAAATGCATACGAGGAACATAAGGTGGCTGTTGCTGTTGTTGGGGGTGTTGATGGTGGTGTTGCTGTTGTTGTTGTTGTTGTTGCTGTTGTTGTTGCTGTTGTTGCTGCTGTTGTTGTTGTTGTTGTTGTTGGGGATAATTATTAAACTCGATATATCCCGAATGTGATCTCTTTCTTTGTGGTGAGTTTGGATAAATTGGTGGTTTTTCTTCGGAGAGATAATCCTGTTGTAATTGTAATTGTTGCAATTGTTGCAATTGTAATTGTTGCATGTGGTATTGTTGAAGTGATAGTGGCTCCATACCCTCAGAACTTGATAAAGAGTCTGAAGGAACCTCACTTTTACTTCTTTGTCTTCTTTGGGGCATATTATTGTTATTGCTATTATTATTATTATATTGTAAAGTAGTTGTAGGTAATGGTGGATACATTTGCTGTTTTTGTGTAGGAGTTGAGGAATTTAATGAAAGACTTGAATCAGAACCCCATGATGAACCATAATACATACTATTTGGAGTTGCAACTGGAGATTGATTATAAATTGGACTATAGGGTGGAAAAATAGAAGGAGTACCAAACAATGATGGACTTTGACCCAATGCTAAACCAATACCATTTGTGTTATTACCATTTGAACCATTTGGTATATTTGACTGTGAACCTGTTAAAGAATAAGCTGAAGATGGTACGAATAACCCTCTAGGAGAATATGATTCTGGAAAATAATTATCATTTTGGAACTGTTTAAATGAAGGTACATTTTTCTTTAAATTACCTGAACTATTACTACTACTTGCAAGTATTGGTGTATTACTATTTGATGATGTATATGATTGATTCGATGTATTACCATTCGCTATATTATTGTTATTATTGTTATTGTTATTATTATTTATATTATTATTACTATTATTTCCATATAGTTGAAATGATGGTATATTATTAATTGTTTGCCTTTGTCTTTGTAAAAACATTTGTTGGTTGTGGTTAACTAGATCTGGGATTTTTTTTGGTGGTGATGGTGTGACATATCTTTTCTTTGATGGGTCGGGTATATATGGTCCAGTAAATGCTGACCCCGTTATAAATGGGTGATCCCTTGCTTGCTTTGGTGACCACCTATCTTTTGGATCTATTTGTAATAAACCATTTACAAAATCTGCAAATGCGACTCTATGTTGTTTTTCTATAAAATAAATCAAAAAAAAAATAATATTAATAAAGCTATTCCTTAAAACTATATATTCACATAGACTATCCTATCATTATCTAAAACACCAACCTTTTTCAATTTCTTGAGGCGATAAACCCTTTTTAAATATATAATTCTGTATGATCTCTGGTAGAGTTTTGTAATTAAAATACTTTTTTGATGGTAACAACGTAATTTTTGAATCTCGTTGATATTCCTCTTCAGTTTTTAAAGTATAAACTGTTTTTCCATCACCAACATTTCTATTAAAATATCTTGATGTGTATTTTCCCTTGTCCAAAAGTTCTACATTAAATATTCCACGCATTTCAACAATACGAGAAACTTGATTATATTCTGAATTACCTGGAAATAATGGCAAACCTAAAAATAACTCTGCTGAAATGCATCCCAGCGACCACATATCTATCATTGAGCAATATCCTGTTCCAACTAAAACTTCTGGTGATCTATAATGCCTTGACTGTATATATGAATAAACTGTTGATCCTTCGAAACAAGCAGATCCAAAATCTATAATTTTAATTGCTGGTGTATTAACACTATATAAAAATAAAAACAACCTATTAGTACTACATACATAGATTATAACTAAAGTAAAAACCCTATAAAATCATACTTTTGTAATAAAATATTCTCTGGCTTTAAATCGCAGTGTATTACATTTGCATTTGACAAAACAATAAGAGCATCCAGTATCTGTATTAAAAATACTTTAATAAGATTAGTTGAAAGACCTCGAAAATTATTTTGTTTTATAAGTTCAAACAGATTGACACTGAGTAATTCAAAAACTATACATAAATGTCTTTTATGAACAAAAGAATCCAAAAGTCTTAATATATGATTTTTATCTTCTGGGTCATGCTGTTCATTTAACTATATAATTAATTAAAAATATTAGAATGAAACCAAATCATTTAACTGTAATATACTTTTCATGTGAAAACTTACGAATTTTAATGTTTGAATTTCTAAAATACCCTGATGATGATATGCTGCTTTATTTTTTAAAATTTTAATTGCTACCAATTCCTCTGTATCAACATTTTTACATTTGACAACCTGACCAAACGTGCCTTGACCTAATGAATCCAAAACCTTATACTTTTGACCAGATGAATTTGTAATAATATCATTAACATAAACAATATAGTCGGAATTTGAATTATCGTTCCCATCATTTGAAACTGGTTCGCTGGGGTGTGTTAAAACTCTTCTTGGGTTTAGTGATGGAATATAATTAAAATTTGGGTTACATTTTTTATAGAACTCTAATAAATCTTTTGTAAATTTGGTTGTTGGCTAAAAAATTAAAAACAAATTAATATTCTGTACCTTTATATAAAAATTTTATTTGATAATGATAACCTACACCTTTATGATTAGTAACTATATTGTCTATCGTTTCATTATTTTTATTATTGGTTGGTGTATAAATCGAGAATGAATAGTCATGAATAACTGCTTTATTTTTAGTACCACCAATACTTTGCTGTTTTTTATGAGTTTTATAGCTATTATTACTATCATTAGTAGTAGTGGTACTATTATTATTATTATTATCTATATTATTATTACTATTTATATTATTTGGATCATTCATGATTGCCGTTGTTGATGATACTAAATAATCGTTCATTTTGAATTGGTATAATAATCGTTGTTTACTATTGTTGGTTTGCTGTTGTTTCTATTGTTATCGTTTGGTGGAGTAATCTACTACTATGCTATATTAATATTGAAATCGTTGTTGCTATTTCTATTTTGCTACTAAACCAAGTGATACCTTTAGTATCTATCGTTTTCCTATGATGTGGTTCACTTTTATTTGTGTATCTTTTTTTTTTTATTTTTTTTTTTCAATGAAAAAAAAATTATAAAAAAAAAAAAAAAAAAAAGATATTTTACTTGATATTATTTATTATATTATTATATTATTATTGTATAACTTTAAAAAAATGTTAAACAATAAAAAAATCTATAAATATGGATTAGGTGAAAGTTAGAAATAAGTTTTGAGGGAAATGGTAAAAGAAAAGAGAAAGGAAAACAACAAAAAACAAACAATTTTATAAAAAAAAAAAAAAAAAAAGTTGTTATTGTTATTCTTTTTGTGCTATGTTTTATTTTTATATGAATATGGATACTAGTAAAATAATTTTTATTTAAAAAAATTGTGTGTTTGTTTTTTTTTTTTTTTATTATTTTTATTTTATTTGTATTTAATTAAAAAAAAAAAATTGTGTGTATTATTTTATTTTTTTTATTTTTTTTAATATTTATTTAAAATATTTTATTATTATAATGTTAAGCTATTAATTTTATGTATTTATATTGTTTATACTTTATAAAGGAGTAAATAATTATCTTACTTTTGATCAAAAAGGGTTTCTAAAAAATTATATTTATTAATAATAATAAAAAAAAGAAAAAATTAAAAAAATAAATAAAAAGAAAATTTAAAAAAAATAAAATTTAAAAATTAATTTTTTTTTTTTTTTTGGTTTTTTTTTAATTTTTTTTAATTTTTTTAATTTTTTTAATTTTGGTTCAATTTTAAATATTTTTGTGCTGGATTACCCCAATTTTAAAAATTCAATTAAAATGACATAAATGATGCACCCCAACCTATATCATATTTTGATCCCTCTCTTCTTAATTATAAATAAATAAATAAATAATCAATAATTTTATTTTTTAAATTTCAAATTATGTTTTTTTTTTATACCAAAAAAAATTCAATTTTGGGTTTTTTTTTGTTTATTTTTATTTAAAATAAAAATCTCTTGCCCTCGTTCCAAAAAACTTCCAGAAAACAACTAAAAATAAATCAAACAAAAAAAAAATAGTGTTCATTTAAAATGATAGTAATGAAATAACAAAATAATAAAATAATAAAATAATAAAATAATAAAATTATAAGTGTTTTATCGATTTTCATTCAATCACACCCATTGATTATTTTTTTTATATTTTTTTTATATTTATTTAATTTGAAATAATTATAGATAATTTTATATTATATATAACTGATCAACTATTTATTCATTAATAATATAATCTGAATTAAAAAAAAATTAAAAAAAGAAAATTAAATTGGAAAAAAAAAAAATTAAAATAATTTTTTTAAAAATTTTTTTTTTTTTTTTTATTCGTTTTCGTTTTTTTAAAAAGTATCATTTGTTTTTTAGATAAAAAAAGATTTATTTCATATTTACTATTTTATATACATACAAAAATGATGAACGATTATACTTTTTTACATAATTTACCAGATGTACCAGTACCATTTATTAACCCAGTTATTACTGGTGATGCTTGGAAATTAAAAGTAATTATAATATAGGAATATAATAATTCCATAATAAAATATAATATTAATATTAATTTTTTTTTTTTTTTTTAAATAGGAATTATCACATAAAAAATATGATTCAATGATTAGCAGAATCGAATTAAATCCAGTTAATAGTTCAGAGATTGTAGCAACATTTAATAATAAAGTTAGATTTTTATCAACCAATTCAAAAAAACCAGATGAAAGAGAAATCACATCATTTAAAGATACCCCATATGGTGCATCATATAGAGATGACGGTAAATTGATTGTTGTAGGTGGTGAAGACCCAGTTGTAAAGCTTATTGATGTATCAAGCAGAAATATATTAAGAAAATTTGAAGGTCATACAGGTGCAATTCATTGTACTCGTTTCGTTGAAAAAGGAACATTAATTTCATCATCAAACGATGGCTCTATTAGAACTTGGGATATTCAAACAGGTGATCAATTACAAATTGTAGGTAATCATCAAGATAAAGTACGTGCATTAGCAAAACACCCAACCAATTTCGAAAATATTTGGATGTCAGGTAGTTATGATCACACAGTTAAAGTTTGGGATATTAGAAGTGGAGGTAATAAAGCAACCATGTCATTCAACCATGGCGCACCAGTTGAAGATTTATTAATGTTACAAGGTGGCACAATTGCAATTTCAGTCGGTTCAAATTATTTCAAAGTTTGGGATTTGGTTTCTTCAAAAGAGGTATATCAAGGTATTCATGCTGTTAAATCAATGACATCAATTCATTTATCAAATTCAAAAGATAGATTTTTAACTGCTGGTTTAGATCACACCGTTAGAGTTTTCAGTACACAATCTTATTCACTCATCAACTCTATTGAATTCAGCGAACCACTTCTCTCTTTAACCCTTGTCGATGATCGTAAAGTTATCGCCGGTTCCGCTAAAGGTTCATTATATTATGCACGTAAAACCAATCCAGTTTCAGTTTCAAAATCAAAAAAAACCTCAGAATCATCAATTTTCAATAAACATAAAAATGGTAAACCACAATTAAACAATCAAATTATTACAAATGACTCTTTAGGTATTTATAAGTCAAGCCATTTAGATAGATTATTACGTAAATTTGAACATAAATCAGCTTTTGATACTGCTATTTTTGTAAGTATATTCATTTTATCATATTAAATTCATTAATATACTAATTTTTAATTTATTATTATTGTTATCATGATTTAGATTAATAAAAATATTGATTTTGTTTTTAAAGTTGTTTGTGAATTATCAAGAAGAGACGCTTTAGATATTGTATTAAAGGAAAGAGAAACTACAGAATTAGATAGTATTTTACAAATGATAAATAAATTAATAAATACAATGAAATATCAACAATGTGGTGTTTTATTATTAGAAAAAATTGTAGACTTTTATCACCCATCCGTTTTCCAAGAGAATAAACAAATTTCAACAACAATGAGCTCAATTAAAGTAAATTTAGTAAAAGAACAAAAGAAGCAAGCTCAACTTTTAGAATTATCAGGTGCTTTAGAGTTATTATATTCAAGCTCGATATCACAATCAACTCCTTCTACTCCTTCAAAAAGAAAATTAGAAGATGATGAATAAAATAAAAATAAATAAAAAAAAAATTAAAAATTAAAAATATATTAAAAAAAAACAAAAAATTGTGTAAAACTCTATTTTAATTTAAAGTTATATAGATTTATTTTAAAATATTACATGAATTTTTTATTATTATCCTTTTTTTTTAGAATTTTTCGAGATATGGTCTAACTTCTAATTCGTGGGTCCATGCACTTGGGTGTTGATCGTGTAAATGGAAATATGTTTTAGCAACTTCATCTGGATCGATAAATGTTTCTTTTGGTCTGCTTGAATAGTCACGGTTGATATCAACTAAACCATCAATGATAACATGGGAAATGTGTACACCCTTTGGATGGGCTTCTCTGGCTAAGGATTGAGCCAATGATCTTAAAGCAGCTTTTCCACTGGCAAATTGACCGAAATTAGCACCTCCCCTTAATGAGGCAGTAGCACCAGTAAAAATGATAGTACCTTTATTATTTTCAAGCATTGATGGTAAAACTTGTTGAGTTGATAAAAGGGCACCTAAACATGTTGCTTTGAATGATTGTTCAAATTCACTTGGTACAATATTTTGAACTGGTGCAAACTTGAATGGTGATGAGGCATTATATACTAAAACATCAATTGGACGATTTTGGATTTTATCTTTGATCTCTTTGAAACCTTCACTTACTGATTTTTCATCGGTTGTATCGAATGCTACTGAAAATGCTTCACCTTTTTCTTGTGTAATTTCTTTAACGAATGGCTCTAATTTTTCTTTATTTCTTGAGCATAAGGCAACTAAGAAACCTTCTTTGGCGAATTTTTTAGCAACTGATGAACCAATTCCTTTACCAACACCAATAACAACACAAACTTTTTTTCCTGACATTATGATATATGTATATATTAATAAAAATAAATAAAAATTATTAGAATAAATGAATGAATGAATAAATGAAAAAAAAAAAAAAAAAAATAAACAATGGAACTATTTAAATTAAAATTAAAAAATAAAAATTAAAAAAAAATATTTTTTTAATTTTTTTTCAATTTTTTTTTTTTCATAATTCTCACGCACCATAAAAAAGAATCAAAACTCTCTTTATGGTATATTTATAAGTTGTGTGTATGTAATATAATTATTTTTTTATATTTATGGGGTGAAATTATATTTTTAATTTTTTTTTTTTTTATCTGTTTTTATTATAATAAAAAAAAATATTATAATAAAAATGATTGAAAATAATTTTTATTATTAAATTTATATTAAATTTTAAATTAAATTCATTATTAACATTTTTTTAATTAAATAACAAAATCATATAAATAATTAAACAAATAAATGAAAAAAATTACAAATAACGAAAAAAATGGAATTTTAGATTGGATAAATCAAAGTTTAAAAAAAGATAACGATGTAAAAAACCTACTTCCAATAAACGAAAACGACAATAACAGCTTTAAAAATGCATTTAAAAATGGTATTCTATTATGTAAAATAGCTAATATTTCCATAAGATCAACAATATTTGGTATGTATATTATAACTATTCATTTAAAATTATTTTATATTAACCCTTTTTTTTTAATCATCTAGAACCGGTAATAAATAAAAATTATTTAGAGAATGAAGAAAAAGTAAGAGAAAATTTTATTTTGTTTTTAAACGCTGCAAAATCCTTGGGCTGTAATATAAATGGAGTTACTATTCAAGAGTTATTAGAATGTGATGAGCAGTCTGTTTTATTATTAGTATGGGAAGTAATAGTTGTAGGGTTAATAAAAAAAATATATTCAGTGGAACCTTCAAGATTTGTGTCACTTTTAAAGGATAAAGAAACAATCAAGACTTATTATGAACTACCTCCTAGAGAAATATTAATACGTTGGGTTAACTTTCAATTAAATAGAGCATGGATGGAAAGAAGAATAAAAAATTTTAATAATGATATCAAAGATTCAGAAGTCTACACTGTTTTGGTAAGAAGAATTACTACCAAAGACGCTGGTGTTAATATAGATGCTTTAAATGAAGAGGATTTAGAAAAAAGGGCTTCAATGGTTTTAGAAAATGCTGATAAAATCGGTTGCAAAAGATTTCTAAAACCAACAGACATTGTAAATGGAAATAGTAGGCTTAATTTTGCATTCATTGCAAATATTTTTAATACAAATTTAGCTTTGCCCGAAATTGATCTTAACAACATTAACAAAACTATCGATGAAAATATTATTACAAGCACCAATGTTTTCAACTACTCAATGATACATAGCAGCAACACCAACTCAATGGACTCTTTGTTTAGAAACTGGATCAACTCTTTAGGAATTTGTGAACGATATGTTTATGATCTATATCTTTGTACTCACGATGGTGTAGTGTTAATAACTCTATTCAACAAAATATTTCCTAGTTTAGTAGACCACGAAAGAGTTGTATATCCGCCTTTTAAATCCTCAAGGTCCAGAGAAAAGCTTGAAAATTGTCATTATGTAGTAGAACTATCAAAGAGATGCGGCTATAACGTATCTGGTATTAATGGTGTGGAGATTTACAATAAAGGAAGACGAGGAACACTACGTATTCTCAATTGCTTAATGAAAAGTTATTATAGTTTTCAAATAGACCCAAATCTTAAAAAAGATTTAAATGAAATGCAAATTATTCAAACAATTAATATAATATTGGAAAAAGAAAACAAGAGGCAAATATGTGGGGCTAGGTTTTTAATTAGTCCAGATTATAATGACTTTTTAGCAATTTTAGATTTTATCAATTTAATTAAACCCAAAACTGTTAACTATTCATTGGTGCATTATGTTAAAATTAGCAGTAACGATTATAAAATAACTGACCTAGTTGTTTCCTATTGTTTTAAAATTGGTTGTAATTTTTATGGAAACCCATTAGACTTTGACAACTATAGAGAGTTTGACTCAACTTATTTATTATTTTCTCTTTTAACACTATATAAAATAAAACAATAAATAAAATTATTTTTAATTATTTATTTTAATTATTTTTCTTTTTTTATAAATTTTCATTTGGTATAAAAATCTAAAAATTCCTTATATTATCTGTTTAACCACCAAAACTATGGTTTTAAATTAATATTAAAACAAATCGATAGTATAAAACAAGAAATAATAAGATAAAGAGTTAATCAAAAATATCTAAAAATAAAAAAAAAAACGCAATAAATAAAAAAAAAAAATAAAAAAAAACGAATAAAATAAAACAGAAAGTGTGTTATTATTACTGTTTTTTTAAGATACTCTTAAATTTTTAAAACTATTTACTATATTTAAAAATAGATGTCGTTTATAAAATGAATTTTAATATATTTAGTTTTCTTAATTTTTTTTTTTTATTTTTATTTTTTTTTATTTTTATTTTTATTTTTTTTATTTTATTTTATTTTTTTTTTCTTTTTATTTTTTTATTAAAATAAAAATATTAAAACTATATAAACAATAAAAAATTAATAACATTTTGCATTTTGTTTATTTACACTCTTCTCTACAATAGATTTTTATTTAATTTAAATTTAAAAAAAAAAAAAAATGAAACTTATTTTTGCATTATTATTAGTATTAGTTTTCACTTTCAATTTTATTCAAGGTCAACTCCCACGTTACGATACCTTATCCCTTGAGGGTGTTGATGATAACACCTGTTCAAGATTATTAAAACTTGATACATGTGAAGATATTTGCGGCCCAGCTTATATTAAATTCACCAGCGAACCAGATTCAAATCAAGTCGAATATCAAACAGGTAAATCTTGTGATAGTTTATTGACCAAAGTTAATTTTCCATGTGACCCAGAGGTTAATACAACTTTTACAATTACTGTAGAAGATGTTTCCTATAAATACGCACCAAAATGCTCATGTATCGATAAAAGTAAATGTACTGGTATTCCAAAAACCGACTCCTCATCTGCAAATGATACATCATCATCAACCGATCCATCTGGAAGTAGCAGTAGTGATGCTTATACTATTACAGTTCCAATCTTGGTTTCAACCATCCCATTATTGGCTTTATTATTTTAAATTTAAAATAAACAAACAAATACCATTTATTTAATTCTATTTTATTTTATAATTTATAAATTATAATTTATTATTTATTTTTTATTTTTTTATTTTTTTAATTTTTCAATTTTTCTTAAAACCTAAAAAAAGAGTATTTTAAAATTTTTTAATATTACAATAAATAAATTTATTGCTTTTTTATTTTTTATTTTTTTTTCGTTTTTTTATGTAAATCTCGAAAATTTAAATAAACTCATTTTTATTTATTTAATAAAACTACATAGTGATAAAGGTAGTTTAATTTAATTTTTTTTTATTTTTTATTTTTTATTTTTTTTTAACCAAAAAAAAAAAAGATTTTTTATAAATTAAATTTTGGTTATATAAAATAAATAATAATATTTATTTTAGATATTTTATTTAATTATTAAATAACTTTTAATAAAAAAGTTTTATTTGTTTAATCAAAAAAAAAAAAAAAAAAAAAAAAGAAATAAAAAAGAAATGAAATTAATTTTTATTTTAACATTTACTTTTTTATATATTTTTAATTTAATTGAATGCCAATCATTGCCTTGTTTTAATAATTTTTCAATAATAGATGTAAATAATAGCTCATGTTCAAAACCAATAAATAGTAGCGAAAGAATCGATTTGTGCGGTACTGCTTTTGTAAATATAAAATCAACCGAAAATGGTTATGTAACTTACAGTTTTTGTGAAGACAATTCATGCAGAAGAGTTATCATCAATGGATCATTTAAGTCAAATTGTAACCAAGAACAAAACACAAATATAAAAGTAACAATAAAAGACATAGAATACGAATACTCTATAAATTGTTCATGTACAGATAAATCAAAATGTAACAGTAATTCAATTCAATCTTTTACAGAAAGTAACGATTATAATGATTTAATTAGTATTCCGATTTTTGTTTCAGCAATACCACTATTAATTTTATTAATTTAAAAATAAAAAATAAACTATTTATTTATAAACAATTTTATAAAATTCTTTTTTTTTTTAATAATATATAATTTTATTTAATTTTATTTTGTAAATTAATAATTGTGTGTATTAAAATAAACATTGATTTTGAAGTTGGTTTTTTTCCTTCTGAAACTAATTCAGTATTATTATACTCTTTAATTAAAAGACTATCTAAATTATCTTTTCCAATTGTATCTCTAAAACTTGGTACTAGATTATTATTAAATATATATTCTATCGCATCATAACGATCATTTATTATTAATTTCAATAGTATACTTGAATTTATTTCGAATACTATATTTGAGAATAGTGACAATGTTAATTCGAATAATGTAATATTTCCATACAATAGTAATCTTCTAATAATTTTTTTAATTTGAGTGCAGCTTAAATTTAAACTTAATATAAAGTGCTTTTTTTCTTTTAAAATATATTCAAATAGAGTGTGGATACGAATGTTGCCTATTGTCTCCTTATTATTGAAAATACTATACAAGAAGCTGATCTTTGATGACTCTGTTTCAAGGTGGTTGTCCCATAAAAATTCAAAAATTTCTATATTTAAACCCCCTATAAAATTTATATCCATTTCATTAATACAACCCTTAAAAAGAGTGATATAAAATTTGGCAAACCAATCTTTAGATATTGATACAGAACATATCAAATCTATAACATATAGAAATATAGAATCTTCTTTAATAGGATTTTTTTCGAGATATTGAAATACATTTTCAAAGTTTCCCATATATAATGAATCTTTAACCCACGAATGCGTTTTTTCTTTTTGAGCTGGAGCTATAGTAAAGCTTAAATTCTTTTTATGCCTGTTATCGATACCATCAAAGTAGTCTTTAAAATGTGTAACTAAGCTTTGGTTTTGCTGAGGTTTGTAGTTTAACAAATTAAAAATCACTTCTCTTTCGAATTTTATACACCTAATGCATTCTTCTAAAAAATATTGAAGACTAAAACTATTTAAATAATCATTTTTATATAAATAGTAAACCAAATCTATACTATTGTTAATTTTATTTGGTATTGTGATATTTGGTATGATAGTTGAAATTGATTCAAAATCTAAATAAAGTATATATTTTACTAAGTTGGTAATTAATACTCCTGAATTATTAGTGTAAATTTTACCAGCTTTAACTTTATTATGAAAATAGATTTGTAATAAATTTGAATCGATTACATCATAATAAATAGTTGGGTTATCTATATTAAAATGATCACCAAAATAATCAGATGGTTTTTCTTCCTCTAATTTGTTTTTAATGTAGGTATCAAATGCAATATTTTCTCCATATCTATACTTTTCTAAAAGACCATTTATAATTGATGATGGAAAATAAAATTTTATGAAATTTTCTTTAAATTCATTTTTTAAACCACAATTTATATAAATTTCATTTAAAATTTCAAAAAAATAAATTGTTTTTTTTAAATTAGGGTCCACTCCATGTCTTTTTAAATATTTTGGCACATTTTTGATTTTTTTAGTTGTGAATAATTGTTTAAAATTTGAGCCTATTTCATGGAAATTATCCAGAACCCACTTAAACAATTCAAATTCGTAGTGAAGGATCATAAACTTAAATAACCTGGACCAATGCTTTGTTTCCAATTTGATTGAAACAAAAAACTTGAAAAAACTATTTATCTTTTCAAAATTTGAATTATCAAATTTAACTTTTTCAAAATAAATAAATTTTAATTTTAATCTCTTGGGTAGTCTTTTTACTCCTTTAAAAGACAATGATAATTTTAAAAAGTCAATTGAAAAATTGATTATTGAAAATTGATAAATAAAAAATGGGCCGTATTCTTTTCCTCGTATTCCTATCTCTTTTATAGAATTATTTTCTAGTTGAAACAAAGTATAATAATCACCCATATACTTGTAAAAATCTAATTCATATCCATCAGGGCCCACCAAATATTTCTCGACTAATAATACCAATGTTTTTAAATTTGTAATTTCTGAATTTTGTAAAGCTTTTTTAAATTCTATTTCTTTAATACTTAATTCTTTTTTTTTTTTATTTATTTTATTTAAAATGTATAGCTTAATATGCTCGATACTGTAACAATATTCATGAATTTCTTTCTTTTGTTTTCTGTTTTTTAATTTTTTTTTTTCTTCTATTGTGCATGAATGGTCGTTTAAAAATTTAGAAACCAAAGTGTTTAATTGGTCTTTATCAAACATTTTAAAACCACGTGAAATTTTCATTTTTTTGAACGAACTTAGAAAGTTTTTTAAATTTACCCCCATCTTCTTTTCAATAAAGTCTTTTTTGAGAATATTCAATAGTTCAAAATTTTCATTTCCTTCTAAACGATGATGAGAATATATAGGTATTTTACCTCCTCTATATATCAAATCAACAATTTGATTTTCAGGACTTTGATTTTGCATAGTAGATAATTCCAATTGTTCTTCATTATTTACATTGGTGTCTTTATTTAACAAATCTAAAAAATAATCTAATGGTTGAGCTTCATCTTCATAATTTTCTAAAATCTGGTATATTAAACTGTAAAGTCTGTAATGTTTTAATGCACTTGTTTCATTTCCACCATACCACATTTCATAAACCTTTTTTAATGTTCTAGTAGAGCTTCCTGACCCATTTATAGAAAGTGGGTTTCTTTTAAAATAATCTTTGTATTTATCCCACAACATATTACCAAACTCTTGACTATTAATAACTAAAAACGGATCTATTGCAGGAATATTAAATTCAGCTAAAGGATCGAAAAAATATTGAAAAGGACTTTTATACCCCAAAAAAAGATATTTGTTCGTTTTTAATTTGTCACCAATCATATTAATTTTAGCATTTTCAGCCATTAATAGTAAATTTGTTGTCGATTCATAATTTCTATATACAATATTGATATTAGTTGTCTTTTTTATAAAAGATAGTACCAATAACTTTAAATAATTATTTCTCCAAACTTTAAAAAATATTATATCCATTTTATAAATAAATTATTGTCAAACAATTAAAAAATAAAAAAACTTTTTTTTTATAATCAAAAAAAAACTTTTTTTTTATAATAAAAAAAAAAATGGAAAAAATTTTAAAAAAAAAAAAAAGGATAGATATTATGGAAATAAAATTTTATGGATATTCATGTGAAGATTATTTTTTTAATTTTTTTTTATAATTATAATTTTATTTTTTTATAAATTAACTTTATATATTTAATTGTTTTTATCTTTATTAACTGGACCAATTGGACGGAGAGCTTCCCAAACTGCACTATTACATTTGAAACCACTACCAAAAGCAAGTTGCCATACTTTTTCACCTCTCTTGACAGAGTGTTGTTTTTCGATAAAGTTTAATTCATACCAGATTGATGATGAACTGGTGTTACCATAACGATAGAGAGTAGCTCTTGATGGTTCGACATCATATGGAGTTAATTTGAAGTTTTCTTCTAAACCATCAATGACAGCACGACCACCAGCATGGATACAGAAATGTTGGAATGCCTTTTTGAAGTTTGGAACGTAAGCTGGAACCTTTTTGCTACCAGCAATTTTTCTATAACAAAAGTTTACAAAGAATTTAATTTGTTCACTCCATGGTAAGACCATTGGACCAAGAATGGTAAGATTGGTTTTAAGACAATCACCAACAACATTTAAAAGATCTCTACCCATAGCTAATCTAACACCTTTATTACCTTTGGAATCTTCAGTTTGATAAACAGCATTGTAAGCAGCATCATGTGATTTGGTAACTCTGACTGAAGCAACTAAACGATATTTACCAGTCCAATAGTATTTTGATTTATTTGATAACATAATTGCAGCACCACCCATACGGAATAAAGTATTGGTTAAAAGCATAGCCTAAAGTAATTTAAATTATTAAAAAAATAAAAATAAGTTAGTTACAATACAACTGGATTTATATTTGTGATAACACCACAATATATTTTAACTTACCTTTTCGTTACCTCTGTACCAATTTTGAGTAATATTTTCAGTACTTAAAACAACAGCAGTTGCATTTTTGTGGACTTGTAATAATTGTTTAGCTAAATCAATTGAAATAACACCAGCGGAACAACCCATACCTGATAAATTGTAACTTAAAATATCTGGACGCATACCATATCTATTCATCATCATAGCAGCTAAAGATGGAGTTGGATTGAATAATGAACAATTGACGATTAAAATATCAATTTCCTTTGGTTTAAGACCAGTTTTAGCAAAGAGTGCATCTAAACAACCTGATAAGACCATATCAGCTTCTTGACGAGCTGATTCCATACTGACATCTGGTACTGGTTTGGTGATACCAGCTGGGAAATAAGTTTCATTACCTAAACCGGTACGATAGAGAAGTTTAGTTTGGAAATCGATGGATGGTTGTTCGAACCAACCGACTCTTTTAGTGTGTTCAACAAAGAATTCGTGAGTGATTTTGTATTTATCTTCTGGTTGGAAAACTGAGAAATCTACTAAATAAACAGCTCTTCTTCTCTTTGACATGAAAACACTGATAACTAATTCTAATAATAATAATGATAAGAATGCTAAGGTGATGATAATATAAATATTCTTTGGGTCTTGTTGTTGGAATTCTTCATAGACCATGGTTTGGAATTTACTGAAAATATCTAAAAGAATATCACTATTATTATAAAGGTAGATAAAGTTAATGGCGACCAATGGTGTGAAACCTAAAATCATTGTACGGAATGTATTGTTTCTCCATATTGAATAACCTTGGCCAACTTCACCAATATCAGCATCTCTATCTGGATAATAGTATGATTTGACTTCTTCTTCCTCGACTACTTTTTGTGGGGCACTATTTGTTGATGATGATGATGACATTTTTATTTATATATATAAAACACTATTAATTATAATTAAAATTTGATTAAAATTTTATTTTTTTATTGTACACACTACTCGTTTTATAAAAAAAGATTTTTATTTTTTTTTATTATTTATTATTACAAAGATTATTTAATAATAATAAAAAGATAATTGTTTTAAAAAATAAAATATGTTTTCTTATTAATTTTAAGAAGTAGTTTTAAATATTTAAATTTATTATTATATAAAAATATTTAAAAATGAAAAAAATAAAAAAATAAAATAAAAACAACACACACAAATAAAATCAGTTATTTTTAAAAAATAATTTTATGTTTATATATGTGGTGTGTTAATTACAAAAAAAAATATATAAATAACTATAAAAAAGAAATTATTAATAAACTAAAACAAAAAACACTACGACAGCATAACAGTAAAAAAAAAAAATTAAAAAAATTAAAAAAATTAAATAAAAAAAAAAAAAAAAAAAAAAAAAAAAAGGTTGTGTTCGTTTTTTTTTTTTAAATTTATTTAAAATAAATTTTTATTTTTTTATATATTTGGATGAGAATGGTGTAATGGTAGAAGGTGTTAATTAAAGAAATTGATATGGATGATTATTGTTGCGAGAATTGATTTTTTTATTTTTTTTAATATATACCCACTTCAATTAAAATAATATATGTATAAGTGGGAATTTTAATAATAGTTGTGAACACACAAAAAACACATACGCAATTTTATTTGGCTGCTATAAATTTTAAAAAAATAATTATAATTATTATAAAATTTTGGTGATTAGAGAATTTCCCCAATTATTTGATAAAAAACTAGATATTTATTAAACCAAAAAAAAGAAATTTCTGTATAAAAAAATTCATTATTAATGAAAAAAAAAAAAAAAAAACTAATTATTTAATTTAATTATTATTATTTTAATTTTTTAATTTTTTTAATTATTTTATTTTTTTTTTTTTATTTTTTTTTTTTTGAAATAGATCCAAAATGGATTGTTTTAATTAACAAAGGCTAAATTAAAATGTTTGTTTATGTCATTATTAATCTCTTTTTTTTTTTTTTATAGTAGTATATATAAAAATTTAAAAAAAATAAAATAAAACAGTTAAGTGGATGGTATGATTATGACTATATATAATTAATAATTACCCAAAATATTTCATTCTACAAAAATGAAAATATGAAAATATAATTTGAACACCACTATGGCATAATAGAGCATAAAAAAAAAATTTAAATTATGAAAAAAAAAAAAAAAAAATTATTTTTAAAATAAATTAAATTATTTTTTTGAACACACACTTTAATTTTTTATTTTTTATTTGATAAACAAATACTAATTAACACAAACATACAAATAATATATAGATATAAAATAATCACATAATAATAATAATACTTTTTTTATAGTTTCTTAATAAATTATTTTTTATTTTTAATTTTAAATATATTCCTAAAATTTAATATTTAAAAAATCGAACAGATGGACCCAATTATAAATTATTATAAAATCAAATTAATTTTAAATTCAGTTTCAAATATTTTTAGAATTGCGTTTAAAGAAAGATGGCAACAAGATTTCAATGTTGAATGGAAATTAGATTTAGCATATTTAGTAAAAAGAAAGTATACAAATTTTAAATCATTAACCGAAGAGGAAAAGGCAAATGTATCAACAGGAAATCTAAATGGATGGGATTTAAAATTACTTTGCGAATTGTTAACAGGCATACAATACACCAAAATTCCTAAAGATAAATTAGATAACGAAAATAAAATTATTCAACAGATTAAAGAAATAAATGACAAGTGTAGGTATCAATAAAGTTGTTTACATATTATATATATCAATTATTAATTTTTTTTTATAAAAAAAGTTTTATTATTAAAAAATTATAAAATAGATTTAAATGAATTTAAAAATTTCAAAGACTTATTATTTGGTTTAATAAAAGAATTTTCAAAAGAGAACGAGAGTATCATTACAAAGAATTCAATAGAATCAATCTCCAGTAGAATCGATGAAATACCAAAACCAATATCATTGGCCTCATCAAATTCATCAATTGACAGTAACGATAGTTCATCCAATCTAATTGATCTTGCAAATGAGGAGTTTGAAAATGAAAACTATCAACGTTCTCTAGATTATTACAATGATGCATTGCTTTTGAAGGGGTTTGGCGATTACAAAAAGTCATTAATTCTATGCAAATTATCACAGGTCAATTTACGTTATTATCAAGCAATGATGTTGGATGGAGAATACAATTATTTATTTTATATAAAGAAACAACAGCTTCAAGACTCAAAGAAGGATGCAATATTGGCATGTACACTATGTCCATTAAATTTTGAAGGATATTATCGTTTAGCTCAGTTATTTTGCTATATGGGCGACTTAGAACTATCTCTAGACTATTTAAATGCTGCTCTTACAATTGACCCATCGAATGATGAAATTCGTCTTTTCAAGAATCAAGTTAAATCTAAAATCGATAGTAGAATTATAGAAAAAGATGGCAAAAGAAATTTTCAAAAGGAAGCACAAGAGTTTGTAGAGGCACACAAGTTTAAAGATGTATATGAGGGTGAGGACCTTGAGTTGGAGCGTTATACAGAGGGCATCGATAAAATGGCGGAGCTTTATCAACTACCAAAGCAACATTTCATCAACATTGCATGTTCAAGAGTGGCCGGTACCTTTTCGAAAAAGAAAGACTTTGAAACTGCAGCAAAATATTATAGTCATGCAGCACATGGGGACTATGCTATTAATTCTTACCGTTTGGGATCACTCTATGAAAGAGGTTTGGGTGTCGAAAAGAATTTGGGTACAGCATTGTCATTATACTTTGAAGCATCATTAAAACCAACTAAATTTGATATACCAAGCAGCTTACCAGAGGAAAATAGAGAATTTATGGAAAAAAATGAAGGTGTAATATTAGCATGTGTAACATTAGGTCACATTTTTTCAAAAGGTATTGGTGCAGAGATGGATGCCGATGCAGCAGCTTACTACTTTCAAATAGGTGTAGATCACAATAATGCAGAGGCTTTATATTCGCTTGCTCAAATGTATTTCTATGGAATGACATCGGATAAACAAATCAATAAGCCTTTGGCAATTGAATTACTTAAACGTGGTATGGATTTAGGTGATCAAGACTGCACAAGAGAGTATTACCATTTCACAGGTACAAAACCACCCAATAGATTCACTGGTGAGGGTGTCAATGCATCATTAAAAAATTTTATTTTAATAGTTTCAACAGTCGTAATTTTAACAGCTATAATATCAAAATTAATAATTGATTATTTTACAACTCATTATGGAAAATAAAAATTAAAAAAAAATTTAATAAAAAAAGGAACAATTTTTAAAAGATTGGTTTAAAGTTTTATGTTTTTACGTTTAGATTTATTTATATTTATATTTTTACCAATAGGAGCTTTTGTAGTCTTTATAGAATTGACCAAATGACAATAAGTTGTTTTTTAAACCTGAGATAATTGGATCTAATACACGCGATGCACCATCAAGTTCGTCAATTGGAGTTTGTGATAGTTCGTTTTTGTTGTCTGGGGATTCGAATGTTACCCAGCCAGTATCGCAGCTATTCATATAGATATCCTTGACGGCAAGTTGTAAGGAGGAGGTCCTGGTTAACATGTTTTGTGATGCTTTGGCCATGTTTGTGTGTGGATGATATGGTGATTTGTATCGACGTTCAAAGCTACCTTCCATTGCACTAACATTTATAACAAAAGCATTTTTATGTTCCTTTACAGATTCTATCAAATTTTGGTACAACCTTGATACGAGTAGGAATGGTGAAAAACTACTGATGGCATGGGTTTCTAAAAGTTCGATTATTGGTACTTCATCAAATGTTTGCACCCATGACGTTTTGCTTCTATGGTCAAGTGGTTGACCATCTTTATCAAAGTTTTCCAAATCTATTAGTTGATTATCAAGCTGATCATTTTGCTGTTCGAGGTTATTGTGACTACTATTTGGCGATAATGGTTTGTTGTTGGTATCAACATGTTGTAGTAATTGAAAACCTGTATTGCTGTAATTAAGACCTAAAATATCTTGATCGACTATACCATTGTTATCTAAATATTCTTTTTTAATCTCTTCAAAATGTTTAAGCAATGGTAAGCACTGTTTTGGTAATGATTCGAGGGGTTTTGATTCGACTAGTAATTGAGGTAAATAGTATTTTGAGGGTCTTTTAACAGTTTGGGCAGCATTGTTAATGATAATGTTGATCGATGGGAATTTGATTTTAATAGCCGAGCAAAACAATTCTAATGATTGTAAGTTTGCTAGATTTATTGCATAGATATGTAAACGATTGGACCAATCTTTAAAATCTTTTTCGAGAGTGAAACGAATAGCAGCATCTTTTGGGAATCTACTAGTTACTAATACCGTTGCTCCAGATCTTAAAAGTTTTAGTGCCGTTGCGTAGCCAATTTTAATTCTACCACCAGTAACTAATGCTACACGACCAGTAAGATCGTGTGTTTCAAATCTTTTTTCGTAATTAAAGTCCCCACAGGTTGTGCACAGTCGATGATAAAAATGATGAATTGTTCGATAATTTTTTTTACAAACATAACAGTTTCTGGGCACAGATAGCATGGCCTTGTTTTTAAGTGGGCCTTGGAACATTTCTTTATTTAAAATATAATCGAATGCATTTTCTTTTGAATCAATATCTTCAATTTCTGTTGCTGTTACATTTGAAGTATTTTTGAAATTTTGTTCTTTTTTTTCAGCCTCTATTAAATTATAATATTCTGTTTTTTTTTCTTCTAATTCTTTTTTTAACAATAATTTGATTTCATCATCTATTTTATTATCATCATTATTATTATCATGGTAGTCGGATTTG